ACTCGGAGCATTCCTGATTGGAGACTCGGAGATGAGTCGCTCGCATTTTTCTGCTTGATTCGTATTGATGAGATAGAAATTCATCTTGGTCTTTCGTTCTGTTTGTTTGCATCATCTTGGTTGCAAGTTGCAGAGTAGGGCAGGTGCTGTTCCCCACTGTCTTACACTAGCAACTAAATACGGTAGCAAATTAGCTGGCCACTAGTTACATAGCTCGCCAACCCTTATCGTTATCTGTAGACGCATGCACGGCATGCTGCGCTACGAATAGAAGTCGACATTTGGAAAAACTTTTTCCTTTGCCTCCGCGGTCGGGGCATGCGTGCTGTCTTCCACACTACTAACTTGTAGTTTCATTTATTTAGTTACTAGTTTGCCATCTATGAGGATGGATCTACCACACGGGTCTGCTGGGCGGAGCTGCCGTTCAGAGTTTGAACTGCTCGAGGCTCCTTTCGTCCTCACCGCGACTCCGTTGCTACCGCTAGAAGCCGGGCCGAGAGACCGGCTTGTCGGCTAGGGACCATTGTACTGCTCAGGCGGAACCTGGGCAGGCCGCGATGCTTCCTGCTCGTGGCATGAGATGGATATAGCACAAGGAGACGCACGAATCTTGGCCATATTTCAGGCCATGGCTCTCCAGGGCGGAAAAAACGGCATAGCTGTCGAGGCGAAGCATGCAAGTATGCGGAAAAGTACCCTGGCCGCATTTGATGTAAATGCAGTGACTGTGACTTTGCCAGCTTCCGTATCGGGACCTTGTGCTTTGACATGGTATCGGCATTCTCTGCGAGTTCCTCCATTGGCTTGGATGTATTCGCTCTGGCGTAGTTAAATTTCGACTCGCTACTGATAATTTGACTCGAGATGGCTTAACATCTGCGACGAGTTGAGCGTTGGTTGTATTTACATGACGTTATCGACGTCATCGCTTTGCCAAAGTGACTACAGTGAGCCCCTACCCTCTTACGGGCTCATTCTCACTCACGTCAAGATCGAAACGGTTTCGGTCGAGACGGAGAGCAAGATATGTAAAGTACATCGTTTTATCTGACGAATATTCTTGCTACTGCCGAAGACTTTACGTATTCCTACATGTATTAGTCTACTACCAATGCGCTGGCAGTGATGTCCCGCGGGTCTGATGTGACAGCCTTCATGTATACCTTTGTAACAGTGAGATGATGACTAAAGCATTATCGAACTGCTCTACTCAGGCGCGTCGCAAATGGTATGCATGTCTTCAACCGCTTTGACGACGACATGGAGCGTCGTACCCCACGTCAACCGAGTCGACAGCTTCGGTCCAACTCTAAAGACGCCAGGTACTTCGGATCGTCGGATAGTGATTAAAGAAGTGAGAGCCTAGAGGAACCCATGGCAAGGCGGGACCTACCAAGCTAGGATATAGTACGACTAGTTTTGAAAATGTTGACAGCTTGATGAACAACCTTGTCCTTGTCTGCAGTGGCAGTGACAGTATCGTCGTCGCCCTGTCATAAGCTTTTAGGTCTGGTAAACAGATCCAAGTGTCAAAGACAATCAGCAAACTCAATTATACGAAAAGAAAGTAGAAAGGAATTTCTGAGGCAGCTCACCCCCGCAGACGCATCGATACCAGTGACGCAGAGGGAACATATTTTGACGCACTGCTGCTCTAGCCAGTCTCAGCAACTTTATAAGATGCACTCGAATCGAATAACAAGGAATATATCGACAAGTACTGGCACTGCCTTGATATCGTGTCTGGCAGATCATTGCGGCTGACGTCCTCGTCGCCACCTGGTGTATTTAGATGCTGAGAGTTGGGCTGCTAGGCTTGAAGTAATGCCAGCTTGTGTACAGAATGAGAACAGACTGAAAGTAACGAAATTATGGCATTTTGAAGACCTCAAGCCAGCGCAAATAGCCAAGCCCAAGCATCACCGCCACACGCGTCCCTGAGCACAGAAACCTGGTGAACCCAGGCTTCGGAACCCAGAGATCCTGCGCAAAGACAACAAAGCCTCTCTGAGCATCAGTAGAGTATCATACGGCGAGAAGAAGAAAGTTTAGAACGCTGTCTTACCTTGGAAGACTTTTTTTAGACGGTGCAGTAGAGTTGGCGCTCAATAGATGTATTAATAGAGGTAGCAATCGAGAGCATCGCAGCGTTACGAAGCATATTAAGGCTGCATAATCTAGAGAGATACTTTTTTCAAGATAAGACAAATTCTGTCGTGGAAGACTACCAAGAGGATACGTTACTCAACCCAAGTGACCTTCGCTAGACCAACCGGTGCTGGCGAATCAACCCTTCATCGGGAGCGGCACGCCTTTTGCGCCATGGCAAATCGCAAATTTTGAGCAAACGAGCTTCAAGCGCCCCGTTGTGACCCTGTTTAGAATATAATAATTTCTACATCCACGACGCAAGCCAAGATTACCCATCGCGACGATACCAACTCGGCAATGCAACCGATGGCCGGTGAATTTTTGCCCAGTATAGCCACACTGCATCGTGTCAAAGCTAGAATGAAGAGAAAAAGGCTGATTGTCATCACTGGCTTCATTTAAGATGGACTTGCGCTGTCATCTGTGACTGCTCTATACTACCAGTCTTGAGTGTGCACCGTTTTGGCTATGCCGAGAGCTGATGCGCTCACGACGAGGCTGAGGAGGAACGACGGGGCCACTCATCGAGGAAACAGATGCTAAATTGAGTTGCTGTTATAGCCGCCACGCTCGCTACTCAAATAGGGCTTAAAATACCGCATGACTGCGTAACAGCTTGATGGCCGCACAGCGGAGAAGTAGTGTGTGAGGCTATGGCTCTCTTGAACTATCTCGTTTCTCTGACTGTAGATAATGCTGCCATACCTTATATTGTATGTGTCTTGTACCTTATCTATATTTTTAGGGCAACAGCAAGGCACCTGCAACATGGTAAAGTTCTTGACGCTTGCCTTGTATACATATGCCAAGAGGTCGGCCAAGTGATGACAACGTGCTCTACAAGCTAGTTTGCGCGAGGAAATTATTAGTAACTTGCTTGAACGGAATAGCAAAGCTCAGGCGATCCCGTGTGTAATAAGACCATGCCACAAAGAACAGCGCATCGGCCAGAATTCGAACTACGGCTATCATGCTCATTCAATGGACCCCAAGCAGTCCTTCTACAAATCAGAATGCAAGAGTCGTGTCAACGCATACTTATCTAGTATACGCTTCTGAGCTCACGAATTCTATGGCCCATGCGCTCTTGTCACGTTTAGCTTTGAAGCAGGAAGCCAGTTCAGGTTTTCGGGAGGTCAAGAGCGCGATTATTGAGGCAGGATAGCGAGACAGTAAGAAAGGAAAAACATGAGAAAATATGGTAGGAACACGAAGAGAAAAATGTCTACAAAACTGCATTGTTAGATGGCTGGGATGGCGGATTCCATAAAAGCCAACCTATGCTGGCGCCAGCTGTTCACGTTGTACTCCACGCGCAATGTGTCGAATGGGAATGAAGCAGTTATGTGACCGAGGCCGCATGACGGCTGGAGTATAGTGAAATGCCGAGTGTCCTTCGTTTCTACGATGGTGATGAAGGAAGTATAAAATGTGAGTAGGATTTAGTGTAATTCGAAGCATGCGTCGCCCTGGTTGGTAACTTTTCGAGGTGCACGGACTGTCGACGTCGAGGAGGGCGCTACGGAGAACCAAAGCGAGGGGGGTTGAGACCAAAGACAGAGGGAAGCGACAGGGACTCGAATGCGTCGTTGGTGGTGTAATTAAGTGATGCATACACGTTAGGTTGCATGGAGCGTGTTGCGTTCTGTTGCATATGTCGTAGAAAGAAATATCGGGCTGGCAGCGACGAGGCAACTGATGCGTGTCGTTGCTAAAGATTTTTAGAACGGATGAGGAAGTCGAGCGATGATTTGTATCGGTACCAGGGTGAAAAGAAATGTAGATGAACGACAAGGTCGAGCGGTGAATTGTATCGGTAGGAGTGATGATAATAAAAGATGAAAATTCGAGCTACGTAGCCGAGTTGTTGATGGGATTGGCTGCTGGAATCAAAATTTGACGTGATGGGGCGGGGACTCATTTATAGCAGGTGGGCTGGGCCGCCTGGAAGAGGATCGACAAGCCGGAGCATCTGCACCGGGCATTTGTGGAGACGGAGCTGAGGGATCTGGTTACAGAGGTCAGTGACATGTGGTGCACCACACATTAATTGTGTTCTTCCTTGGGTGGGGCAGAGAACAAGGGCAAAAAGCTGGACATAGAACAAGTCAATAATACATGAAATAAAAAAAGCATCATGTGGTTGTCAGGCCTGCATTTATTAAGACTGCAGGGAAAGATGGCGTCGAAAACGGCAGGGTATGCCGGTAATATGATACATCCATCCCTAGGTACATGGTAGGCGAGGAGGCGGCATGACCGACCCCACCTTCCCGTCCTAAGTTCTCTAACTTCTCTGGACATGCGTGCGTCTAGACCTGCTAGACCGGACAAAGAGAGCCAAGGGCAAAAGCCAGCTTCAAGATCGAGGCTCTTGGCTGGTGGCGCGCATTTCCATACGGGCATTGTGCATTGTGGTACTCGACACCTTGGTCATGCAGCTACCAGCGCGGCACTGTTACTACCAACGCCACATGCCAAACGGCATCATCTCCTCATCTCGTCGCTTATCCATCTTCCCCCTCGCCTCGCCATCTTCATGTGTCCCGCTTCATACCAGCTCCTGCCAACGCGTCGCCTAAGAAACTAGCAACTACCTAGGTAGCCGTCTTTTCATTCTTTGCCGGGGCCCGCGCCTTGGCTGACCGTGCTAGCCGTCTCCGCCGTATACGACCTATGCGCTAGTTGGCACACCACGCTCGCTTGCCTTGCCACCCCCCACCTGCGCCTACTCAGCAGCACGCTTTTGATCACCGATTCCAGGCCTTCGATTACTTTTCTCCTTGCATGCCTCTTCGCTACTCGTCGCTGTTAGCCTCGTTGTGCCGAGTCGGCCTCTTCTCAGAATGAGCAGTCCGCAGCCCCATCGACCCGACGAGCCCCAATCCCAAATTGCTGCCCGCAACCATCCTCAGCGCCCATCTCGACCCAGTTCACCCACTCGCGATGCCTCCCACACCCCCTCAGACATTAGCCGCGATTCCGCCACATCCCCCAGCGTCGCCTCGGAGTCCTACATCAGCTACCCCTCAGCTTTCACCGAAGTCAGCGATCTCGTCTTCCCTATTCGCTCTGTTGTCAGTGTCGATAAGGCGAGTTCGAGGTCCGACATTGATGACCATGCTTCTCGCACCTCCAACCCAGGTTCCATGGGAACGCCCGTCGCTCAGTCGACTCCATCCAGAACTATCACCGTCGATACCGGCCCAAGTTCCGTCCCCCCTTCGCCCAGCCCAATGTCGCCTGTCGGTCGCGGTCGCTCCCGCGCATCAGTTGAGCTCAACTCCAGCACTCACACCGATACCACCCGCTTCGCCTCATCAAATACCCCAATCGAGCTCGACATCGCAGCATCCGACGCTGGCAGCGACGTCGAATCGGGCGTCTTGGGCCGACCTGGTCTGCAAGCCCAGACAGAACTCTCCTCGCACATCTCCGAAACCCAGTCATCTGTCGACGTCCCCCTCGTCACAACTCGATTTACCCACGTCGAAACGCAAGAGGGTCACGCCATCATCACAGGAAGAGACGGTATACTTCAGCAGTGCGAAGATGAACCAATCCATAGTCCCGGCGCCGTCCAGAGCTTCGGATGTCTGCTGGCCATGCAAGAAGAAACTGACGGCAACTTTATCGTCCGCTATGTTAGCGAAAATTGTAAACGCTTTCTCGGTTACTCGCCTAGGTCGCTATTTCGCTTAACAAACTTTCTCGACCTCTTGACAGACGATCAACAAGACAATCTCCTCGACCACGTTGACTTCATCAAGGATGAGGACGCTGATCCCGCCATCAATGGCCCTGAAATTCTCAGCATCTCTATACGCCATCCGAAGATCGGCAAATCTGTCAAACTCTGGTGTGCTATCCACATCAACGCCGCTCATCCGGACCTCATCATCTGTGAGTTTGAGCTGGATGATGATCTGGACAATCCTCTACGACCACCAAACGAGCTTACGCCCGATGCCCCAACCGATACCCTCGAAAGTTCTCCGTCCAAGCAAGCTCTTATCGAGGCTGCCGAGATCATCAGCAAACCTCTACGCATTCTTCGAAGTGCGCGTAAACGGCGCGGCGAGCAAGGAGCCATGCAAGTATTTGACATCCTGTCACAGGTGCAAGAGCAGCTAGCATCTGCACCCTCTCTTGAAGTGTTCCTCAAGATCCTTGTTGGCATCGTCAAGGAACTCACCGGCTTTCATCGCATCATGATTTACCAGTTCGACTCCACTTTCAACGGGAAAGTTGTTACAGAATTGGTAGATACCTCTCACACTTTGGATCTCTACAAGGGGCTGCACTTTCCAGCTTCAGATATTCCCCGTCAGGCCCGTGAGCTGTATAAAGTGAACAAAGTACGCCTGCTTTATGATCGTGATCAGCCGACATCGCGAATTGTCTGCCGTTCCCAACAAGATCTGGAAGTTCCTTTGGACATGACGCATGCCTATCTCCGAGCCATGTCTCCTATCCATGTCAAGTATCTTGGAAATATGGAGGTTCGGTCTTCCATGTCCATTTCCATCAACGCTTTCAGTGAGCTTTGGGGCCTGATAGCCTGCCATTCTTATGGCGAACGCGGAATGAGAGTGTCGTTCCCTGTTCGTAAATTATGCCGACTCGTCGGCGAAACTGCGTCAAGAAATATTGAACGACTTTCTTACGCTTCCCGCCTTCAAGCTCGGAAACTTATCAACACATCACCTACCGACAAGAATCCATCAGGCTATATTGTGGCATCCTCGGATGACCTGTTGAAACTTTTTGACGCTGAGTGCGGTTTGCTGTCCATCAAAGACGAGACGAAAGTAATGGGCAACTTGGAACATAGCCAAGAAGCACTGGCGCTGCTTGAGTACTTGCGTATGCGGAAGCTTACCTCAGTACTGGCCTCGCAAGACGTAAGACTCGATTTCCCCGATTTACGATATGCTCCTGGATTTCATCACATTGCCGGGTTCCTCTATGTTCCGTTGAGCGTTGGCGGTAATGATTTTATTGTCTTCTTCCGTAAAGGCCAAGTCAAAGAAGTCCAATGGGCTGGAAACCCGTACGAGAAGAACATTCGAAAAGGAACTGCTGCATATCTTGAACCGCGAGCAAGTTTCAAAGTCTGGAACGAAACTGTTATCGGGAAATGCCGCGAATGGGACGAAGAGCAAGTCGAGACAGCCTCTGTTCTTTGCCTCGTATACGGCAAGTTCATTGAAATCTGGAGGCAAAAGGAAGCGGCGATACAAAATACAAAGCTCACGCGGCTATTATTAGCCAACTCTGCACACGAGGTTCGAACGCCTTTGAATGCCATCATCAACTATCTCGAAATTGCACTTGAAGGTAGCCTCGATAGCGAGACTAGAGATAATCTCGTGAGATCTCACTCTGCATCCAAGTCGCTCATATATGTCATCAATGACCTTCTAGATCTCACCAAAGCAGAAGAAGGCCAAGATCTCATCAAGGACGAGGTCTTTGATCTAAGGACTTGCATTGAAGAGGCAACGGACCCATTCAAGATCGATGCCAACAGAAAAGGCCTTTCATACGAAGTATCTCAGCACGATGGCTTGCCCAAGTTTGTCCATGGAGATACGCGCCAGCTGAGACAGGCGCTTTCGAACGTTACCGCAAATGCCGTCAAGCATACCCAGCAGGGCTCTGTCAAGATTAGCATACAAGTCACAGACCTGGAAGAGAAGCAGGCAACTATCGAGTTTGAAGTGACAGATACGGGCTCAGGAATGACTTCTCGCCAAATCGATGCACTCTTCCAGGATTTGGAGCAAGTCAGCGCTACACTTTCCGACTCAGGAGACTCACCTGATCCGACATACAATTCCGGTTCATCGCGGACTCTTGGACTCGGCCTGGCCGTCGTCGGCAGGACTGTCCGGAATATGAATGGACAGCTAAGATTGACCTCTGAAGTTGGAAAAGGTTCTCGGTTCACCATACAACTTCCTTTCCAACTGCCCGACAGCGAGATTGATTCGTCGGGATCAGGCGTATCGTCCGGGCACAATGTTAGGAGAGCGTCACAGCGCGAATCGAAGAGACCGGAAGGCGAGATCACTTTGGTGCAAAGAGGATCAGGCTCAAAGGTTCCTACACTGAGAGAAACAAGCATCGGTAGTGACGATCGCCGCAGTGGCAGCCAACGTAGTCGCGGAAGCTACGAAAGCGTCAGAAGCGACACAGATCGTCTTATTGACGCTATTCAGACACCACTGATTGGAGCAAACAAGGAGACTGAATATTTCACTCCTAGGCGACACTCCAAGGGTAGCACCAACTTGTCTACCTCTTTGTCTGGCTTGTCAGCCGGCCCTGCGTCACCCGAGCTAACCAAGCAGGGCGACTTGATGTCAACATCACACAGTGAATCAGGTTCGGTGTCAGTCAAGGATTCTAAGACGCCCATCAAGGCAGTCAAAATGCCCGATGAAAGCAGCTTAAAGACAAACACAACGAGACAAGACGAGAAACCTACCGAAAATCGGAGTCAACTTGGAAGGCCACGAAATGACAGCGTAGCGCAAGAGATTCCCTTGAGAGCCCTTATAGCAGAAGACGATCCCATCAACCTAAAGATTGTTAGAAAACGTCTAGAGCGCGCTGGCCATATGGTGACTCACGCTGTCAACGGCGAAGATTGCGCCGCACTTTTCAAGTCTTGTGCTTCTACGGTGGACATCATTCTCATGGACATGCAGGTGAGCTAGAGTCAAAATAGCAAAGCTAATGGACAATGCTAACCTTGATAGATGCCTATTGTGGACGGACTGACAAGCACGAAAATGATTCGCTCAATGGAACACGAGTCTCAAATTGAAGGTCATTCAGACGTGGCTAAGCGCAATGGAAGAGTGCCAATCATTGCAGTTTCCGCGTCTTTGGTCGAAGGGCAGCGGCAAATGTACATTGATGCAGGCTTTGATGCCTGGATCCTGAAGCCCATTGACTTTAAACGTCTCAGTGTCTTGATGGGAGGTATACACAACGATCTGGCTCGAAACGCGAGCGTGTACGTGCCTGGGCAATGGGAATCAGGTGGCTGGTTCTCAGCCCGGCTATCGGAGGAAGCGCAGAGCAGTTCATGACAGCTTTGACAGAACTTCTTTTCAAGGAAATCTATTTTCGCCCATGACAAGGGGCAAATAGAAGATGACACGCGTAGAAAACGCGATATCGAGCGCACGAGAGAGAAAAACACACGGGTTAACGGCGTCTTTGGGGTTTCATGATTTTGGCTTTTGCCAATAAGGGGCGAGTGGAAGCTACGGCCGAGAGCGAATTCTTTTTGTCGTCATTGTGGGAATGTCTAATCATTTTTTTGGAAAGCATACAACGAGGAAGGGAAAAATTGCATGGGGTCACGCATAAATGTACATGATGACGCTTCTTTTTTTTTTCTCTTTACCTAGACTGATTCGCCGGGCGAATCGAGTCTTCTCATCAGGGGGCAGGCATATTTCGGGACGCACACGAAGATTCCCATTTGTTGGTTGTTTGTACTATCATAATCTCATTACACGCACAGATTATATCCGGGGAAGAAGAATTCAAGGAAAAGAAATGGCATTTAAACATGCACATTGTCACATGGAAATCCATGAACGCTTGAGTATCGCGTATCGGTATAGCTTTTTGCAATCATCTGGCGATTGTGTTGGGTGAAAAATTATGACGCTGAATACAAGGAAAAATAAAATAAGAATTATGTGGCCAGATGTCACGCCGTCCTGTTCAAGATATCAAAATAACAAAGACACGCCTCCGAGCAAAAAGAAATCAAAGGACAATGAAAAAGACAGGGGGGAATCTGTACAAATATTTTACGCATTCTCTTCCTGCACATTGTGCTGCCCGACAATGGACAGGAAGACCTGATCCAGACCCGTTGGCGCCACGCTGTAATTGCTGATGCCGAGCTGCGCTCTATTCTCCTCGAGCAAGACGACGAGGCTGCCGACCGCCGATCCGCTGTTGCGCGGCGTCGCGGAGCCGCTATCGTGCGCCGTCGCGGACCCGCTGTTGCGAGGCGTCACGGACCCGCTGTCACCGCTGTCGTGAGGCGTTCCGGACTCGCTGTCGTGTGGCGTCACGGACTCGCTGCCGGTGGCCCCGCTGTCGTGAGGCGTCATGGACTCGCTGCCGGTGGCCCCGCTGTCGTGAGGCGTCACGGACTTGCTGCCGGTGGTCCCGCTGTCGTGAGGCATTCCGGACTCGCTGTCGTGTGGCGTCACGGACTCGCTATCGTCAGGCTTTCCGGACTCGCTGTCGTGAGGCGTTCCAGACTCGCTGTCGTGTGGCGTCACGGACTCGCGGTCGTGTGGCGTCACGGACTCGCTGTCGTGAGGCGTCACGGACTCGCTGCCGGTGACCCCGCTGTCGCACGGCGTCGCGGACTCGCTATCGGCGGACCCACTGTCGTGCGGCGGCGCGGTGGCCGTGTCCTCGCTTTCGTTGCGAACCCGAGTGGGCGGCGGGGGACGACCGGTACGGTCAAGGACGTCGCGCGCACGCACGGTGAAGCGCAGCTGCCCGTGATACGTCTTGTCATCGACTTGAGCAGACGGCAGCGTGCGGCGGACCCAGGCGATGATGGTGTCCATTTCCGCCTCCGGAGTGCGTGGAGCCGAGGCGGCGACGAGGTGAACGTAAATCAGGTCGCCGAAGCGGTGGCGCAGCTCATCGGGGGTACCGAGGGCGCGCATGCGACCGGCGAGGATGCCAGCGCGGCCGGCGAGCGCGTCAGCTTCTTCCATCGAGTGGGTGGTGAGGAGGATGGAGCGGCCGCGGGACGTGGCGGCGAGCGTCTTCCACATGACGCGCTTGGCGGCGGCGTCGAGGCCCGATGAGGGCTCGTCGAGAAGCACCACGGCCGGGTTGCCCATGAGCGCGATGCCGAGGCTCAGCTTGCGCTTGTTGCCGCCCGAAAGATTGTGCGCCATGCGAGTCTCAAAGGCACTGAGACCGACGGCCGCCATGATCGCCGAGACGTTGTGCTCGATGTCGGGGATGCCGCGGACGCGCGCGTAAAACTCGAGGTGCTCGCGCACCGTCATCGCGTCGAGCGCGTCGACTTGCGGGCACACGCCCAGGTTGGTACGCGCGAGCGCCAAGCTCTTAGTCACAGACACATCCTCGATGAAGACGTCGCCGCCGTTGCGGCTGGGCTTCAGGTCGCCGCGGATGACGGAGATAGTGGTGGATTTGCCGGCACCGTTGGGCCCGAGAAGCGCAAAGACCTCCCCGTGTCTGATGCCAAAGCTGACGTTGTCGACGGCGGTGTTCTTGCCAAAGGATTTGGTCAGATGGTAGACGCGTAAGCCGTCTCCTTGAGCACCTGGGCCGCTAAGGCGCTCCTGCTCATCGAGGACGTCTTGGTCCACTAATTCGAGGTCCTTGGTCGGCCGACTGCGGGAAAAGATTGGGGGCAGCCATGAAAGGGGGGAGCCGCTGTCCAGCCATAGCAGCATGAGGAACAAGCCGATGGACTGCACAATGAGGTAGAGGATGGGACCGCCGTAGTACTTCAGACCCTGCGGGCTCCGCGAGAGCTCATTGCCGTCGCAAGAAATGGAGAACAGGTTCGTGGCGATAAAGAGCGCGCGAGTGGCGGAAATAATCGGTGAGAAAAGCGCAAGGAGGAAATACGACAGACGCAGCGCATTGTCAATTTTTGAAGCGTCCACGTACGTCAAGACGCAGACATAGATAATGAGGTAAACCAACATGAAAATCGCTTGCACAACGGCGGACCAAGCAAATGCACCTAGTTGCGATTTGGCAAAGAGCGAGATGATGTAGGAGAAGATGATGGAGCAAAGTCCGTAGAGGAACAAGACGACAAAAACGTAGTCAATGTTGTACCAGACTTTCGACAGCGCCGCCCATATGCCAGTTCCAATGGCAGAGCTAACGAGGGCCACGATGAAATCGAATACCAAGTACGCCAGCCAAAGAGGCAGAGGACGCACACCATTAGAGTACTGCAGAGCTCGAACAAAGCGCCGGCGCTCATTGCTGGGGTAGAGCGCGAAGAATGCCGGGTACACTGCAAGAGCAATACACATGTAAATAACCAGGTTGAGCGCATTGCCGATACTGGGATTGAATGGTGTGTCAAAGGCCGACCAGGTTGTCGCTATGGATGTGTTTGTCTGTAACACGTCGAGGAGCTGCTGCGAGAGGATCGAACTAGTGATGAACAGGTTTGCAACCCATGCAAACGTTGGCTTGCTGTTAGCATCGCCCAACCAAAACCCCATGGTGACGTTTCTGGGGTTGTTCGTGATGTAGTTGGTATAGTCGTCAAAGGTGTCAACAAGCCTCAGTCGGGTGAGGAATACGGAACCGGCAGCGGCACCATCCGTGGACCCATTCAAGATGGGCCTAAACAGTCTCGCAAGGTTGGTGAGAGATACCTTGGAGCGTGGTCCGGCAAGAAAGGTCAGTCGGTCGCCGCCCGTGTCTAAAATCTGGCCGAATGCATCTTCGGTGCCGTGATTTGAGACCTGGTCTTCAGGGGCACAACCCTGCAGTGTCCCGTTGCTAACAAAGAGGCTCGTGAGACCAGCAGCAAGTATAGGAATGCCAAATGCAATCGCATAGGTGGGCCAGTTGCGCTTGAGGACTATGATGCGCTTGGCAAACATGATATATGTCTGGCGCAGATAGCCAACCTGCTTTCCGTCCATGAGCTGCAACCCTTGCGGCTGCTGTTCGTTTTGGGATATGTCGTCTATATCATGGGTCGTTTCAGTAGGTTGTTTCTTTTCCGTAGGCTGTTTCTTTTCAGTAGGTTGTTTCTTTTCCGTAGCTTGTTTCTTCTCCGTAGACTGTTGATCAGTTCGGAATGCTTCTTCATCCTTGATTTCTTCCGCCACTTGTAAGAAGACGTCCTCGATGGTAGGACTGGAGAATCGGTAATCAGAGCCCTGAGCATCTTCAAGTTTCTTGATGACTGCAGCAGCAAGGCTAGAAGATGGAGAGACATATGTTACCTGGTCAAAGGCGTCCGTCTTCTTGACGCCCTCCACATTGGGTAATGAATTTGTCGTGGCAGACTTGTGGATCATGACTCGATATCCACCACCGAGCTTGTCCTTGAGCTCAACAGACGAGCCCTCTGCCCGCAGCGTTCCCTTGGAAAGGATGGCAATATGGTCGGCAAGCAGGTCAGCTTCGTCGAGGAAGTGTGTAGTGAGGATCATGGTGCGCTTTCCGCGCTCAGCGAGGAGAATGTCCCAAAGTTTGCGCCGCGACAAGGGGTCGATGCCACTGCTGACTTCGTCGACGCAGCAGACTGCACTGCCACCAGTCAACATCATACCCAGCTGCAGCTTGCGCTTTTGGCCACCAGAGAGAGTCTTCGCAAGAGCTTTGCGCTTCGACCCAAGGTCGATAGCCTCGATCAACTTGTCAATTTCGGCCTTGCTGGCGGGGTTTTTGGGTGATTTCAGTTGGTTGAAAATGCGCAAATGCTCGGTGACATTGAGATCATCCCACAAAACGTTCTTTTGTGGCGCAATACCCAGGCCACCTGTGCCATCAATGGTAATAGAGCCGCTTGTGAGCCTGTGAAGGCCGGCAATGGCATCCAAAGTGGTGCTTTTGCCGCTGCCATTCGCACCGAGAAGACAAACAATTTGGCCGCGGCCGACGTTGAGGCTCAGTTTGTCAACGGCAAGAACAGACTCGGTCGAGTTTTTGGAGGTCAACGAAAAGAGGCGAGAGAAGTGGCGAGAAAAGAGGCGAGAAAAGAGGCCGGGATGGTAGATCTTGGTAAAGCCACGTAGCTGCACAGCGTCGTCCGGCATAGAAGCAGTATTGTTTGTGATTTTGCGCCCCTCGGTTGATGTGCCATGGAGGTAGTACTCAAAGGCGGCTCCAATGAGGAAATATGCGAAGATTTGAATCGTAAGCATGATCCAAAAGAAGATGCCGGGCAGCTGAAAGTCAGCCTGGGGTTGGATGGAGGTGAGGCTGGCCGGTTTACCATATCTCTCGAACCAGGACATGTGGATGATGGCAAATACATAGGCGCAGGGAGCAAAGAGAACGGAAAGAGAAGTAACGACTCCGGTACCAGGTTTTGTCAGCGCCTGGGCGAGAATACCTAGAAGCAGCATAGACAGGGTTGCAGCGATGCCGCTCAGCTGGGCCTTTTTGAAGAAGCAAGCAATCATAATTGACATGGAAGCAAAGGCAAGACCGGCAAGAATGTGGAGAACGATGAGAATGACGTAGCTAGTATTCGTGTAGACACCATGACGAATTATGAAGGAGCCAGCGAGCCAGCCTGGAGCGTAGAGGAGGGAAAAGGACCAATGATGAGCCAGCAGCCTGACAAACATGGCCATCCAAGGCTTGCGGACGGGCATCATGGCGTCGATGAGCTGGGACATTCCGGTTTCCCTCTCAGTGGCGATATAGCCGGTCAAGTGATACGAGATCCAGAGGATGGTGGTGATGAAGGCGACGCCCATAAAGTTGATGATTGACTTGTGATAGAGTCGGCGTGTCTGAGCGAGGCGCTCCTCGCCAGTGTGACTTGTAAATGCTTTTTCCTGGACGGATGCGAGAGGATCCTGCTGGCTAGGGTTCGCAATCTTGGCAATGGCTCGGTCAACCATGTGCTGGGTAGGAATCATGTATATCTGCTCAACGTTGTCGCCCTTGTCGACGCGGATTCTCATTGGTTCTTGGTAAAAGGCGGCGTCTGTACGGATGGTGTAGTTCCAAATGGCACCATTGCCCTCGTCAGGCGAGGAGCGAAATATGATGGCATTGAAGCAGGCCGTGACACCGCGGAGGGTGCTGCGACACTGGCCGGGGATTTCCTTCTCGTTGCTGACGCGAACAATGGTGACGCCCGCATTGGCATTCTGCACGATATTAGCAACGTCGTTGAGCACCTTGTCAATGTTACCGCCAGCGTGACCATTGTTGACGAGGACGAGCTTGGTGCGGCCGGCGTCGCTGCCGCGCTGCAGGGCATCCTTGATGGGCATTAGTGGCCGCACGTCGCCAATGCCAAACGTCGCGGGCGGGACAAAGAGATTCCGGGCACTGCTGAAGAAGAGGGAGAGGACGATCGGGACGAGGAGGGCCATGGCGGTGAGGATGAGGTAGTGCCTCAAGACGAGGCAGCGAAAGTTCTTGCGCATCAGCGTCCATATCTGTCGTTTGAGTGCCATGGCGAGGCAAACGGAGGGGACGCGGCGGCGTTGAAGCTGGCCGGTTTTATCAGAGCATCGAAAAAGGGAATGAGGAGGCGGTATCAGCGCTGAAGACAACTGAGTGAAAGTAAGACAGGTAGCGAGCGATAGAAGCTGTGGTATTCCGAAATTGAAGCTGGCGTTTGCTTTGGTGATGCGGAATCGTCCCGAGATTGTTGGCCTTTGGAGGGTGTTGGCCAGAGTCGCAACGACCCGTGGGATTTCCAGATTTCTTCCAGAATTGGAAGAAAAGGAAAAGTTGCAAGGGGATGAAGGGAAAATAAAGAATGCAAGGAAAATAAGGGATTAAAGTTATCGATCCGCGCAAACTCAACGAACACGGCCGGGGAAAATGAATCCATTGTTAGCTTTGTGTGCTCCGACAATGTGAGGCGCTATTATAGATAGTAGTTGCCAGACTAAATATTTTCAGTGGAAACAGCCACGCCCGGTCGCCGGTCAGTGGTGCTGACAGTGATGACGCAACCATTCATTAGCTGCAGTTGACAAGGCGCTGTCATTGTTTCGTTGTCATGCTGCCTGCTGGGTGCCAACGCCCTACTCCGTACTCTGCTCTGAATCATTCCTCGAATGAAGAACCATTTCTCGAATAAAGAATCGGTTCCCGAATAGAGCAATCATGTTGGAATAAAGAACCAATTCTTAAAATCAAGAACCATTGCTTGAAAGAAGCCGTCGTTGTGGCGAGAGTTTGGATGAGAGCCAATTCCGGCACAGCTATCAATTAGAGCTTTACAGGGCAAACATGCTCTAACTAGACTCGGCATCGTCATTGGCTCACAACATGTCTCGCCGACTTCCATCTGCGAGCCCAGCCCACGGCGTGCGCACCCAGAGAATCCAGACACTTTACTATGACGATTACGTTTGTCCTAGAAAAATTTTGCGTCGAGTCCTTACTCGTAGTATACACGCTACCTTTATTGACATGTTGTTCTCGACTCGCAAAGACTAGCGGTCACGGAACAACATGTGAAATGCGACATACACGCGATTCATTCTAGGCAATCGGCAACTGGGTACGGCCCGTAAGAAACCACGAACAAAGAACAATTGCGCCGTAAATACGGACTAATAGCTGCCATCCTATCAGAGGTAAATAAAGAAAAAACTCAACTAGGTAATTACTAGTTAGCGCCCCGCCAAGGCTCGGGTCGGCCACGTCAACTTTCCGAGCACCGACCGATAATAACTACCATGCCATTAATATCATCAAATATCGCCAAACTTCAGCCTGTTTTCAGGGGGGTCCCAGCCTACTCAAGATCAACATGTTACCCTTCGGGGCCGAGCACTCCGTAAATGAATCGCCATTACTTGCGCTCAATCTATAATTACTGGTACGTGGCGGCCGACACCGCCACACGGCATCCTTGGTCAGCAATCAAATCACCAAATCGACGATTATTAGTTACGCATATCATTTTCATCAGACATTTCAGAAATAAACACCGTAATCAATCTACAAGAAATCCACCACCGTATTCCTCGGTTTCATCTCCATCCACCACCATATCAAACTCCTCCGTAACATCACTCTGACCCGCCACCTCCTCCCCCTCCTCAACCGCATCCGCCTCCTCCAGAACCCGGTCAGCTTCCTCCTCCGCGGCCCGTCTCTCCTCCTCATCCACGCCACTCCATATCCTCTCCCTTATGCGCAATCCCATCAGCAGTCGTCGCCACATCTTCAGCGCCACGAGCCTCTTGCGCTCCTCCTCCTGCTCTTGTTCCACATTCTCCAGCCCCGCGAGCACAGCCTCAATCGCGGGACCATACTCCTCCGCGACCACGATGCCCTTGAGAACCGCCGTGCCCTGTCGGCCCTTGAACTCGAAACCCGTCAGCGCCGGCGCATAGTCCACGCCCACCAGCTTGGCCGCGTGCGCCGCCAAGTCATGCACAATGTGCCTGCCGCCGCGGGGAATCATGCTCGGCACGTAGACCTCGACGTTGCCAAACTTGTTCTTGGGCACTCGGCCGTTGCGCACCGGATCGGGCGTGTAAAGCTCTGTTTGGTCTTCCGTGTAAATTGGTACGCCAGCCGCGTCTTGCGCGTCCTGTTCTGCGCGCGCGTCGTCGTCGAGCGATTCATTTCTCGGCCTTGTTCGTTTAATTTTGGGTAGCCATTTTGCGGGGATCTCGTTGGGCAGCACTTGACGTCCCATCCGGAACCATTTGTCAGCGGTTCTGGCGATCCGCACATCCCGTCTTCGATATATTTTCTCCAGCGGGCCCTTGTTGCCGGAGCTCACAGTGCCAGATGGCATCGCTGTCGGCACAAGTACTTCGTGGCGCCGTAAATGTCGTTGCAGCGCGAACACCGGGTGATCTTTAAAGTCTTGTACATTGCGAGGCATGGGTTCTCTGGATTCCACCCCTGCCAGCTCCGCGTTTTCAATCTGGTCGAGGGTCGTCGGGCGCCGCCTAGTAAATGGTCGCATCGCTCTCCGCCACCAGCCATTGTCATCAGTCCCGTCGACCCGGATGCGCCTCGTCTTTGCCGTATACGCCTTTGCATATCGGACTGTAACATCGCGTGCCGTGCCATCCTCGTCAAATGCGACCACATAACTCATGCAGTTTTCCCTATCCGTAATAGATGGCTCCAGAGTTTTCGTCTTCCAGAACGTATGCGTGACTACCGGATCCGCTGGCTGCCATTTTTGATGGCCCGTATCCAGCACTTCCACCCAGTAGACGGGATGCGCAGACTCTCGAAGCCGCACCGGCGTCGCAAAGCTCTTTTGCGGTTTCGTAAGTGACGGTGACGGCTTAGGCTCAAAATTAAGACTGGCAGCACTTGGATGTCCAAGCCGCCGTCGTGCCGTCGGCCTCGTCGAGCTGGTCTGAGCCGTCGCGGCCGCCATTTCTTTGTACTGAGCAACCTGAGAGCGCGCTTCCTCCGCCCGCTGTGTCGTAATCGACGTCTTGGCCGGCGTCTTTGCCGGCGCCACCCTAGGTAGCGTCGGCGCTCCGTTGCCAAACGCCAGCGGCTGCAGCGAGCACACGAGCCTAGCCTTGACGCCCACACCCCGCAGCAGCGCGCAGTACAGCTGGGCGCCCACATCGCGCGAGCCTTGCAGCGTCTTTGCCGCGTGGCCAAAATCCTGCCTGTCGGTGCACGTCTCCGGATGGTCGGGGAGCTGGTACTGCTCCAGCTGCGCCGCGTCCTCGGCCCAGCGCGCGCGCCGCAGCCCCCGCTCCGTCACCTCAAACTTGGCGCGCCACATGTCGGCCGCTTGCTTGAGGCCCGTCTTGAAGCTCTCGGTCTGGCCAAACTGCGAAAGATGGGATCCCGGCGTGAGGTAGTCGATCGTCTTGCCGCTCAGGTGCGGCCGCAGCGCGTCCTGCACCTGCTCGTCGTTGCACCAGTGATTTCGTCGTGCAACGTGCGAGAGCAGGCACAGCAGGTGCATCTTGTGCACGTTGAGCCGCCGGTCTCGCTCTTCCTTTGTTATAGGTTTGCGACGTTCGGCATTGCGCTTGCTCGCCGCGTTTGCGGCTTTTTGGGCCGTCAAGTTGAGCTCGAGGTCTTGTGCCCTCGGCTCAGCGACCGACGATGCGATGTCCTTGCCCTTTTCCAGCGCGGCGACAAGATCGACGTCCTGGAACACCAAGTCTTCTTCATCCTCGTCGCTGTCGTCTTCTGAATCTCGTTCGATTGTTTGTACCTGCGCAGGTGGTAAAGGCACATCATAGAACTCGACGTTTTCGTCTTCGTCGTCTGATGACTCTTGGATGGCGGCGACCGTATCGCTTCCTGCTTGTGGCTCCTCACTAGGACCTTGTTTACCGGCACGCCGTCGTTTTAGCGGAGGTTCACCACTGATTCTGTCTCGAGGTGCAGATCCCTCTATGCCGGCTTCAGCAAGCATCTCGCGATAGATGCTTGAAGCACCCCTCCCTGCGACAGCGACGGCATTACTGCTTCCTCGACGACCGGTTGCATTTGATCGCCGCTTTCTTCCGACCATTTCTACATGTTCGCACAGCTGGGAACGTTGCGCATCGCAGACTAAAGTATCCGCCAAATTACGGGCTGGCACAAGAATTGGCGGCTCGTCTGGAGCTCCTCACGTCGCACGCCAAAGTGCGTCATAGCGTGTAAAGTTTGGGCACGAAATCACGTGTGCCGCTTTCATGTTCTAGGCTGACGAAAGATTCATGCAGCAAATAAAACGGACTTGATTGTTTTTTTTTTTTTTTGATTGGTAGTATACTGACATTTTCAAACAGAAAACTGTCTAGCTCTGCCGCAAAATCTGACCGATAGAAAAAAAGGTTTGTCAAGCCTGCAAATGGCTGCAAATGCCATTTAGAAGGTTTTAGAAGGAACTAGCACGTCATAAGAGTCTGACAACGAAAAGGAAAGCACAAGCAAGGAAAACAAAAGAAAGCAACATAAAGTCGTCAGAAAATTTACAAATTACTTTGTGAGCCAACCAAGGTAGTCGGCAACAATCAAAGTTACCATGCTGCCAAGACATTGGTTAGCGAACATGTCACAGCCAGCTGCGTGTAAGTGAACTTACGCGTGAGGCGCAATGCGGACGTAGTATGTACCGAAACCACGGTAGAATCGCAGCAGACCTTCTTGCTTAGCTACCTTGGAAAAGCAGTCTGCCATTCCCTTGTACGGCAATTTTCCATCAGGTCCCTTTTGCTGCTTCTGTAGTCGCGTCTTGACAAAGTCAAAGGGTAAGCTGAAGAATGAGGCAAAGAAGCCAGCCGTGGCACTCGCGGTGAGAGTCTGCATCCGAGGAGATAGATCCGTCTTTTGCTTCAGCTGAACCTTGGCTTCGCTGAAGAAGGCAAGCTGACCGAAATTGAGGGCCATGGCTCGGGCGACAGTGGGAGCCGCACCAGCCCAGAGTGCACCAACGCCTTCACTTTTGGCGATGGATGACAGAGCATCAATGACGGACTTGTAGTTCTTGCGCTCGGCAAGGGGCTTTAAGCCGTCACTCTGCATGCGAATGAGGGCAAGATCTGCCGGGTTTCCAATCATGGCAGCGAGACCGCCAGCAGCGAGACCGGCAGTGGCACGCTCTTTGAATCCAACACTTCGGCCTTCAGCCTTGGCTCGGGAGCCCAATGAGCCCATGAAGGTGTCGAAGAAGCCTAGACGAGCTGTTGTATATACCGCTTGACGCAAAAGTCCAGCGGATAGACCAGTGTACAAATCTAAAAACTTGCCACTGGCCACGATTTGACGAGCAACAGCAATCGGGCTCGGCTTTGGGCCTGATGCAGTGCCTTCGCCAGCAAGCTGGATGCGGACTTTGACCATGTCGACGGGCTGAATAACTGTGGTGGCCACCATGCCACTAATACCGCCATTGATGAATGGGAGAGCTGCCACCATGTAGGGAGTATGGATAAATTTTGAAATGCCAGCAACAGTATCGCTCTTTATGATCTCAGAGCTTCTCGATCGAGCGGACTCGGCCGCTTGTTTCAAAGGCCCGGTAGTCATGATGAGCGTTGGGTTGGTTCCGGGCTTTGAAGAGAGAGAGAGTTGTGATTCCGTCGAAGTCTGCATTTAGCTGTTAGCTGATAAGAAAGACGAGTCTGATGCAAGAACTGAAGACAAGACTAGAAAGAGGGGAGAGTCATGTATGAAACGAAATGTGCCGGATGCGACCGAGCTGGCACAGACTCTTGGCTTCACGGCATTGTCTCGCGGCAGCCCAACAAGCCACGTTTGGCCGCTGAACAACTACACAGTCGTTGAGGACTGCGAAAACGGAGCCTGGAGGCTAAAGCGTAACCGTCTTTGATGCGGCTCTCATTTACAACTCATGTGTAATGTGGATTCGTGATGGGATCCGCCCGCCGGCAGCAAACGGAACATGGAGCAGAACTGGGTCGCAAGTTGTGACATGAAGCTTACCAAACAGAATGACCGGTAAAGAGCTCAACGATTTGTAGCGTCGCCAAAAGTCTTTATCAATAGTAGGTCAGATCTTAGCTCTTTGTAACCATGAATAGGCCAAGCTCGTCCTGGCGATGGGCCGTTGGATGCAGAGGAGCTGTGTGTAATAGAATGGGAATGGGTTGATGACGTACGCACTTGGATGAGTGATCAAGATGAGTCGGTGCCCTTCTCTTGATTTTTGACAGCGAATTCTGCGCAGGCCAATGTCTTGCTTTTTTATGTGTTGATTTTTAGTTGTTGAAAAACAGTCTGCTACCGGAAAGCAAGCAGGCAGGGCTGGTCGGCCGTCTAATAAATGTGGCACTAACACAGCTTCAAGGCTGCTGGGAAAGTTCAATGGAAAGTCGAGTCAAAGAATTTGAGGAGCGCTCGCAGCGACAGACAAAAACGGACTCGAAAAGGTATTTAGAAATCAAGTGTTGAAAAATCTAGAATTCAAGGTGTCGCAAGATCAGGGACGAGGAGGGGTCAGGAATGAGGAGAAAGCAGGCGCGTGCCAGGCTGCCAGCTGGCTGGCCGTTGATCAGTGAGTAGTGAGTGCGCATTTGGGAGAGCTGATGCCGAACCGCCGCGCCGTGGCGATCCGGAGCCCTCCCTCACAAGTTGATGAAAAACACGAAGAGGGCCAGTAGAGAGTACACGGCCGGTACATGCAAGCGGCAAAAGGCAGGTAATGAAAGAAACCATACTAGTGGAATGGCCACCCCAAGTGCCCAAGTCGCTCTCTGAGTTTTCTGGCCAGTCACCAGTCACGGATTATCAGTCTGAGATGGTGTGGAGGGTGGCAGCCACGACGCTGGCGCAAAAAAAGCCAATGCCACCCCCAAACCCGTTTTGAGACTGCGGGGTTGAAAGCAGTGATAAACATGGTGTTTGTAGCACACCATCTTTTTCTTTGCGTGCCTTGGGCTTGTTTTCGTCTGCATCATTGCTACACTATTCCTGTATCCTGGGCCTGGCCTGGGTCTGGAAGAACGCCGCTGCTTTTGACGGTCCCTTTCAATCTTTTGCGCCCTCGGCAGGAGAAATGCAGTAGCAGAATGCTTATTGAGGATCATCAGGCACCAGATATAAGGTGTAAAGTGTCGCGATGCTCTCATGGGTTTTGCTGGTGCCGCGGCTGCTCTCTCTTACACGCCCTGCGAATCACGGCGTCTTCTGTCTTGGGTGGCCATTTTCTGCAAAAGCCGACGCATTACAACAGAGAAACGGAGCTGCTGCAACCGGGTTGCCTGTGAGATACAAACATGCGACCGCTATATTCCATTGACAGCAAAGTGATTGACGGACTAGCCTGGGCATGGCTTGGGGTAGTCGGTATTCTAGACCTGGCTCGGCTGGGCAACAAAAGGCCAAGTAAGTTTGGGGTACATTCATGGTACAGATGTAGGCCATAGACGCAAGTACGTACATGGCTGCATAATTGCTCTATTATTATTTATTGCAAAGCACTTGTGTTTGTGTTGTTTTCTCCGCACCGTAGAAGCATCAATAGTGGCTTCCTTCTCCCAGCGACGGCGCTGTCCTGGCTGCCAGCTGTCTGTCTAGCACCTACCGCGACGACAGCTTCGTCTCTACTCCGAAATTAGGCGAGCATTCAAAATGGCCTGGACCTACAAGTGCCGTCAAGCAAACGTATTGATGGGTCCGATCGCCTGGTGGAAGGCTGCATCAGCACTGTGAATTCGATAGGCTCCCCGTCGTGCGGGGGTTCCTCGCCGCTAACTGGCCATTCTAGCCCATGATAGCTCCGCTGCAGCGCAAGGCTTGGGGGTTTGGGGGTGAGCTGCAGCTGTTGATGGAGCAGTGACGTGACGTGAGGTACTCCAGACGACGGCGACTGCAATTTTCAACAATTAAGAGCTGGCTGAGACTCAATGTAGTCAAGTCTACCGTGTCGTCATACGCCGTGAATTGCCCGTAAACCCGAGATGCGCCAGGCTTCTACTGGCATCCCAAAACTGGCGGACTTTTCTCGAGCCCAAGTACAAACACGCATGCCGAATTGCAAACAGCCAAGTAAAGCTGAGTAACTACCTAGTCAAGTATCGGTTGCTTCGAGCCTTTGTTGCTGTCAACTTTGTGGCTTGACGCTTCTACGCGACTTTACCGTGAAGCATCACGGCGCAATCCGGGAAAAGTCGCGATGCTACGAAACCTAGCGTCAACAAATGGAAAGGATCAAGATTCTTTTTTGCATCAACAGCCGAGGCCGCGGCGGAATGAAACCTTGATCAGGAGCCATAGCTCCAACTATGAATTGTACCCATCGGGCCATCGCGCAATGGCCCATCACTGGCGCTCTATTTTCCTGCTGTCATCGAAACTTTATCAAGCCGTAATCTAAATCATTAGCTTGCTAAGATTGCGGGCGTCAAACAATCTCCATGTCGGGAGGAACTTTCACCACCGAGACTCGAGCCGACAACGGCGTGCGGCGAAAAGCGGCTATTCGCGTCATAAGCTCAACCCGATATTCGGGCTCCAAGACTACTCATCAATGTAATAAAGAAAGTTTGCGCAGCATTCCTCTGCGATTTAACCCGTGTTAATGCGCCGCCTTGTACTTCAGAATGCCATGCAAATGGAGAACTAGTCAATGTGCTTTGTAGGGTATGCTGATACCTGCGATTTCCGAATCTGCAAGACAATATTGTATTTCGACAATTGAAGAGCGTAGATGACCGAGAAAGTCTCAGCCAAGTCATTCAATACTCAGCGCAATAGTAATAACTAATTTTCAGTATGATTACATGGCTTCTGCGAATGGGCTTGTTAAGAGTGTTGTCGTAGTGCTCAACAGGTATTCAAGCGAACGGCATACCGGCACTCTCACACGGAAGATCATGCAAAACTAGAAATGCAATAGTCAGATTCCGAGGAAATCAAATGTGTGTTAAAACTCAGACAAATGATCAAAATGCTTAAACATACCTATTAGTCGCAATGGCAATGAAAGCTGCACCTCAAGGCCGCTCCAGCGAAGCCCCACTGTACCGGACCCCGATCGGCATCGCAGAGCTAAAGAAAAAAAAAAAGTTGGTGGTTGATCAGAGACCGTTGACGTCAATCCTTCCGGCCAAACAGACGACACCCAACACGAAATCGAGACGCCACTTGCCAGATAAGTCTGCTTCGTTCTATTCAAGCAGCATTTCCAAAAGCTCTTCAGTCCCTGCGGTATGGCCAAGAGGAAGAGAGGAGCCGACTCCTTGTCCCTACGACACCTGGAGAAGCTCCAGGAAGATATTGCTCGCGCTCTCAAGGAGGCCAAAGGCTTCGAACGCCAGCGTATGAGCAAGAGACAGCGCGCTTTTGATAAAGATCCGGAGAAGAAAGCGGCACTCGAGAGAGACATTAACGTACTCAAGGTGTGAACCAGTACAGCAGTGTGTGTTTGCGCAATGGCGTTGCTGACCTGTGTTTTTCTTGCAGTCATTAGACCTACACCAGACTGCGCGCGCGCACCTATATTCTTCGCTACTCAGGATTAAATCGATTGCGAACCACGAAGACCTCCCCGCACAGCTCAAGAAGGGAGTTGCGAAACCAGAACTGGCCGAAGACGAGCGGCTGGTGCTCCACAACGTCACCAGCGGCCTCTACAATCGCGACGGCGTCAAGAAGGCTGTCGACAAGGCCATTACATTTGTCTGCGAGGCGCTAGATATTCCTGTTCCACAAAAGGGCGCAAAGGGAAAGCGCGAGCGAAAAGAAAAGACGGAAAATGCTCAAGAAGCCGAGCCAGTGCCAGTAAAGGCGGACCAGAAGACAACCCCCGTCGACAATGAGGACGAGACCGATTTCGAAGGCTTCAGCACCGACGATGACGATGATGAAAACGCGGTCCCGGCTGTACAAGATCTCGATAGCGACGCAGAAGTCGCCCAAGAAAACGACATCTCGGCTCTAGACGGCTTGCTAGGTAGTTCCTCCGACGAGGACGAGGACGAGGATGACGAGGAGCGCGCCCGCCTATGGGAAAAGTATCGCGGGAAAGAAACGGTCAATCTCGACGACATTTCCCTGTCGGGCGGCGACTCTGAACCGGACGACGCAGTCGACAGCGACGACGACGACCACGAGCCTCGCACCAAAGCCGCAAGCGACAAAAAGGTCACCTCCCGCGGCGTCTCCCTCTCGTCCTCTCCCGAGCCGCAACGGAAACGCTCCAAAAAAGCAACCTCGGCCACCGCCGGCGGCCAACCCACCGGCTCGACGTTCCTGCCGTCCCTCATGGGCGGCTACGTGTCCGGGTCCGAGTCGGCGTCGGACGTTGACGTCGCGCCGCCCAAGAAGCGCCGCGGCCAGCAGGCCCGCCGCGCCATCTGGGCGCAAAAGTACGGCAGCCGCGCCAAGCACCTCCAGGACGCGGCCAGAAACAAGGGCCGCGGCCGCGACGACGGCTGGGATATGAAGCGCGGCGCCGTCGATGCTGGTGACAGCAGGACGCCGTGGAAAAAGGGCGTCAGGAACCCGTTCTCGTCGGCGTCGGGCGGCGGCGGCGGCGGCGGCGGCGGGCAGCAGCAGGAGACGAGACGACCGCCGCCACCGCCAAAGAAGCGTGACGATCAAGGTCCTTTGCATCCTAGCTGGGAGGCGCGGAAAAAGGCTAAAGAGTCGCAAAAGGCTGCGGCCTTTGCGGGTTCAAAGGTTGTTTTTGATTAGAGCTCTGCATAAGGGGCAACGGCGTTTGTAGGAAAATTGTTATGCATAGGACATTTTATTCTTCGTCATGATCAATACTATGTACATGATAGATTGCTGTTTTATTCTTCGCTGAGTCCATTTCGCCGTACCATGGTGCCTACGACTGACAAAGCGGCGAAATCGACTTGATCCAGCAATTATGTCCACTGAACCCAACGTCCAAACGCGCTTCGAGGTGTCTCTTATAACATGGAGGATGGAGCTTCATCCTCTGCTCCAGGCCCAGGAAACTCTCCATCAGCTGTTGGTCTGCCGTTGGGTTGGTGCCATTGAGAAAAGCTGGCTCAGTCTTCCGAGCCCAGACTCAATCGAGAGATGAGGGGGGCCTTGAATTTTGGAGTACCAAGCAACTGATATAATGTACTCAATTCTTTTTGCAAAGTGAGCATGGCTTTAGAGGCTGTACCTGCACAAACCCTTTGCACACCGTAATGTTGTGCGGGGCAGCCAGTTCCTGCATGAGTTCGTCATCTGGGCCTCACAAAGCCTCTTTCATCTCCAACTGAGACAACTCTAGGGCTGCATAAATTGCGCACCGGGCGCTACATCCTGCTTGCTGTTCTTCTTCCCCATCTTCCGTCCCGTGTGCGCAATTGCATCAAGAATAGGCCGAGATATTGCTTGCCATGAGATTGCCCAAACGGCTTGTTTTGTCGACAGCCATGTCATTCGCAACTGTTGATGCTACACCAGCTAGCAATCAAGCCCCTCTCGGGCATGGCCAAAACTCTATCTCACAGGGCCAGAGCCCATTCACAACTCAGTTTGACAAATATGTGGAAGCCCTGCTGGACGAATGGAAAGTTGCGGGCTTGGCCATTGGTGTTGTTGACTCTGGGCGTTCTTACACCAAGGTAGGTGCAATCTGCGTGCCCACGCACCACTTCTCGAGATGAAAACTGCTGGTTACTGACTGACATGGGTGCGAATCAAAGGCTTATGGATATGCCCAACTCCCCAACGTGCCCGCTACCACCGATACGTTGTGGTATGTGGGCTCGACCACGAAAGCGCAAGTCGCAGCCACGCTCGCCCAGGTAATTGACAACCAGACATATCCGGCTCTCTCCCGTGGGTGGGAAACTCCCATCTCGTCCATTATCCGCGACGACTTTGTTGTCAGCAACGAGTGGGCCGCGGCACATGTCACTCTCGAAGATGCTGCGAGCCATCGCACCGGCCTGTCCGGCCACATCGATGCCCTGCCCAACACGCTGAATGAGACCAATGCGACGGCGACTTTGCAAGATATCGTGCGTATTGTTCGGCATTTTCCCCTCACGTACGAACCAAGGACGAAATGGGTCTACAATAACTTCATGTACGTCACGCTCGCCCACGTGCTCGAAACACTGACCGGCGAGCCCCTCCGCCAGACGCTGCAGAGGGTGCTGTGGGAGCCGCTCGGCATGACCTCGACGTTTCTCAACCTGCGAGACGTGGACCGGTCCAAGCACGCCTCCGTCGCCAGAGGATACTACTGGAACCGCGAGCGGCAAGAGTTTGGCGAGTACCCTCTCTGGGACGCCCCCGGCGTCAGCGGCGCCGGCACGGAGCTGTCCACCGTCGAGGACTACACAAAGTGGCTCGCGTGCCTCATTGACGAAACGGCACCGCTGTCGAGAAGCGTGCACGCCGACATTCGCAGGCCCAGGATGATTGTCCAGCCCGAGACGGAACCTCTGCAGGGCCTGGATATTAACCTGTATGGCCTCGCCTGGCTGCGTACCACGATCCACGGCCACGTGCTCCTTTATCACACGGGGTCGACGGAGAGCCACGGTGCCAATGTCGTCTGGCTGCCGGAGCTCAGATACGGCCTGGTCATCTTTCTCAATCAGCCCAACGAGGTGCGACACGTCATTGCGCGGAAGCTCATAGAGGATCGTATCGGCACACCCGAGGCCAATCGTTTCAACGTTTCCAAATTGTACGTGTTTTTTTTTTCTTTGCTGCCATTCACTCTGTTCCGTCTCGTCTTTTCACATTTCTCTTCCTTTCTTTCTCTTTCCTCTGTGAGACTAACCGCGGAATTTGTCGCATAGCTGGAAAGAGAAGCTCGCTGCGTCTGAAAAGGCCATCGACGACGCAATCGACACCCTCTTCCCCGACCGGCCAAGCCCTCCACTGCCGTCCACCCACGCGCTCAACGCCCTGGTGGGCGAGTACCACCACCCGGGCTACGGCACGCTCCATCTCCGGCTCGACGAGGCCAGTAATCCCAGAAACGCTGCTGCCGCCGAGCGCATTCTCGTGGCGGACCGCAAGAACCTGGCATTCCCCGTGCAGTGGCGGTTCGAGCACGCATCGGGCGACTACTGGGCCGTTTGGCGCTACGGCTACGTCGACACGGCGAGGCCGAGTGCTGCGTACGCGGCGCGCGTCGAGACGGCTGTGAATGGCGCAGTCAAGAGCATAAACATGAAGCTGGCGGCGGAAGAAGTAGCCGGCAGGGTGCCTGATGAGATTATCTTTTCTAGGAAGAGCTGAGTGTGTGTGTGCGTAAGTTTGACCTAGAAATTCTGGGCACAGCACTGCTTTGAGACAGACACACAAACTGGAATATGCTGCTTCTGAATTCATGTAGACGTATATATGCAAAATAACTCATGTAAGATTTACATCTATACTGCTTTCGAAGCCCGTGCCTTGTTATCACGGTGCCGCTTTTCCTTTGCCGCCGTCTTTCGCCGCGTCATCCAAGACCGGTTGAGGTCGCGTCTATTCTCCCAGAACCACTGTTGAAAGTCGCTCGTTGCCTGCCCGTCAGGAGCACCAGCACCGTCGTCCGCGCCCTCGTCGTTGTCGTCGTCGTCCTCTTCTTCTTCCTCCTCGGCCTCGGCCATTTCTGCGTCCTCGTCCATCGGAGGGAAGAAGCTGCGCATGCGCGCGGGATGAACCGTGTCGGGGGTCGGTGCAGCGCTACGGATGTTGCGCCATTCGAAATCTTGCTTCGTGTAGGGCGTCATGGGCACAGAAGGCATCCCACTGTCGACAGTGTCCTCTTCTTCCGCTTCCTCGTTGTCGTCTCCGCCAAAGAAGCTAAAGCCACCCTTGTCTGCGCCGGGAGTCGTGGTCCCGTTTTCATCGGGCTTGGGACGCTTATAAAGCGCTTCCAGGGGATGTACAGCTTTGGGTGTAATGGGAGGGGGTGGAATGTCAATCACCAGGGGCTTGGAGGCGGCGTGTTTTGCCGTCTCTGGCGCATGGGTTTCCGTCTCGGAGCTATCGCTGCCCGAATCAGAGGCATCGCTTTCAGAGCTTCCGTCACTGGCATCAACGGCCACCTTTTTCGACTTTGGCCTCTCTGTTTCCTCCGATGGCTCGTCCTCAGATTCCTCCTCGGACGAAGTATCGTCCGAGGAAGTGTCGCTCTCACTAGAGCTCTCATCTTCAGACTCGGGCTCCGGAGACGCCACTTGCTTTTTCTTTGCCTTTTTGGGCTGTGGCTTTGGCACTTCCTTGGCCTTAACAACTTGCACCACATTTCCATCTTCGTCTACCCAACCTTTGCCCTCGATAAATTCTGTCGCAGGTTTGCCCTCAGTCTCGGGAGCAGCCGACCGGAGGAAGCTCATGTATTTTGTAGTCTTTTCGAATTCATGAACCGTAACTTGTCTGGAAGAACCCTTCTTTTTCTTCTTGCTGATGCTGGCATCTTCTTCGGGAAGATTTCGCATCTCGTTGGGGGGCATTCTTGTCTTGAGAAGACACTCCTCCTTTTCGATATACTTTGATCTCGATTGCTTTCGCTTGCCGTCTTTTTCGGTGCTCTTGGTTTCTTTGGAGCTGTCCTTGCTCTTCTTCTTGTTTTTATAGTCGGCGGGCTCCGTCCACCCACGCTTGACTTTGCGGTCGTCAAGCATGACGCCGTCAATGACACCCATTTCGCGCTTGCGCTTCTTCGGTCGCGCCGCATCATCGCTGTCCTTCTGTACCTTTGACTTTTTCCCAGCCTTATCAGCGTCATCCGCCGGGTCGGGCTCGATGCGCTTTTCAGGACGGGCCTTTTCGACGCGCATCTTGCTGCCCTTCAGTACCATGCCATTCAGCTTCTTCTTGATCTTGTCGGCGTCCATCTGCGGCAGCTCAACAAAGCCAAATCGCCTTTCGGGAAATGTTTCGATCGAATGATAGGAAATGTTGCGGGCGTTGGGGAGAGCGGTAGCTGGCACGACGATCTTCAGCAGGTCGGCGTCAAACGGAGTGATGTGCAGGCGAACGTAGCCGTCTTCTGTGGTCTCTGGAGACACGGTGCACGGAGTCTTAGGCTTCGTCGCAGCCTCTGCCGTCATAATCAATATCGGCGTATGAAGCGCAGACTGGAAGGCCCTTTTTTGTCGTCCAGGTCGCTTGGACTTTGGTCCAAGCAGAAGATAAAATTCGATGCCCAGGTCAACTTTTTAGCGGGTCCCTTTTAGCCTTTGACAACCAGCTGGTAGCTGCCAAAACGGTCGCCCAATCCAGTACCCTGGATCAAGGTACCGATCTATTAAGGTATTCTGTGAAGCAACGTGGAAAAGGGAAAAGATGGCCCAGGTGGCCTATAATATACTAGAATTAGTAGAAGTAGTTGAAGCAGTCGAAGCAGTCGAAGCAGTCGAAGCAGTCGAAGCAGTCGAAGCAGTCGAAGCAGTCGAAGCAGTCGAAGCAGTCGAAGCAGTCGAAGTGGTAGAATTAGTAAAATCAGTAGAATCCTTTTTATAAAGCAGAGTTTTAAAGAGTTTGGCGCCAGCAAATTTTCATCGTGTCATAATAATGCTGAGCACCGGCGCACACCAGGACTGTGGTGAAAAAACTTGTTGAAATGGTTGACGCTCATGGGATCTCATCAAAGTAACAGCCCGCAAACTGGAACAACTTGAATCGAGACGTATTTGGAGTGAGGAAGAAAGAAGATACTCTAGATGGACGTTTTCTCTTGGTGAATATTACACTCTGACATACAATATAAGTACAAATACATCCACCATTTTGGAGCGGAGAGGGAAGAGAAAGCCTCTTTACATGTGTCGCATCGCTAATCCGTGAAAAAAAAAAAATTATGCAAATGAGGTGAAAGAGACGGCTCATAGAGAGTCGACCAATCATTTAACCAAATGGCTTGGGAGAGTTGTGGCGGAAGAATGGTTGCGGATTCTGCTCTCGCACATCACCACCGATAGCCTTCCACCATACGTCGCTGCTCCATCGGATAATCCTCTCGGCAGCTCCCTGTGGTGTAGCCGCTGGACGGACATCGAGGTAGAAGACTGGCTCGTCGCTCTCGTCCGCATCGTCAGAGTAGTAGTCAATGACGTATCGAATCTCCTTCTGCTCGCCGTTGACTTCGCGCGAGATATACCAGTCGTGTCGGTCAAAAGGCGGCTCGGTTCTAGAAATTGTTAGGCAAATTTTACACTGAAACGGTTCCGCGGCAAAGACAACGTACCCAAACTTGGACGGATAAATCCAGCCCAGAACCTGGAGCATGGCCGCCTTGGGCGTCATGTCTTTTGGTCTGCCCTGGAATCGGATAAGACTAGGTTCGGGCTCCTTGCCGTCCCAGTTACGATCCATCTCCTCTTCGAAGTGCTCCTCGCCTCGCTTGCACAGCTGCCAGCCCCTGTAGAGACCGCGGTGGAAGCGCTGCTCCCAACCGACGATTTCCGCCCAGGCGCCCTCATTCAGGAAGTTGTGGACAGAGACCATGGACTCGACAGCCGTGATATCCGTGTCCGCGTAGCCTTTGCGCAGTAGCGCATTGTACATTTGCTGAGGGGAGGGATACTCCCACGTGCCATGGCCATCGCCCTTTGGAATGGTCGACTCCTCGCGTGATGTGGGCAGCGCGTGCGTCTGGTTGTGCGCCGGCTTCTGTGACAGGTCGGAGAACATGTAGTTGAGAGGGTTAAGCTGCGACAGGATCGACTTGGGCTCCGAGGCGGTTGCTGCTGGTCTCGACGTGGCCGAAGCAACGGCCGCGGCGCGCTGGTCATGGGGAACGGGGCAGCCGGACGTGGAAGGGAGGGGAGGCGCAGATTTCGTCGCTTCGGTGCCGGGAATCAGCTTATCAAGCGACTTTTTATGCATCGGGCAGCTAGCCTATTGATGAAGGTCGCATTAGCTTTCAAAGTTGGGCGCTTTCATTACTTCGTCGCACACGCGCAGTGCTTACAGGAGGCTCCATGCCAGTCAGGGCTGCCGGGTGACCGCTGGACATATGCCCGGCAGCGGGAATTTGATCAGCCCAGAACCATCCCATCGTGAGGTTCTGTCGTATAACTGGGCAAAAGGTTGAAAATGGATATGCTGCAAATGCGCAGATCAAGATTGGCTGTCCAAAAGGGACAAACAGCGCCACCCTGCGACTAATAAAGGGACGGGGAGAAATTTCTAATCTTATCGCGCCATGACGGCGAGCCCGTGGGGCGTGCCGCGAACCAGGCTGCGGCATCGGGATTGTTAGGAGATGTGTGTCGGACTAGCCCAGGCACTAACAGTCAGCTTTCATGCTTTCTGCTCTTTTTCCTCCGGCTGGGCTTAGTTAGGTTTGCCCCTGCACATGTACCTACGTCACTGACTTGCAAGTGAACGGCTTCAACGGCAATACTCGAAGCTGTCTGCCGGCACACGCCGGAGCCCTCAACATACAACATTTTATGACGCATTGCTACCAGCTCGAGCATGAAAACAACGGCGCATACGAGAATTACGTCGATTAGCCCATAGAGATGAGGGTTGAGCTCCTGCTCGGCAGGTTCACTGCCCGGTCGGGTTTTCGACAAGCACAGGGCTTCAAACCGACGTCATTTATTCGGCTGCAATGCGCGCGTCGACTGCACACGCCGCGCCAGATACCGTGGCGCGGCGGCAGCAAAAGCAGGGGCAGCGGCAGCTCGACACTGCGCGCGTCGGCCGGCGCGGCTGCCATTGGCACGGCGACCTTTGTCGAGCTCGCGCGCAAGGATAATGGCGGTACCAATGAGACGGGCGAGCTCCGCATGCTGGAGCTGTCGCGAGAGGAGATTCGCAAGACGATAGATGATGACGACCGGGGGATATCGCGGCTGATGCACAAGGTGCTGCTGTTCATCGACTTTTACATCTGGGAGCCCATCTTCACCGGCGTGCGGTTCCTTCACCTCGTCGCCATCTTCGTACCGGTCATCGTGTCTGTGCCCATGATGTGGCTCGGACGCCGCCTCCCGGAGCGCGACGATGAGCGCCAGGGCACGCTCTGGTGGTACAGCTTCCTGGTCAAGGCCATGGAGCTGGCGGGCCCGGCCTTTATCAAGCTCGGCCAGTGGGCGGCGTCGCGGTCCGACATCTTCCCCAACGAGCTTTGCGACACAATGTCCAAGCTGCACTCCAACGCGCCCGCCCACTCGATGCGGGTGACGAGGGCGACGGTCGAAGAGGCCTTTGGCGGCCGTCCGTTTGAGGAGATATTTGACGAGTTTGACGAGAAGCCCCTCGGCGTCGGCGCAATTGCGCAGGTATACAAGGCCAAGCTGAAGCCGGACCTGGCCTCGCCGGCCGACTCGGACATTGCCAAAGACAAGCACATGGCGGACAATGTCAAGCATCATGTCAAGACGGTGCTCCTGAGCTCACCTAGCCGCGTGCCCTCGACATATGTCGCTATCAAGGTGCTTCATCCCCATGTTGAGCGAACAGTTAGACGCGACTTGCGCATCATGGGGTTCTTTGCATCCATGCTGAATGCCATCCCGACCATGGAGTGGCTATCATTACCCGGCGAGGTGGAGCAGTTTGGCGAGATGATGAAGCTGCAGCTTGATCTACGTATCGAGGCGGCAAACCTGGCCACCTTTCGACAAAACTTCAAGGACCGGTCCACGGCCTGGTTCCCTTATCCTTACACCGACTTTACGACTCGCAACGTGCTGATTGAGGAGTTTGCCCAAGGCATTCCTCTCGCCGACTTTATGGAAAATGGCGGCGGCGTGTTCCAGCACGACATTGCCGACGAGGGCCTGGATGCCTTTCTGCGCATGCTGCTCCTCGACAACTTTGTCCACGCCGACCTGCACCCGGGCAACATCATGGTGCGATTCTACCGCTCGGCCAAGCCCGAGCTGCCCGAGCTGCCGCCCATGCGGCACGCGCCCGACGCGCCGCCGCCCGGCGTGGACCCATCCGACGTGACCGAGGAGGTGCTCGAGCGCCTGCGGCCGTACCGCGCCGACCGCGACGCCTGGCAGGCGGAGCTGGCCAAGATTGACGCCGAGGGCTTCCGGCCGCAGCTCGTCTTCATCGACACGGGCCTCGTCACGGAGCTCAACGCCACGAACCGCAAAAACTTTTTGGATCTCTTCCGCGCCGTCGCCGAGTTTGACGGCTACAAGGCCGGCCACCTCATGTGCGAGCGCTGCCGCCAGCCCGACGCCGTGCTCGACAAGGAGGTCTTTGCGCTCAAGATGCAGCACCTGGTCCTCAGCGTCAAGAGCCGCACACTCGCCCTCGGCAACGTCAAGATTGGCGACATTTTGCAGCAGGTGCTCGCCATGGTCCGCGGCCACCACGTCCGCCTCGAGGGCGACTTTGTCAACGTCGTCATCAGCATCCTGCTGCTCGAGGGCATCGGCCGCAGCCTAAACCCCGACGTCGACCTGCTGAGCAGCTCCCTCCCCATCCTGCGCCAGCTCAGTACGCAAGGCGCGGGTGGTGGCGGTGATTTTTCCATGATCCTATTGTGGGTTGGTTTGGAGACGAGAAAGTTTCTGCAGGCAAGCATTGAAGATGTGAGTTTCTTTTCCTGCTCCCTTGATTGCAAAGTTTAGCACACCACTAACAACGGCCAGGTCGAACGATGTGTCAAATACGATCTTTTGTCTCCAAATGTTTAGACATACAGCTGTCAAGACAATTCCATTTATTAGATTTTTCAAGTGTAGCATAGAATCTCTTCTATTCAAAAACGACGAAACTATTAATGATCCACACGTTTTAACATGTTTTGTCTCAGACCAGTTCGTTAAAACTACCCCGCGCAACGACTTTCTTCGATCCAAGAATCTTCAGCCCTCAATCGTCCATGTTTAATTACCGTTGAATGCGACCACATTGCAGTGAAAAAATCAACCTGATATGTATCTTTATATAGAAATCTATGTTCAAAGCGGGCTCTGCCAACCAGAAAGCTACCAGTAACTTGCTCTTGCCATGAGACACCAGAGCAACCATGGACTCCGTAATCCCAAGAAAAACCACACCATGCATAGGCTAGAAAAAGTAAGGCCGTGACAGTAAAACGAGATTGTAACAAGTATCAATGACATAGTTATCTCCGTTCGGTTAGTGAAAGCACCCTTAGTCGGTGCTCGCGCTCAAGTCCATGGACTTTTCCCACAAGTTTCTCAGTAACGTGGTGGTGCCATCAGCCTCCTCCGTCGCGCTGGAACCGCTCAACCTCTCACTCAGACGCGCAGCGTCGTCGCCATCGTAGCTAGAGCCGGCACCGCTGCTCCGTATAGTCGCCACTCTTCGCGAGGCTGCGGCCTGTCTCGGGTCTGGCATACTTACATTACGCATATGTCGAGCGGGTGCTTCAGGTGCTGTCCTTCTGCCGTTGGCGAGAGGCGTGCCAGGACGAGGTATGCGCTTACTCCTTTCAATGTCAGGCAAGCGGCTGAGCCGGTTGAGCGAGCGGGCAATAGGATTCTGACACCTCCGCACCACAAGATATTCCATACCGGTCCGTTCCATCAGCCTGTTGACACGTGGATCACGGCTACTGGCACCGTCGTAGCCTGTACCGGTAATGCCGATTAAAGGCCCGACAACGCCGCCTACAGCGCCTACAGCTTGCCCAGGCTCAAGTGCAGAGCTTTGGCGCTGCAGGTTCAGCTTTTGTTGTGTGCGCGATGTCTCTGCTCTTGGAGCGGTACTGCGTCCCACGGATTTTGGGACGAGGGCGCTATCATCAATCTCGGAAATGAGTTGCCTCGAGCCGTTTTGCGATAGGCTTGAAAACGATTGAACTCGTGGAGATATCGGTGGCAACTGCCTCGAGCTGCCTTGGGGGTTATAGAACGAGCCTTCGCTAACAATGCCGGATCCAGGAGTCTCGACAAATCTCGATATCAGCCCATCCTGGTTGGCAGACGCCGAGAGAGATCCGTTGGCACCATCGGATTCCGGAGAATGGCGCGGTAGATTGGCCTGCGCCATTTGGGTTGCCATCTGTGTGGTTGCGCCCTGGGACGTGGTGCGCTTCAGTACGCGAGACGTGAGGTATTCTTTTTGACGTAGGCGCTGTTGCTCAGAAGGGGAAGTGGTTGTAGGCGGCTGCACAGGCTCACTAGGTGTTTGCGGCCTCGAATTGGCGTTGGACGCGGGATTGCGCTGCAAAGATGATTGCCCGCTGCTGATAATAGAACCCTTTCGTGACATGTGCGGCGAATTGGAACCGCTCGCATCAACCCATTCGTCTTCCGGGTCATCCACGCCAATGTTGAAAGTCACTTGCGATTTAGTTGGCTTGTGCTTGTGCACGGCAGTGCTGCTTGTATTGCGATGCAGCTTCTCCGAAGAACGGTTGCGCTTAGATACTTCAATGCTAGACCGATTACGCTTGAGGCTAGACTGTGAAGTGCTTTTGGGAAGATTGGCCGAGGAGCTGTCGTGCGATAGCTTGGCTTCGCTGTTGACACGACGGTGATAATTTGGGCGACGGTTGGTCTCGCGATCGCCGGGAGAGGTTGTGCGCCTGGTCAGTCTGGGAGCGGCCTGACCATGCTGTTGCGTCTTTGTATGCAGGACCTTGGCGGAGGGGACGCGGGCATGAAGCCGACCACCGACATGGTGCTGCTTTTGGTGCTGCGACTTATGGCGCTGTTGATGCGGCGCAGCTGCAGAAACGTCGGTGTGGGCGTCGGCGTCGCGATGCTTTGATTGGCCACCGGGTGCTACAGATGCGCTGTCCCCGTCTCTTTCTCGCGCCATGGTTCGTTGAACAGGCTGCGCTGACAGCACAGCGAGGAGGCGTCGACAGGGTTATTCGGTTGGATGGCGAGCGGCGAAGAGGGGGGTACCGAAAATTGTCTGCGGGTGCAGGAAAACGTGGACCAAACAGGATACTGCGATGTCGGGGTGGTCAAAGGCAGCTCGATGCAACGCTGAACAAGAGGGCTGCGGTAGTACTCCGTAGTGAGACACGGACCGTGGTGGTGAAGAAGAAGGGAGCAGAAGACGGTGATGGGACGCTGCCCTGTATAGGTATGCGTCACTGGGCAGGCGGCGGGCGCTATGTAACGGCTGCACCGAGTACCGTGCCAATTCACCAATTGGCGGGGAACTGGCGGGCAGGCGGTGAACGGCTCTCCAGATAATCGATGCGTCGCGGCTGAGCGATGTTGCGTCTTGCGATTGTCGATGAGGATGGTGAATTGACGAGGTGCAAGGCAGTGAGCAGAGTTGAGTGAGGCCCAGGTGAAGTCCGGGTCTGGAAAGGGCTAACGAGGTCTGGTTAGGCGGGGCCACGACAAGGCCTGGCCTGGTTGGTGATCACTGATGGCGCCGTCGTAGACAATGGGCGCCTTGATATCTTGAATATCTGACGACCTCATGGAATACGACAAATGAGTGGCCATCTAGGTCGCTCAAAGTTGCACAAAATAACCCGTGACGATGCTGTGTAATATGATTATCGTTTCCAAGTACGACAACCTTTTGCTTGGGACCGATTCAAGGGCTGCTTGACTGCTCCCCAGCAACTTGCGCTTGACTTCAAACTGTTTTCACGAACACCCATATTTGCAATGCTAAGAGGAATAAAAAAAAGGAAAAAGCACAGATGGGTGGCAGTCTATCAAGCACAGCCCGAGACAAACCATCGTTCTCGAACCACACCGACTTACAGCAACACTTATCACGTGCCCCACTTTGGCCGCAAGATGGTTTTCGGTCGCCCATCTTGCAGCGTCGTGCATCATCATCACCTACTACCGTCCCGTCTTGCATCATCACCTACTACCGTCCCATCTTGCAATCTTTGAATCGTCGCGCTTCCACCAATCATCTGTAAATTTCATCGTCTGCAAAGATAAGATGTCTGGTCTAGCCGAGATGGAGACTGAGAGGGAGCTGTACCAAGAACAGGTGCGTTGCCAAAAAAACCACCACTGCCTTGACTACCTGGCTAACCATTCTTTTAGCTTGACCTTGTCCTTGCGCAGCTACGCGATGACCCCGATAATGCTGAACTCAAAGCGCTTGAACAAGAGTTGAAGGACTTTGTCAATCTTCTCAACGAGAACATTTCAGAACTAAAGCCGAAACAGGCCCCCAAGCCAACCTCCAAGCAACCCTCGCCCCAAACCGAACCCGAAAAATGGTCGCGTGAAAACCACCCCGCCTTCAAAAAGACTGCGCCCCCGCCGCCCGAGGACAAGGACGACACACCTGTGACCTACCAAGTCAACGATACCGTCATGGCCAAGTGGGTATCGGGCGACAAGGGCTTTTATCCAGCCAAGATTACTTCGATTACCGGATCCGCCGCAAGCCCCGTCTACGTCGTCAAGTTCAAGAGCTACGACTACACGGAAACATTGCGTTCGCGTGACATCAGACCTGTCTCGAATAAGAGAAAGGCCGAAGCGCCACCTCCGCCGCCCACGGCTTCGGCTTCGGCCTCGGCCGGGCCAACACCACCTGGCCTGGTCTCCTCTGCGGGCGCGACTACATACCCCAATGCCCACAAAGATGGCGATGCAGAAGCCAAACCGCCGAAGCCCAAGAAAATCAAGGCGAAGAAGGAACTTGAAGCCGGAAAGAATAAATGGCAGGATTTCAACTCCAAATCGAAATTTGCAAAGACGCAGAAGAAGGATAGCATGTTCCGGACGCCAGATGGTATCCATGGTAGAGGTGCGTTTCAATGACTTTCGTTCTCGTTCTGTGTCAAATAATACTGACTTTGTTATCCTCTAGTTGGCTTCACTGGATCTGGCCAAGCAATGCGCAAAGATCCAAGCCGAAATCGCCACGTCTATCAAGTGAACGAGGATTTAGACTAATGATCTGGTGCTCGCAGCAAAACAATCTTCTTTTTCGACGATGAGCATGTTTCGGCGTTTCGGAATGGGAAGGACTCTCGAATGATGCTTTATGCAGCGAACTTTTGTTGTCACGGTAACCAGGCTCCCTGTTCTATTACTGCGGAGGCTAACTGCCATTCTGGCTCATCTTTCAGACTACTTCCTCACGAGTATGTGGAGGTTTTGAGTGAGTTACTGGATATGAACGCCCTTAATACGCCTGACCATATTCTTGGGAACAAACCCAAGGTACATATTTTACATGATAGTACATAGCCTGCCTGCCCTGCCAATTTGAAACACCAGTCACTGTTTAACGCTCCTGCATCTCGATTTTCGGCACAATGCTTTTGGCAATGTTCAAGAAGGCGGCAGCTCGTTCGCTCTCTGGTTCCGCGACCACTGTCGGCTTGCCTTTCTCTGCATCGTCTCCTATACTGGGGTGTAGCGGTATGTCGCCGAGAAACTCGATGCTGTGCTCGGAACACATCTTTTCGACCCTCTCATTCGATCCAAATACGTGCGTCCCCTCATTGCAATGCGGGCATGTGAATAGTGACATGTTTTGTACAAGCCCAAGAATGTCCACGTTGACAGTCTTGAACATATTAATACCTTTGACGGCATCTTTTGTAGCTAGAGTATGTGGTGTTGTAACAATGACGGAACCTGTGCCCGACATTAGCATACATGCCTCGAGTGGAGTGCCTGGAAAAGTTCACCATCAAGTATGACCTGCTGTGTTATTGTAAGTTGTGTGTCACCTGTTCCAGGCGGCAAATCCAGAACGAGCACATCCAAGCCACCCCATTCGACTTCGTGCAGGAGCTGTTGTATTGCTTTCATGACCATAGGCCCGCGCCACACAACGGGCGCTGATTCTCCGACAAGATAGCCCATTGACATGGTTTTGACACCATAGTTTGTCAAGGGAACAAGCTGATTATCTAAAATTGTAAGCAATGTATCTTGGCCAATGAATGCTCTGCGCGCACTTTTAGAGAGCCTGGGTTCGCCAGATAAGTCGAATAATGTCGGGATTGACGGCCCAAAAATGTCTGCATCCAAGATACCAGCTCTGAATCCCAGTTTTGCAAATGCCAACGACAAATTGGCTACGATTGTTAACGGATGGAGTGATGAGGTTCCAAGAGCTTGGTCTTTACCTGCTACTGTGCTCTTTCCGACACCTCCCTTTGCAGAAGACACAGCAATGACCTTGTCCACTCCTGTAATCTTGCGCTTCTGCGGCTTCTTCGGCCAGTGTGGAGGTGTCCCGGCTCGTGGCAAACCCTATGAATGTAAGAAAACCAATCTGCAATAAAAGAAGAAGATATTTTCGCCCACCAAAGGATTCTCATGGGCCAAGGCGCCGACCGCACGAAACAGACGGCTTGCTGTTGGCCTCATGGTGGCAAAAGGACGCTGATATAGTCTACGTATACGTTATTTTTTTTCCTTGCTTGAATTGTGAAAATTTTCTGCCAAAGTGAGCTCTGAGCCACTGAAATTCGACGCGGCTCCTGCAAGTAGAATACCATGAACTTGTCAACGACAATCAATAATGCGAAATGAAATGAGCTATGGACCGTTCACAGAGTCGCGCGCTGAAGGGCCACCTGAGAGGCCACTAACAGCAGCGCTGCTATTTTGCCAGCGCTGACCGCCTAAAAGTTGAAGCGTCTGGGCAGAAAATTCCAAGCGTGGGGCGAACCAGGACCAAGCTTTCATCTTGAAATTGATCGCAAAGTCCGCAGAGATGGGTAAGCCGACGAGGCGTGCAAAGTTGTTCGAAAAATTCGACGAGCATATTGAAAAAGGTATTAGAGCTTTTCTTCTGGGAAAATTTCAACTGCAGATCTAACTTTGAGCAGATCATGACCCAGAGGCCGAGCATGTAGCAGCCAGCGATAGTGACGATAGCAGCGACAACGAAAATGCTGGCACAGAGCACTATGTCGATGTCGGAAAGAGCAAACTACGCCAAAAAGGAGAAAACTCTCTCGGACCGCAATACAGAGGCTCAAAAGTGAGCCGCAATGCGCTAGAACAGCAGAGCTCGGACGAGGAGGATGAAGGTGAAGATGATGATGAGGAATACGACGACCCCGAAACAGCGGATCTCGAGGCCGATACAGCGGAGGCTAGCGATTCAGAAATAAGCAGCGATGATGCGCTCGGCGAATCGGACAACGAGAAGCTCAGCAAATTTGTCTTTCGCGGTAGCTCCAATCCAAGAAAGCCCAGGAGTAACCGTGCCACCGCCGCAGACTACATGTCAGACTCTGACGAGGAGGGTACTGATCTCGACCTCGAAGAGGATGACGACGAAGACGAGGACATCGACGACGGATTGGAGGCCTTAATAGATGGCGAGGCTGAGGAAAGTGATGAGGGAGAGGATGAAGACGAGGAGGACGACGATGATGATGAAGAAGATGAAGAAGAAGAAGATGATGATGATGGGGATGAAGAGGACGAGAAGGACGACAAAGCTTCGAAAGCCAAACCAGGCATGAGCGACCGATCACCAAACGCCGACATCGAGAAAGGCGCAGCAATTCAAAAACAACGGAAACTTTACGATGGTTTACTGAATCTACGCATCCGCTTACAAAAAGCGCTCGTGGCAGCCAACACATTTAGCGCATTGGAGGAAGAGCAAGAAGAGGAAGGAACCGCCGAATCCTACGACACAGCCGAAGCTACTGCTCTCAGTCTACTAAATACGATCAGCAGCCTGCGAGAAAATTGTGGCGCGCCAGTCGTGTCAGGAACCAAGAGAAAGCGCGACTATGAGGCGTCATCAACGAGTGCCGAAATCTGGGAACAATTACAAGAGGAGGATAGGTGCGCACTCAAGTTTCGCGAAAAATGTCTGGAGAAATGGTCCCGCAAAGTGCAAAGCGTCAACGTGACAGCACCCAAGGCTTTCGGCTCGCGAAACAAGACGCTCGTCGACTCCCTTCAAGACCAGCTCAACGATCCAGAGAAGCGTCTAGCGAAGCGCACACGCGTGCCGCGCTCGTGCGCCCCCGCGCAGCACGCCAAGAAGATGGCCGAGGACAAGACCATCTTTGACGACGCCGACTTTTACCAGCTGCTGCTCAAGGAGCTAGTGGAGCAGCGCACAGTGGACTCGTCGTCCAACCAGACGAGCGCAGTGCCGTCGGTCGTCTTGACGGCGACGCGCGAGAACAGGACGCGCAAGGTCGTAGACCGAAAAGCCAGCAAGGGCCGTAAGATGCGCTTCACCGTCCACGAGAAGTTGCAGAATTTCATGGCGCCCGAGGACCGGCGGCAGTGGGAGCAGAGCGCGATTGATCGTCTCTTCAGCACGCTCTTTGGGCGCAAGCTGGAGCTCAATGAGGACGAGGCGGACGAGGACGAGGACATGGTTGACGTTGCGGACGCCAACTTTAAGTTGTTTGCGTAACGCGATGCCTAGATGGCGGGCTACAGGCGCAGCGATTGACCAATTTCATTTTCGGAACATGTAGCAAAATTCTCGGGGTTATCGGGACACATCGGTAGATGTACATTTCTTTCTTTTTTTGCATTGAGGTGTCGGAATACTTGGAATAGAAAGAAAAGACATAAACATTGTAAACATTTGTTCAAGGAATCCGATGTTCCGCTGAGAGTGACGTGCTTCCGCAGAATGCAGTGCTGGTCGCAGCGTTGACGGTATGATGCGGAAATTTGTGGGGCATGGTTCCTGGATTCAGTGGGCGGCTTTCGTCGGTCCTGGGGCGGGGTGCGGGAGCATTCCGTCGAGAACAAACCCCGCTACAACGGCAACGTCAGATACCCCCTTTTGGCCATGCAGCCGCGGGGTTGCATTAAGTGTAGGTTTTGGCTCCCTGGGAATGCGATTTACATTGCATCTGCTATTAGTAATTACATTGCAATGGGACGCTCGCGGTCACCGCGCATTTTCAAGACCCGATTATGCTCTCTCACGCTTTCGCGACTCGAATTTGCCTTTTTCCCTACAGAGAATCTGTCTCTGCTATAAGCGGTTTGGCAGGGAATATCCCCCATTGTCAACATGTTCTGTGGTGCTGCGCTTTCTAATGTAAGCCGTCGCAGCTTTAAGCGCCCAGCCGCCACGAAACTTTGGGAAACTGTCACAAGTATAAGACTTGTATGGTAATCTCCGCACTCCCATGTGTTCTTTTACTTCACCCCATCATCATAAATATCGTCGCGCTTCACCGTCGTTTCTCGGCATTGATGTATCAGCGCGGGCGATGCTAAAAACTCTCCTCACCAGCAGTGCTGTAAGCCTAAGGCGCAAGCTGCCGCTTACGGCCGCTTTAATAAAGTTCCCCTGGTACGGAGTAGACAAAGATCTAAACCAGCTCAATGGAAAGATGGTGTATCTCTTTATTGCTCTGTATCAGAAGAAACCACAGAAGCCAAATTACAGGTCTACTTCAAGGGCCTTAAACTTGAGCAAGGGTACTTGAGTGGCTCGGCTTAGAGGGCGGCGCGGGGCCGTCACCGCAGTGGGTACATCTATCGGTATGGCCAAATGGGGGTGGCCGGCCTTGAGCTCTAACAAACTGCGTGTGGAGGAGGGGCATCTGGCATCGTTCCGCTTCCAGTTCCTTTTTCCCATTTTTAAGCCGCAGCAAAAAAAAAAGACTGGACATGTTTAAATCCTTTCATCAATTTCGCACTCTTGTCGGTTCTTCATCTCTCAGATTATTCACACGCAACATCACAATGACTGCTACCACGTCTTGGGTGCCCGCCGACGCCAAGGGCGACTTCACCATCCACAACCTGCCGTTTGGCATCTTCTCTACCGGCTCCGACGCGCCCCGCCCCGGCGTCAGAATCGGCGACAGCATCGTCGACCTCAAGGCCCTCTCCAGCGACCCGGCCGCCGCCAAGCTCAAGACCATTCAGGGAGCGGCGGCAAGCTTTGCGCAGCCGACGCTCAACGCGTTTGCGGAGTCGGGCCGGGCCGCCCACAGGGAAGTCCGCGCGGAGCTGCAGGCGATTCTCGGCGAGGGCGGCGACGCGCTGCTCAAGAGCAACGATGCGCTGAAGCAAAAGGTGCTGGTGCCCGCCAGCCAGGCCAAGATGCACCTCCCGATGCAGATTGGCGACTACACGGACTTTTACGCCGGCTACAACCACGCCTTCAAGGTCGGCGTGCTCTTTCGCGGGCCGGACAATGCGCTGCAGCCCAACTACACGCACATCCCGGTGGGCTACCACGGCCGGTCGTCCAGCATAGTCGTCTCGGGCACGCCGATCCAGCGACCGCGCGGCCAGATTCTGACCAACCCGACGGCGCCCGTGAAAGAGCCCATCACCAGCGCCTGCAAGCGCCTCGACTACGAGCTCGAGCTCGGCTGCTTCATCAGCAGATCCACCAAGATGGGCGACGCCGTCGACGTCAACGAGGCTGACGAGTACATTTTCGGCTACGTGCTGCTCAACGACTGGAGTGCGCGTGATATCCAGGCGTGGGAGTACGTTCCTCTGGGGCCCTTCAACGGCAAGAACTTTGGCACCACCATCAGCCCCTGGATCGTGACTGGCGACGCGCTGGAGCCTTTCCGTGCCGAGGCGCTGGAGAACAAGACCAAGATTCAGCCGTACCTGCAGGAGTCGCAGAAGAAGAATGTCTATGACATCAAGCTGCAGATTACCATCAACAGTAAGCCGGCGTGGAAAAAGGGACCAAAATATCATGGCGGCATAAATTTGGCTAACTAGACCCCTGTACAGCTGACGGAAAGACTGACGGAAACATCATCTCCGAGACCAGTGCCAAGAACCTGTTGTGGTCGTTCCCGCAGATGGTTGCGCACCACACGTACGGCGGCTGCAACTTGCGGGCAGGCGACTTTTTGGGCTCTGGCACCATCAGCGGCACGGAGCTAAAAGAGCGCGGTAGCTTGCTGGAGATGACTGAGGGTGGCAAGCAGGACTTTGAGATCGGGCAGGGCAAGGTGCGCCGGTTCCTCGAGGACGGCGACAGCGTGGTCATGTACGGTTACTGCGAAAAGGATGGCGTGCGCGTGGGCTTTGGCGACTGCGAGGGCAGCATCCTGCCGGCCAAGGCGCTGTAGATGTCAATAGACTGGGGGGGTTTATTAAAAATAGAGCTTTTGCTGAAAAATGGAAGGATGAGTGAATAACTGGTAGAAGATGCAAAAAAGAAATGCAAATCAAGTCAACCAATGAATGTGAAATATTCGGCCCTGGCCCATGGCATGCCTTGTCTGGTAGCAAAAAAAAGGTCCGCGCGCACCAACACCACCAACACGAGGAGGCGCACCCCACAGCGGGGAGAGCCCTGTAAAGGAGAGCTACAGTGGAGAGTCACGGGAGTGTAATAAATTTGAGCTGACGGTAATGGAGTCAGCCGCGCGGATGGTTGGAAACTTGATAATGCCACCACGGCCCCGGCTGCATATGTGACATGGATCACGGAGACGAGACGAGAGACAACAGCGTTTTCGGATGGCGCAGATGAGAGTATCAAAACCATTCGGATGAATGGATGCTTTCCGAATCCTGTCTCAGTCCCACGCCTCACAGTGGCGCAAGGCTTCCGCTACTTGGGCCGCTCTGTGGCCGCTGCTTGAGACAAGGCAGTAAACAATAATGGCTCGAACGGTGATACCGGGATACGATGCTGAAAGTTCTTTTGCTTCGCAGCTCACTCACTGCCTCTGGTCGTACGTAATGCTGGCTTTGCACCAGGCTCCAAAGTCAAAATAAAAAAAAAAGAGTCCAAAAGCTCACCCGCGATTCCGGTCACGTGTGGCGAATTGTCCCGGGAGCGGGCTCTGGGGGCCAAAGGGAGGGTGCGAAAGCGGTGCGGCGACCTGTGCCCAGGCAGTCTCTCTGTCGTCGCCCTTTGTCTTTTTTATTTTATTTTATTTGTATTCTTTTCTTGACCCTCCCTTTTCTCTTTCTGCTCTGGCCAAGACTTGCAGAGAGCCTAAATAAAAAAGAAAAAAAGGAAAAGCCAAGAACCACCCAGCGAAGCGATTTTCTCCTCTAGCGCGCTCTCCCATTTCTCTTCCCTTCAATGGGATCGTTACCATGGAGCAGATCGAGACGCAGGCTTCCGATTTGCGCTTTCTCTCGCAGGCTCAAGTTCCACTGAGCAACTCGCCCAGCGTCACCTACGAAACACCCAGGCCTGGGCCGCAGCACCAGCACCAGCACCAGCTCCAGCACCAGCAGCACCAGCAGCAGGACCACGACCATGACAGTCCTGGTTCCGCGTCCTTCGGAGGCAATTCCGCGACGCATGGCGGCGACCCAGCAGCCAACAAGAGGAAATCGACCGATGATGGCTTGAGCTCGGCCAAGCAAACGCGCAGCAAGCGAAATCGGGTGAGTCTTTCTTTCTCTCTTCCTCTTTCCATTCTTTCTCTTCTCCTTTTCGTCGTCGAGACGTGCGCAGCCAGTATCACCCACTTCTGGCGGGTGTGTGTGCGCGCCAAGGTTCTGCCCGCTCGTCACAGTCACGCCTGCCTGGCAAACACCAAGGCGGGGAGCCGCATGTCGGATGGGATGTGGCGGAAGGGAAGCGAATGTTCCGTCCGGCACGATCATCTACCGTCAGACTTTGTCTCTTGATCTGTCACCCGTGTCACCCGGTATTGTTGGTTTTTATTTTTGTCCTTTCCGCTAACCGGGGTGTCTTGTTATTTTTCTTTTCTCGCTTCAGTACATTTCCATTGCATGGTACGTCTGTTCCTCTTTCACCTTTTCGCCAACACTCTGACCCCCTGATAGTAATGAATGCAAGAGACGCAAAATCAAGTGCAATGGCGAAACACCATGTAAGCGCTGCGGCAACATGGGGCTGAATTGCCTTTATACGCCAAACTGCTGCGCAAACACCTTCAAAGATTCGGAAGAGTACAAACTCGTCACCTCTCACCTCAGCGCCCTGCAAGATGAAGTCGTCGCTCTCAAACAGACTGTCCAGGCCATGCAGCCAACCATGGGAGACCGCTCCCAGATGGCGTCAGCCTCCATCATGGCGCAAGGAATGATTGCCCCTTCACCAGCCCAGAGCTCCCTCTCGGGCCAGCCCAGTATCGGCCAAGCCAGGACTCCAGGCGTCTACCGAGGGTCCACCAGCAGTTCGCACATGATTGGCATCGCCCAGAATAATACAGGAATTACATACCCAGACCTGGACACGGCCAATCAATCAGAACCACAGCTCCAGCCGCTCATTGTTGGAGTCGACCCTATCCTAGACTACAGCAAGGATGAGATGCTTCGTCTCTGCCAAGTTCATGACGACGAGATTGGCATCATGTACCCAGTTCTCAACATGGGAAGCGTCACAGAGCATGCGCGGCATATTGCCACGCAGTTTGGTTCCCTGCGCCAACAGCCCGCTGCCCAACTTTTTACCGACGACAAGACACTCGAGCTCAAGATGGTCATGTGTTGTGCGCTCGTGGTTGAGGAGAACGGCCCTAGTATAAAGGCCCAGAAGCTTTTTGACAGCATGGAGTCGGTTCTGAATCGCAAGCTACTGACCGACGATGCATACATTTCCACTCTGCCTCTGCTATGTATATTTGCGGGCTATCGGTTCCTGACCGATGCCGAGGGCTTGGCATGGCGCATCATTGGGCAGGTATGCCGACTGTGTCTGGAACTCGGTTTACATCGATCCCAGGTCCACCAGTCTATTGAGGACCCGGTTGAGCGCCGACTAGCTCTCAACAGCTTCTGGTCTGCCTACGTACTAGACCGCCGTTGGGCTTTCAACACTGGACTGCCCTATGTAATTCAAGATGCGGATATTGACCCCAAGTTGGAATATCCGGTATGATGCTACCGTCCCAATAACTTGGCCCACTACTAACGCTGGTCGCAGACAGAACACCCCTATCTTGTTTCCATGATATCATATTCCAAGCTCGGCGCCAAAGTCTGGACCCTCGTCGAGCAGCGCCGGACCTCATTTCTCGATAATGAGAAGCCTTGGGTGCAGGAAATCGAGAGGCTTGATGCCGAGATTATTGCTTGGTATGCACGCGTGCCGCCTGAAGTGCAAATCAGGGACTGGCATGAGGAGGGTCACATAAACTCGACGTCGTCGTATAATTTGCAACGACTCAGAGTCTGGACCTATCTCCGCAAAAACCAAGTGAGTACTGGAATAGCAGACTTGATGCCGCTCTTACTAATTGAAAATCCAGATACGTAACTGGCTGCACGCACCAATTCTGCACACAACCAACTCCATCATGGGCGCACCGCATCTCGCTCAAGTATGTGTCGATGTGGCCAAAGACACGGTCGCGTACCTACATCAAGTGAACAGCCATACGGACATGATTCGAAGATCCCAAGCCTTTTACAGCCAATTTCTAGTTTCGGCGCTGGCAATCATGTTTTTGGCGTCGACTCAAGCACCTGTGCAGTTTTCTTCTATTTGCAGAGAAGACTTTTACACTGGGCTGAGTCTGATAGAAGATTTGTCGCCGCAGAGCCACATTTCCAAGCGTCTGTGGCGCATAGTCTGGTCGCTCCGCGACTACCTTCAACATCTCGCCCCCAAGCAGAACAACGACGCCCATTCCAACGCCGCGCTGGGCATGATTGGTCTTGCCAGAGGCGGGCGCATGGACACTGCCGCGACTCCTCAGTACGCCTATGGCGGTCCCGGCGGGGGCATGACCATGGCGCCGGGAGGCATACCCGACCCTTCTGACCTGGAGCAAAACGGCGCCAGGCTGTCGAGCCAACTCTGCCACATTTACGAATCCTTTGTGAGCCACAACGGGTTCAACAATATTCGGCTGGACCCAAACGACATTCAAACGCCGGATCAGGCAAGAGCTCTGGCGCAAACGCAGTTCTTTACCACCATGAGACAAATGTTTTGACGTGGGCCATGTTGAGACTCGGCACTCTTGTTTGGTGCAAAGTCGGTGTGAGATGTAATGAATTGTATATTGGCTTCAGAAAGCCCCCTTGTATTAGCCATGTCTTGCAAAATAATGTAGCAATACAGCGAATCTTTTCTTTCTTTTTTATTTTGCCAATTATTTTCTCGAGCCGGCGGCCTCGGACCTGATACTGGCTAGTCGCGACTGGGCATCTGCGTCCATGCCAACTGTTGGTGTGCCACTTTCATGTAGTGACTTGACATTGTGGTGGCTGTGGGTCGTCACATCACAAACATGTTTTTGCGCAAATGATGGTGCAAATGATGAATCCAAAGTGTATGTTGTTCTCTCACATGGGGTGGATATATGTCTGTGATCAAGGCGGAACGATTCCGCCGAGCATTGTACAAGAGTCAAGACAGTCATGTACCGGGGAATACTATTCCGTTCCTAGATCTATGTGCGTAACACACCTACCTGCATTGTATCCCTTTTTTGGTTTAATCACGTCTGCTTGGCCTTCTTTTCCAATGCTTCCACTCTGGCGTAAATTTTGTTGAATGACCAGCTCTGAAACACGGGTGGGTAAACAAAAGGACGGAGATCGAAGCGATGGTCGTCCGGGCTGTACGATTCAGCTGCCAATATTATCAGCCAAAATGTCTATTCGAGAGGTCTACAAAAGAGAGTGAGGCCCTACCGTGATACGCAGGTGTTGCTACTACTTGCTTGTGTCTGTTCTGCTGGAAAAATTTGTAAAAGTTGAGCGTCTGGGGTGATGATGGGTGTTAGCAAAGCTGATTGGATTCTTCCTGCGAGATGACGGGGGTTTGGGGGGGGGTTCACCTTTTCCGCAATCTCGCGGGGCGTCTTCTCATCCTTCCACTCGCTCAGCAGGCGGAGGAAGCAGCCGTACGGGCCAAGCTTGTGAACCTTGCGCAAGACGCCGAATTTCGATAGCTCCTTGTACGTGAAGCCCATGTCTGCCTCGTCGGATTGCACCTACATTGCTTCTCGTTAGGGACTGTTCAAACTCGCACAAAAATAAAATAAAGAGAAGCTTTACATAATCTGCTGTGATGGGCTCGAGCTCCGCTGTAGGGACGGCAGTGACGAATTCTTCAAGCACTGGCATGTCAAAGTTCTTTGCGGCCCATGTTATGAAGCTGATGAGATCAACTTTACTGATAGAGCCGATGGGGTTCAAATCGGCAGAGGAGCCTAAGCCAAAGTTAGTTGATATTCCTTTTGCGAAAATGACAAGATGAGCCGCATACAGTCATATTTTGTCAAGTCTGTAAGAATGTTAATATAGTTTCACTCAGACGCGCAAGTCGTCACTTACATCCACGTAGGCATTCGTCGACGTTGGAGCTGCCCAGGACCAGGAGTCCACCGCCACCTGGCCTCTCTCTTACCTCGCAATTTTGTTGGGCAAAGAGGTAAGTAAGGACCTGTAAGTAACAGAGTAAGTAAGGCATGAATAGCGAGGAAGCATGAGGATGCAAATTGAACGCACCATTCGCGACCTAGCTTGAATATTCTGAAGGGCCAAATTTTGGGTCCATGATCCTCCATGGACTGGTACAGACGTGTTAGTGACAGAAAGTCTAGGAGATTTTGCTTCTCGGACCGCTGCTCACCTTTGAACTTGGGAGTGAACCCAGTGGCCTGGGTCAAGATGTCCTTGGCTGAGTGAAACATGCCATCAATATTCACATCCTGGTGATATGCTCCGATGCGCGCAGACAAGTCCTTGGCTCTCTGCCGCGTCTCCTTGCTACTCTGAACCTCCATGCCAAGGTACACCGTGTGCAGAAGCTGGTTGCAAAGCGCCTCCGGCGTGTCCGGGAGCCCATCCGTATACTTTGCAATCCGCTTCATGTCGTCAATGACTTGCTTGTTGCCTTGCTTGGCAGCGGCAACAGCGATTCTGCACATGGAGTAGACAATCGTGGCCGTCGCGCAGCTGTCAATGCCGCCACTCAGCGCGATTTGGAAGCCTGCCGCGCCGGATCGGCGCAGGTAATCCCACAGCCAGCAGGCAGGGCCCAGCGCAATTTCTTCCTCGGGAAGATGGTAGCGAGGAGGTCGGGAAGGAGTGGGTGCGTCTAGAGAGTCAGAGTCATTGGTCAGGGAAAAGTCGACTTCAATGCGCTGATACTCGTGGGATTGGACCGCTTGTTGGCCTCGTGACGGAGCAAAGCGCGCCGCTCTGACTTCCTCAAGGTCTACTGTGGCAACAATGACCTCGACTTCGTTTAAGCTATAGTAAGTCAGCCTAGGCCTTTTTGAGATTTCGTCAGCGCATAGCTCACGAGAACTGAGAGGACTGGCCGACAAGCTTGCCATTGACAAATATCATGGCACAGCCGTCATAGTACAACCTGTCACCGTCGCACTGGATCAATTGTCAGTTTGTCATATATATCACGGACATATCTGCGGTGAGAGACCTACGCCAAGCTGGTTGGAGTAGAGATAAACACCGCCGTTCTTGCGCGTAGCTTCTGAGATGAGAGCAATGCGCTCATCCAATTTGCGCAAGGAATGGTGACTACCGCTGCTGTTGGTAAAGATCTCGACTCCATTCAGTCCCCTACAAGTTGGTTAGCAAGTGATAAACGACTGAGAGCGCTGTGTCTTCACACACATTTCAATATGCGGACTATTCGGGGTAAAGAGTTCCTCGCAAGTCTCCGCAGCCAGGCAGGTATCAATAGTGGACAAGACGACATCGCCAATGGGGACCTGGCGGCTGCCCTGAAGCTTTTGTATCCGGGGCGGCAGAAAGTACTGCTCAACGTGTCGCGGGCCTTTCCACGGCGTAAAGAAGCGCATCTCGCGGAAATTGCCATCGTTGGCCAGGTACAGCTTTGGGCGGAAGCAGAGAATCTTGCCGTCGAGGACAATGGCGCGCGCATTGTACCGGCAGTTGCGGTGAAGCAGCGGCAGGCCGACGTCAATGACAATGCCGTGCAGCGACTCGTCAGTCAGGATGGACTCGAGCGAGTCCCAGGCATTCTCGTACACTTCATTCTCGAGAAAATGGTCCAGACAGCCGTAGCCCGTAATCTCGAGCTCGGGGCCGACGCGCAGCGTAGCACCAGCCTCTTTGGCCTCGTGGATGCTCTGCTTGATGCGGCGCAGATTATTCTCAAAGTCCAGTGCCCATTGGTTCAGAGCACAAGTCGCCACTCGGACGAGGTGCACCATGGTCGCGAGAGGGAAATCAATAGTCTCGGAAATCAATGCAAAAAGGGTTTGTGGTGCACAGTCGTGTACAATATCCAAAAGTTGGTAATGGGTGCATGCAAAGTGACTCAAGTGTGGATAAATGACTAGTTATGCCTCTGTTGCCATATAACAGAGCCGCGATGCTGTGCGATCATGTGACCGGCACCGCAATCACAGCCGCGCATTTCTAGCCCGAAATTACATGACCATTTATTTCTTTTTGTTTCTACAAAGATTCCATCTTCAGAACGAGATCGTAACTGCCAAGTATGTGTAAAGTGCTTCCAAAATCGGTCGTGTGGCTAGCGACAAACGATGCCAGTATTGTGAGGAGGCGGTAGCACGAGTCCGAGGACACTATGATGAAGCAGCAAGTAGACTGAGAATAAAATGAGGAAAAAAATGTTTTTACTGTCCTATTCCTGTGCTCCGATGCTTTCTTTGTGTTTCTGGTATGTCTTCGTCTTGTTCCTAGCCACGTCACTGGATCTTGGCCACTTTTCTTTTCTTTTTTTTTTTTGGTCACTACTGGGACAAATCGAGATGTGGTTGTTCAAGAAATATAAAGTAGCAATGTTTCACATTACATATTACGCCATTGCGATCTACTTGTACAACCACGACAGTGCCTTTTCGTGCCACATACAACTACGTGTTGCACGACGTGTCTCTACCCAACCCATTCTGGCTACTTGATGCATGACGCTAGACTAGGAATACGGCTTCCGAAAAATTAAAATGTAATTTGGAAATCCAATAGTTGCTGAGGCTCCTGCAACCGACTGGAAGAGGAAAGTTGCTCGAGCACGCTCGACACTTCGTGGCACCATTGTTCAAGTATAAAGTGCCAACGTATGCCGGCGAGACAACGGAAATAGCAAGCAAAGCAAGCAAGCAACAAGCGACTTGGCAACTACTTGACTCAAGCTTCATAGAAAAATTATCATGGCTATTCAAGATACAAACTGCACTCCTCTCGTCGATAATGCCGAGATTGTGGCTTGCAAAAAGTGCAAAGCCATGATCTCGGCGGCGCAGGATTCCTGCCCGCTTTGCGGCACGAATCATCCTCACACGAAATGAGTCAGTCGAGCTCACATGTTAGCCATCTTGCGACTGCTGACTTTGTCTGTTCTTTTCGATAGGCAGCCTTTTTACCCTATCGTTGGGATGTTCTGTGTTTTACTTCTAGTTATGTGTGTTGAAGCCGATCTGGAGCTTGAATGATCTGTGTGGGTGGCAGCGCTTCTATATTAGTCTTTTCGTCAGCAAATCCATCTTCTTGACGCACTTGTCATTCGCATATAAAACTGCCGTGCTTTTTACTCGCATCAATGGGCCATCTTTGACTTTTCGCCGGTTTTGCCGAGGTGCTGGTCTCGGAAACTGCGCAAAAGGAGAAGGAGCTCGTGTGAGCATTTAGCTTGCACCTTGTGACAGCTCGGTTGGTTAGGGGCTACGTTTAGGGAGAGGCGCGCCTTGATGAAGTGCTCGGAGATGCTACCTATATATTGCGAACAAGACCACACAAGGCAGTAGATGACACAAGGCCGGCTCTCGCAAGCTGTAATCAAGCCTCGCTATTAACAGTAGATGCTCAAGCACTACGACACCACATGATGCCGGCACTAATTGGCAGTCGCATGCTGCAGCAAATCTCGAGGCAGCAGCAAATAAATTTGTGAGTGGCGGGCTGTAACTTGCAAACAAGCTTGCTAGCGCAACACGCTGCGGTTGCCGGCCAAGGTTGAGGGGGCGTCGTGCTGACATCCAGGGGTAACTGTACTGTTGTTCAGGTTCATTGTTGCGGCCATCTCCAGTTCACACCGGAATTCGTTGTTTTCTTCAAGTAAATAGACCGATGTGGCTGGTGACGTTGTGTCTCAAGCGAGAGCCAGGCAGCTAGGTTGCCAGGGTTTGTCCAATCCCAGAGATGATTCCTAGACGGCGTGTCGGAGTCGCCGGCATTCAGCTGTCAAGACGACAGGCTTGAAATTCTTCCCGTAAGCACAACCAATAAGCTTCTCGACCGGGCCACTCCATACCAGCACCGCTTGGGTCACCGAAGTTTGGGGGCTGATCGGTATACAAATATGAGACAGCGTAGAATGATGGGCAGACAGATCTTGGGGCGGCACCACCGCCAACCGGGGGAAACGATGGGAAAGAAGCTGCCAAGCTGCATTATTAGCGAAAAGTGTTTGGTTCGAGCTGAATACGGATACAAGCTCACCAGACACTGAGGACCTGACGATCGTCCCACGTGTGGCCTAGTCAGAGGGACTAGCCGGCTGGCCAGGTGCCATCCCGCTAAGCCCCCGTCTCACACGCCGTGAAGATGACGGTGGAGAAGAAGGAGAATAAGCAGCACTGGTTGACTGGTAAATATAAGACAAGATGATCTCCTAGTTGTTTTTCGGTAAATCCACGAAAATTATTGTTATTTCAAATCTCAAAGGTGCACCGATTTCATCATGCAGCTCATCACTATCCTTGGTCTTGCCGCGGCTGTTGCCGTCGCCAAGCCCACCGTCTACTTCATCCGTCACGGCGAGAAGCCCGCTGATGACGGCAACGGCCTCAGCGCCCAGGGCTTGCAGCGTGCCCAGTGCTTGCGCAGCGTCTTTGGTGCCAGCTCTGACTACGACATTGGCTACATACTAGCTCAGACCCCCAAGTCCAGTACGTACAAGGGATATACGCGCTCATGGGGGACACCCTCGCGTACCGGGGGCCGGCTTTTATCGAGACTAACAAGTTTTCGTTTGGCTTAGACGGCAAGCGTCAGCGCCCTCTCGACACCGTCAAGCCTCTTGCTGCGGATCTCGGCCTCAGCGTCGACACTCACTGCGACCGAGACGACCCCAAGTGCGTCAAGAAGGCTGTTCAGAACTACAAGGGTGACGGCAACATTCTCATTTGGTAAGTAGCGACAAGTTTCCCTGAATCAAGGGGCAAAGTTGTTTCGAAAACTTGGCAATGGGCTAATGTTCTTGTAGCTGGGAGCACAAGGCTCTGACCGACCTTGCTGAAAAGCTCGGTGCTGGTAATGTCGAGGACTACCCCAGCGACCATTTCGACCTCATTTGGGTCGACGAGTACCCTTATAGCAAGATTAACGACATTGAGACCGAAAACTGTCCTGGGATCTAGGTATTCATAGATTGTACATATCAATAAAAGTTTCAATTCGGGCTTGTCAAGCATGTAAATTGGCATCGTCTATGCTGGCTGGCGCTACAGCGGCTCTGTAGCGCTCATGCACCACGGGCCGGAACTATACTTTGCTCTTGGCGGGAGATAACACCATGTATGTAGTGCGAAGTTGAACTCGTCGTCCATCTGATTTCCCTTATAGCAGAACCCGGTGGTTTCAGTGGGCATCGAAACTTTTGGACAATTGGGCTTTCACCAACTTACCAGGCTGCGCATCGATACACAACAGACGCAGGATGCGTGGCAGGTGCTTATACGACGGCTAGATGCTAGATTAGCGAAGACTTCCGCCAGAGAATAGAAAAGTAACCAGCAGTTTGTGATAGTGTCATTTTTGTCATTATTGCATTTTCTACAATTTGTGGTGCAGTAATAAAGTTCTCTGTAGTGGTTGACAGAGCCAAGTGGTAGCGTTGCTTGGTCGACAAGTTGCTTTGATCAAGCTCGACAAACAGCCAGCCTGTGAGGCGTCCTGCCACCTGCCTGGCTGGGCACCCACGTCTTGCACAATGCACCATCATCCACTCTCCATCAGAATTGGTAGCAATTGCGTTAAAAAAGATGATTCGGCCATCAAGAATAAAGGCGTATTAATATTCAGACCTCAGCCACCAGCCCGTCAAATTCTTTAGCACCAGCCCGTCAAGTCTTTCGGCACCAGCCAATCACTAAAATGGCCAATCAAGCAGACAACCAAGGAGCGAAATTCTTTGGAAAAGACAATCCTTTTGAATTACGAGAGCTCGAAAATCGGTCCCTTGACGCAACAGACGAGGAATTAGCCGAGGCTGCGCGATACATTGAAAATATATTCGGAGACGCACACGCTTGGTGTGGTGGATGGGCCCTGAGATTGCGAGGATCTGAGCGACGAACAGAAGACTTGGACGTTGTGGTTCGAGCTCCTTCTACTGCAAGCATTTGGGAACAACTCAAGCCGTATAGCAGGTGAGTAGCTCGAGTCTACTGGTTACATTAGCCTAATTTCGCCCAGCATCATCCTATACTATTATAAACACATACTAGAAGAAGGTGGTGACCAGTTCAAGATCTTTGTGGATTTGGACGAGCAACGAGTTGTCTGCGTTGATGTCATTTTGGCAGGTATGTGGCGCCCGAGTCTAAACAGTACTCGGACACGTCTAACTCGAGCTGCGTATTCTTGGACAGGTCGCCTCCACACGCCTACGCTCGAGACGCGTGACGACGTCGATGAAGTCTCTGCTTTGGTGAATGGGACGGTGGTCAAGAAGCGGGTCGTGTCTTTGCGATGGCAAGTCAGCCAAAAGCTTCATGCTATAGCGACTCGCCGTAAAGAATCGGACTGCACAGATTTGGTTTGGTTGATGGCCCGTTACTCCGAAATTGGCACCTGGATACAAGACGAGGACGAGAGTAAGCGCAAAGCGTTTTTTGATTGGTACTATGATAATGAGATGGATGACGCCGAAGTGGACGTGATGAAGAGGTACTTGGGCTTGGAGGGCGACAAGCGCTGATGCATGAACAAGACGAGTGTCAAAGACGGCTTCCACCCAAAGACGACACGAGGTTTCCTATCCTTGTCTTCGCTACTGTTTAGCACAAAAGCCCCCAGTCACAATCCCTAATTATCCCACAAAGATAAGCGCGGTTGTGGATCTATATGCGAAGGCATTAATTGGGGACAAACAGGGGACCCTGTGACAGTCTTCATGTCATTTACGCCTTTGGGACAAAAGGGCGATTCTATGGAGCCATGGAGTCGTTGGGTGAATAGTAAACGTCAAGTCCAAGGAGAACAAGAGATGACACGATAATTCAAGTGTCAAATCCGGCTTCCACTAAAAGACAGCGCGAAATACCTATCCTTTTCATAGTTACTGTTTAGGTCGTGTTAATACACGCGCATTGGAAGTGTTGCTCGTATTTTCTTTGCCAGGAGTTGTCTTTCATGACGTATTCGACATTTCTGTCCACGAGTCTTTTGAGCCTATATGACGATATTGTGTAATGTACCTTGACGGTGGTCGCGAGTCGTCTAATCTCTGCTCCTTGGTTCGCACAAAGTCCTGCCAAACGGCCCGCTTCTCCTTTGGACGAGTCGGCCACCAACGGCGACAGCTACCTTTCTTGGCTTGCATGGTCCGTACCCAGTCAACATCGTGCACGCCGTTTAAATCCAGATTCTCTTCTCCCCACTCCTCGGATACATTACTCCCGTCAATCAAATCACACAGTTCCAGCTGATTGCGCCTGTCTAGGCAGCTCTGCGCAAAAGCTTTCAGACTGGGATAGGGTAGCCCACGAAGGCTGTGGACTATATCGAGCGAACGGCAGTCCAAATGCACGTCGTAGTCGGGCATAATGAGAAATTCGTGGTGACTTTCTCGTGTCCCGAACACACTATACGTATCTATGCGAGAACCGGGGCAAAAGCCTTTTGGTGGAAGGACAGAAAATGCATCATCGGATCGAAAGAGATTTTCGGCTGCCGTAACTTGGTCGGCAGGTACGCATATCTCCCAGGTCTGCAAATTCCATTTCAAAGGTCAGTGATAGTCTCAGTGACGCAGGGCATTCAACGCACACTCCTCATGCGATTGGCGCCGTAGAATTTGAGAGCCGAGACGCCAACACAGCAGCAAGGTATGTCGTGCTCGTTGAGAATCCGTACAACATTGAGTGTTTTTTGGACTTGCTCCAAGCTGGCCTTCATGGCAAGATCAGGATGCTCCTCATTCGTGACTGGCTCCCTAAGAGATATATGCACCTGAGTGAAGCGGGGGCTAATTGTAAGAGCCCGCCGAGACAGGGACCTAATTTAGCGGTGAAGGGCGGTGAAGGGCGGCGCATAAGGGAATGGCCATCAAAGTGCGCCCTTGTTGAACATTAAAAACCACAAAATACTGGCAATTAGCGCATCCACTCTAGATACTAGGCGCTTGCACTTCTTCAGGTTAGTATTCTTTACTAGCATATCTGTTCATATAAGGCTAATAAGGATTGAATTTTTAGTAATTAGCTAGTAAACACTAAGTGATCATCTATCATACATAATACTTGCTTGACTGCGACCCCGAGTCGTCAAATCCTGTCTATAACTCAAACGGCTCGTCAGGGCTCACGTTCCCTCTAAATCATCGTCGTTGGTTTTTCCTTGTGTCTCTCAAAGCACCCCATCAGGCACAATGGCACGCGACATCAAGATTCCCTACATTGAAACGCCGCTTGTCAAGTCGGCCAGCTTATCCCGCGCCGCCGGCTGGTACGTGCTGCCACAGCATCGCATCCCCCCCATCCCGAGCAAAGACGTTGACCTTTTTCCCCCCCTCCCCGCAGCAATGTCTACCTCAAGCTGGAAAACCTGCAGCCGTCTGGATCCTTCAAGTCGCGCGGCATCGGCCACTTCATGGTCGAGCAGCTCAAGGCGCTCCGCGCGCAGCCCGGCGCGTCGTCGGCCTCTGCTGCGCACTTTTACTGCTCGTCGGGCGGCAACGCCGGGCTCGCGTGCGTGCACGCCGCGCTGACGCTCGGGTGTCTGGCGACGGTGGTGGTGCCGCTGTCGACGACGGAATTCATGATTGGCAAGCTGCGCGAGGCGGGCGCGAGCGACGTGCTGCAGGTGGGCGCGTCGTGGCAAGAGGCCGACGATCATCTGACGGGCACGCTGATGCCGGCGGCGCGCGCGGCGGGCGAGGCGCCCGTGTACGTGCCGCCGTTTGACGCGCAGGGCATCTGGGACGGCAACGCGGGCATCACGCGGGAACTGCTGCGGCAGCTGGGAACCGTCGTCAACCACTACCCGGTGACGTCGCCGGCGGCCGAGGGCTTGTCGGAGATGTCGCCGCCCAACATTGACGCCATTGTGTGCAGCGTCGGCGGCGGCGGCTTGTTTTCCGGCATCATGCAGGGCGTCGAGGAGTTTGGCGTGCAGCACCGCACGCGCGTGGTGGCCGTCGAGACCGAAGGCGCCGACTCGCTGCACCAGGCGGTGCAGCGCATGGAGCCGGTCACGCTGCCGGCTATTACGAGTCTGGCGACGAGCCTAGGCGCGCGCCGCGTCTGCAGACAGGCGTTTGAGTACGGTCTCCGCGACAATGTGTCGACGGCGGTGCTGTCCGACGCCGAAGCCATTCGCGCGTGTCGGCGGTTCGCGGATGAGGAGCACTTTGTGGTGGAGCTGGCGTGCGGCGTGTGCCCGGCGCTCATCTACAACGGGCAGATCAAAGACCACATTCCCGGCTTCAATGAGAACTCGACGGTGGTGATTGTGGTGTGCGGCGGAAGCAACATGTCGTATGAGATTATGGACAAGTACACGGCTGGACTGGAATAGACTGCATCTGCCGGGTGGGCTAGATTCATCATGATTTTCGTGAGAAGGGTAACGGATAAAAGGCGCAATGTCACTGATAGAAGGTTGGAAGGAGCAAATAGAGGCGCGACATCATTTATAGAATGTGAAAAGGAGCCAAATAATGGAATTTGCTGGACTATAAATAGAGCAAGTCGCTCCGAGTGAAACCGAGACTCCAAAAACGCCAAATTCAACAACATAGAGGTTACGGATGCTAAACATGATGCTGAGTGCAAGAAGCCGCCTTCTGACGCCGTCTGAAATAGTCAGATGAAAGATTTTTAGCTGGAAATGTACTTCCACAGTGAGTCCCATACACTTGGACTCGCAGCCTGCGCAGCCGCCGCGTCCATGCGCAGGGCCTTGAGGACCTGCTCGTCGTAGCCCTGGCCGGCCGGAACGACGACGGCGCCCAAGTCCTCAAACCCCATGCCCGAGAGCGCAATGTAGCCGCGCGAGCCCGTCGCCAGGCAGACGCCGACGCGCTTGCGGCGGGCGAGGGCGACTCCCCACCGGCAGAGGACCTTGGCGTGCCCGCGGCCTTGGTGATCCGGGTGCGTGGCGAGGACGCGCAGGTAGACGTGCGGCTCCTCGACGGCAAAGAAGCGGCGGCGACCCTGGCGCATGGCGTCACCCAGGGCGCTGAGCTTGCGGTAGTCGTCCCCGGCGTCGTGGGGGCACCAGTTGTCGCCTGTGTAGGAGGTGGTGGTGCAGCCCGCGGCGTCTTTGAAGGGGTTTACTGTCAGTTTCTGAAGAAGCATTCTTTCAAGGGGAACTAGAAAGGCAAGAAGAAGAAGGAAAAAGGAAAAGAAAGAAAAGCGCATGACAGAGATCGTACCAGTCTTGGCGGGTTGCCCAGTCTTGGCGGGTTGCGCCCAGGAGGTATAGGTGTCCCAGACCGCGGCGGCTACAATCTCAGGCCGGCTGCGGTCCGACTCGTCGGCAGACAGCTCGGCGACCACGACAACCGACGTCTCGTCGCCGGCCGCGAGATGGCTGCGCAGCACGGCCTCGGCGTGCTGCACGAGGACCGGGTCGCGGCGCAGGCGGGCCGGCAGGTAGCTCGTCCAGGGCGCCTCGGCGGAGGCGGCGGCGAGAATGAGGGCCGCAATGGCGGGGACGTCGGCGTCGGTGGCGGCGCGAACTTTCATGCCGGGGAGACGTGGGTGATGTGGGATGATGCTGAGAGAAGAAAGGAGGACAAGATGAGGGTTGGCGCGCTAGATTGTGGAATTTTATATGGAGAGCTTGCAGCGAAGCCGGGTGCGCAGGAGGACGTGCAATTGACGAGGTTGCGGATGCTGGACGACACAGCTTGTTTATTATTACAGACGGAATGACAGACAAGATTTTGAGAGAATTAGAGTGAGGCGGTGGACGCGGGAGAGATGCAGAGATGGGGTGCGCGGAACTTGCGTGAGTGGGTGTGGTTGCAGTGTCGATCAGGGCAGGGCCTCTATTGATGCATCTCGTGTAATTCTCCGTACCAGCCCTTATTTACAGACGCCGATTTAGGGAATTATTTTCCGATTCTCCTTGACTAACCAGCCTGTACTGACTGGCCAGCTCTCAGGACAATTCAATTGGCCAAGAAAGCAAAAGCTGGGCACTGGCGGATAGTCAACGATCAGGCGTCTCGGCGGTGAAAGGCTACAACTTATGGGGATCTTTATATGGCTTTTCCTAAAACTGTTATGCGGTTCTTCACTATTGTTCCAGTGCGATTGTTAGCGTACTGGTTGGAGGCGAAAAAAGGGTCTACATAGTGCCAATATTGCTTTATACGCACTGTAGACCTCTAGAATTACAATTCGGGTATCTCGATTTCTGTCTCCGTGCGCGCTAATATCTGATCATATTTATAAACAATTAACTAGGAGGCCATTTCGAAATATAGTTTTAGGGAATTAATAGTAAATTTGAGGGGTTCTCTCTACGATGACAGTCCAGCCCATAATCTACCAACAAGTCACCGAACGTCACGGTCGTTAGGTGAGCGTCAAACGCGCACACACAGTATCACTGTGAAGGAACTGAAGTCGCAAAGCCATCGTCATCGATATACAATAGCCGAAGGCAGTGTTTGGTCTTCTTCTGTCTTCACAAGGCTTGAGCGCTGGACCGAGGTGGAGCTATACAAGATGGACCATGATGATCGCCCTGCAACTTTCCCACGAGACCGACCTTCATCTGAGTTTGAAGTGCCGGCGACATGGGACTTTGCAGATGATCAAATGCCAATTTGGTACCGAAGATGTCGTTCCCAGAACGACCCTTGAAAGCAAGGTTCTCGCAAGCAAGGTCCTCTTTTTGGAATCCGATCATGATATTCCTCTTTAAAGCCGTTTAAGAAGAGTTCAAGCTTTTCTCAATGGTGCAAAGCTTTGTATTACCGCGACCTCGAAAATTCTGGATTTGCTAATTAATTTATATTGAAGGAAGATTCTGCGTCAAAAGGACCTGGACTAGGTAAGAGAAAGCAACATATAAAAAAAGAATGGCGCACTGTGTGGCCTTTTCTATGCACCAAGAAATTACCGAGTTGTAATGGGCGCAACCTAGGTAGTTATGCCCAAACAATGACAATAGCATGGGTCTTAGAAATGGGGGATCTAGCGGGAGGCAGCCCGAATGCGAGCAGCGCACAACCAATAGCGATTCCTGTGATGATGATGCTGATGACGACGACACAGCCACGTCGACTTGTCAAAGCAGCGGCTCTGATAGCCGGACTCTAGCCTTTTTCCCTCGTGGCAAGTCAGTCAAAGTGTCCGTGCAAGCATCATGGTTCATTGTTCCAATCCGTCTTGAGAGGGTCCAACGGCAACGACGGCATCTCTGATACCCTAAAACTCGAGCCTCTTGCCACCAGGCGAAAAACCTAACCAAATAATAACCAAGCAGGAGGGAACTCTGCACCAAAAAACGTTGCTGCCCACTGTGAATAAGGTACCACCGCAGCAGCGAGACCCGCCCAGCAAGTAAACCCCTCAGCAAAGCACAAAATTGCACCACAGCCCCCTCGTCGGGGGGGGTGCAAAAGACGTCTTGATACCGTGGTACACGCCAAGTACTCCCACCCACCATGCATCGTCCCGCTTCGATCGGAGTCACCCGAAAGAATCTCCAAAACACGGGGGAGGGAGGGGGGCTCAACGCAGCAACATGCCTCATTCGGCGCGGCGCCGCTTCTCACTGGCGCGAATTTTTTAGGGGCCCCCTCCCTCCGGCATCCCCAGCGCCGTTACAACCACACCAGTTTCGTCTGCATCACATCATGTCACTGCTCTCTTCTCTCGCGCACTCATCGTTCTTCTTGTCTTGTTACAGGTTCATTAGGCTGTGTTTTTGGTCCGACACCGCCCTCCACCCCGCCGATCCCTCGACGTGGTCGCTCGGCGTTGATCGACCATACCCCTCCCCATTTCGCTCTCACCTGGACGAGAGAACCCAACGAAAACAGACCTCGCCGAGACCACAAGCTTCCTGCCATCCTAACCTATTCTATGTGTTTACGCCTTGTCAGAGATAAATCCCGCATCTTCTGACATACGTCTGTTTGCCTTTACCGCCCCCGATTTATACGCCATGTTCGCGTCGTTACTCGCACCCCCTTCCTCCTGTCACTGTCACGTCAACGCTGAATATCCCGCACTGCCGCCTTGGACTATCCAATACCAGGACCCAAGTTGATCATCGTCTGCCCTCATGTCAGACTGTGACCCTGTCTAAGCTGTGATTTCTACACCACTCACATGCATTTTACCATGCGCCATGTGGTCTATTATCAACCGACTAGTTATACCTGGTCCCCCCCCCCCTCCTCTGCACTCTGGCATGTTGCACATAATGGCCCAATCTCTGTCCTAGTAGCCCAGTCAGTCTGTCCGGCCAGGCCTTTATAATCCCGTCCCGTCCATGCCCTCTTCCTCTACCGACATCTGACTTGAGAAACCGTCCCGCCTCGTTGGCTCCATGGCCGGTCCCTATACCTCGGATACATCATCACCAAAACCCAGCAACGACACATCGCAACACCATGGCTACCACCAGCAAGACCCGGCTTCCCCAGCCCTGGATATGCGCTTCCCTATCCATCATGTCGACGCGACCTGTCATGATGTCAAGACGGGTAGCAATCGCCAGTCTCGCGGGGGGATTACTCAAGTGCTTACAAGTGAGTCTGCCGTCACCCATTTATCAACATAACATGCAGCAACAACAAACCAGGAAAAAAAACACTTGGTCAAACTTTGACTTGACTAACCCTTGCACCTCTTCGGAGCAGATGCCTACCACGACATACTACGTTCATGGATGGGCCTCCACCGCGCGTTCCGCGAGCCCGCCCCCGCGCGACACCGCATGCCACCGTCTTCACACTACGATACCTTTTCGAGTAACGCTCGCTGTCGCCACGGAGAACATGCCGACGACACAGAGGCTGCCGCCTTTGCCGCCGCCGTCGGCGACATGATCCTGGAACCCTACGTCAATGGCCTGCTCATCTGTGTGCCCATGGGCGTCGCCGCGTACTGCGCCGCCGCTCCGTCCGTCGTCGTCTTTGCCGTCAACGCGCTCGCCATTGTGCCGCTGTCGGCGCTTCTCACGGATGCTACTGAGCGGATCGCTCTTGAGGCGGGTGATGCGGTTGGCGCGTTTCTTAACATCAGCTTGGGCAACATTGTGGAGATGATTCTCTTGTAAGTTGGCTTGTCTATGGAGGAGTCGCGTCGCATCTGCTGATACTGGGTCATAGTTTGTAAGATGATTGACTTTGATAACTCTGTTTAAATGAAACCTGCAATCTAACACAAGTAGTTTTACCCTCAGTAATGGCCACGTGAAAATCGTGCAGGCCTCCATCCTTGGGTCCATCCTTGTCAACCTCCTACCTATCCTCGGTAGCGCCCTCATCGCCGCTGAGGCCACCAGCGGAGATGACTCCCTCGACAGCACCGAGACGCAGATGCTGGCCTGTCTGCTCTTCGTCTCCGTCTTTGTCTTTATGATCCCCGTACGTCCCTCTCTCCTAAACCTGGCCACCCACTCTGCCATGTACTTACACCAACCCACCGCAGACGGCCTTTCGCTTTACCTTTACCAACGCCCATCACATCAACGACATGGTTGTCAACATGAGTCGCGCCTCCGCCGTTCTTATTCTCGTCATGTACACGGCCTACTTTCTCCATACCATGCAGAGCAGCCACCATGCTCCACCTGATGAGGAAGATGTCGCTGAGCAGCCCATCGCCGTGACGCCCCCGCCGCTGCTGCGTCGCACGTCTCCCCCCCTGCCGGCGCGGACTTTACGATTTACCGACGACACAAAGACGAAGCCCACCTCGGACCTGTACGCCCGTCGCATGTTTAGCATTGGTCCGGCGAGTGTCGACTCGGACTGGGACACGGACAACGATGAGCCGCCACGCGGACGCTCCCTCACCGGCATCCGTGGTCCTCACAGCGCTTGCACCGTCGCCTCACCGCTTCTGCTCCCGCCGCACATGCGCCGGTACCAGTCCCGGTCCCTGTCGGCCGGATCCAGCCGCAGCCGCGCCTCGTTAGGCCTGAGCTTTCAGCCACCGCATCGCCCATTTGCGCGCGCCGGCCTTGCACGGATCCTCAGCAACGACCAGAGCGCCGAGGGGCACACAGACGGGGGCCGTTGCCGGCTCGGCACCGTCCTTGCATGCACCACCATCCTCGTCGTCGCGTCCATCCTGCTCGCCGTCTCGGCACGGCTGCTCGCAGGCACGCTCGACGCCGTGACGCGCCGACGAGGCCTGTCGGAGGCTGCCATAGGGCTCGTTCTGCTGCCGCTCGCTGGCAACTTGTCAAGCTACCTGACGGTGACGGCCGTCGCGGCACGCGACAACCTCGACCTGGCAGTGGCCGTGTCGGCCGGGTCAGCAATCCAGGTCGCGCTATGCATGGCGCCGCTGACGGTGCTAGCGGGTTGGGCGCTGGAGAGGCCCGTCGTGCTGGCGCTCGACGTCTTTGAGATGGCCATGCTGCTGGGTGCCGTGTCTCTGGTTAACCTGCTGGTGCTGGGCGCTGGCCGAGGTGGGGACAGGCGAAGAGCGACGGGGCACAAGGGTGGGATATTGTGCGCCTGCTTTGTCGTCATGGGGTGAGTTGGCCAGTTTGCCTGATCTAGATCGCAAGTTGCTAATGTGCTTAGGATTGCCACGTTTTTTGCCCCAAATGAAAGTTGGGGTACATGAATGCAGACTCTGCTCTTGTTGCTGTCGGTCGTGCATAAATATAGACGTGCCCTTGCTGCTATGCCGCGTTGTAAGTAACTCGTACTTGTACACATGTCAACGTCGCGTACAGTCATGTACTAGACAGGTATAAGAAAAATATAGCAATCAATTCATTTTGCCTTCCAGGCCTATTCATAAACGCATAAACCAAAACAAAGGGAATAATAACCCAGACGGCACCTGTGGAGACTTGACCATTACATGACGAAAAGAAGATTCGTATCTATTCTTGGTTAGCATCCTTTACGTAAACGCTCGCATTGGATTGTTCAACTTACCAAGAGGGTGAGAGCACGAAAGCTGCGGCTTCTGGGTATACTTGGACGCCAGCACGTCACGGATGCTGTTGAGGAGCTGCACATAACTCTGGTTCGGGTTCTGCTTAATCGCCGTGATGAAAGCCCACGACATGGCGCCGGTAGCCTGCGAATCAATGGTGGCGTCGGCACTACAACATTGTTAGTAGAGACGCTTTTTTTTTTTTTTTTTTTTTTTTTTTTTGCAAAAGGAATGTGTCAACATACGATGTCTGGTCGTCTCGGCTGCCAGACCACATGACAACATCGGCGGGCGACGTCCTGGTCTGTTTCGTCTTCTCGTACGCATCGTCGCCCTTGAACGCACTCTTTGCAAAGCCAAAGACGGTCGAGGCCACGCCAGCCAAGTCACCGCGCGCATACGAGCCGATGGCGCTCAGCAGTCCCTGTCCAGCTTCCTTGGCCAGGTTGGGCTCCTTGAGGACACCCTTGGTGGAGTAGACATAGGGCAGATCCATGGCAGTGGCGGAGTGGCAAGAGTCGAAAATGGCCGTGAGGCGCACACCAGGCTTGAGTGGGCGAACAACCCTGTAATGAATCTCGTCATCGACAATGTGGCCAGCGCGCTGGAAGTCCACGGGGTAGATGACTTCGTCGAAGCCGTCGTCTTCGTCGCCGTCCAAGTCTTCGGTCTGCCCGCCGTGTCCTAGTCTAGCAGTTAGCGTCGCCGCGAAGAACGTGCATGGCAGTGAGTGTTAAAGACTTACCGGAGTAGTGGAAAAAGAGAGCATCATTGGGCTGCGCATCACGAACTAGCCAATCCATGGCTTGCTGCATGTTTTGCTTTGTGGGAATCTTGCGCGGGTCCTGCTGGTCATCCGTCAGGATGACCATGTCCTCCCATTTATAGCCGTAGCGCTCGTTGAGGAATCGCGACACATTTTTCGTGTCGTTGATGCAGCCGCGCAGCTCGCCCTTTTGGCCAAAGTAGTTTATGCCGATGAGCAGCGCCTTGCGTCGACCACTGCAGTTGGAGTACTGGAAAGTGTAGCCCTGCGGCGCGCCGTGACCAAATGCCTGCGCACCCGTGGGCGGGGGAGGTCCCGTCCGCTGGCCGGCGCCCATGCCTTGCATGGGATAGCCGTAAGCGTCGTGGCCCGGAGGTGGCGGTCGGTTCGGAGGAGGATACTGGTTCTGCGGCGGGGGGCGACTGTACTGGGGAGGAGGGGGAGGACCTCCGTGATAGCCCTGCGGCGGTCCATAGCCCTGAGGAGGAGGACCACCGTGGTATCTCTGGGGAGGAGGACCGCCATATCCCTGAGGAGGGGGGCCGCCGTATCCTTGTTGGGGAGGGCCACCGTAGCCGCCGTACTGAGGCGGACCATTGTGGCCGTATCCTGGGGCAGGACTACCTCCATATCCCCAGCCCGAAGCGCCTCCGTTGTGCTGCTGGGCGCCGTAGCCGCCTTGGCCTGGGTATCCCGACATGGTGGTGAGGGTGGTTGATGAGGATTCGTACGTGGCTTTTGCACGAGTTTGCCGACCGAGGAGCGCGGGGTCGTTGACGGGAAACGGTGTCTGTACGGTGTTGGCCGAGTCGCAATCGACGTTTGTAGGTAAAGTCGCTCGATTCGGAGATGAGAAACGAATTTCCGGTCAGGGACGGCGAGCGGCAGATGTCGATGAGTCGAGGAAAAAGGATACGTAAAGGTTAAAAAATAAAGAGGCGCGATGATCATCGCTAACTGCAAGGTGACCGGGTCACGGCTGACTGAGGGGCAACAAACATCATAGCGGGGCGAGCATTGTGGCGGAGCAGAGCCTCTGTGAATGGTTTAGCTTGGCAATGTCAATGGTCTTTTTTCTGTTCATTCACTTGATGTTTCTTGCTGAGCGGCACGGGCCGTCATTCGAAACCAGCCGAATTTCGAGATGTTTTCGGCCCTGGCTTTGATTCCGTCTGTTCTGAACATGTTCCTGGCAATATGACGCGATGTGCCCTGATGATTCATGACTTGGCGGGATGAAACCAGCCTCGGCCATCCATCATCAATTAGGTACCTAGTCAGCATAGGCTGTCTGACGAGTTGTTGGCGCCGGGGAAATGCCCGTCAGGCTTCACTTGTCACGCGAGCCGCAGTCCAAAGTCATGCTGCGCACGAGGCGCACTACCAAACAAGGGCTCGACCGCTCCCTTGCCTGGACAAAGTGTTGCGCGAACTGGCAAGGAGGGTATGAAGGGGTTCCGGCAACGTCCTGTACCACCAGGCCATCTTCACTGACTTGTACTTCCCAACTCGAAATGAATACAGCGCTGAAGCCAAAGAATCTCCAACACTGAGAAAACACTCTTATGGGCATCGCAAAGTACTCTATAGTGTGCCTGAAACCAACATCATCAAACGAATATGTTTCTCAACCAGATCCTGCTTCTTTTCTGTCAAGACTTTCCGAATCTTCCAAACGCAAGCCGCTTTCGGCCTCTCTTCTCGCCCGCCCATTATTTCGCTCCTGGAAATTCTTGAGAACTTTGGTCAGCTTTGCGATAGCTGCCACTCTCGCGCTCTTTTTGATCGCTTCGAAGCATCCGTCATCAACTTCGACTCCGAGTTCGAGCAACTGCTGTGCAATAACAAAATTTCCAATCTTCAGGGCCAGTATCAGACTGTCCGGTGCCACTTCTGCTTTGATACGACAAAGATGGCCCACCATGCTCCCGCAGTTCCATTCAATAGCACACTCAAGTGCTGTTTTGCCATTTTCATCCTTCTTGTCTAGGCTGGCTTTACCATCCTCGACTAGTATTTTGACTATTTCATCACTGTACTCTTTGACAGCAACGTGAATGGGATATTCGCCAGCGCTAGATTTGGTGTCAACTTGGCATTTGAAGTCGCGGATGAGCAACAGCACAACCTCGCTGTGATTTGCTCGGATTGCTTCAATCATTGCGTCAACGACCTGCGGTGACCCTTCGTCGAGGCTCGAAAGCAATACCCGTAAAATTTTCACTCTGTCGTTTTCAAATCTGTCACTCCCAGTCTCTCTGCTTATCTGAATACTTCTGTCGCGCTTAATGGTGGCGACGATGGCTTTGTCCAAAGCGCGGCTACCCTTTAACATCGGCTCTAGAAGTGTTGACAAGTATCTCACCATCTTTACGTCTTCATTAGCCACTGCATATTCCAAAGCTGTCATGGAAGCCTCATCAATGGCTGTCATATCTATCATCAAGCGGCCATCTTCGCCAATCATTCTCGCAATGACGCGAGAACCCCCAATGACTGCAGCATGAAGTAAGGTCCGCCCGCCGTTGCAAAGCCGCCGAATGTTTGCTAGCGGAAATAGGAACCGAAACATTTCGTTGTGACCTTTGTAGGCTGCCCAGAATATTGGGCTGTTGCCTGTTTTGTCTAGTCGATCGAGAACAGCGCCATAGTCTATTAGTTTCTTCGCAACGGCCAGTCGATTATTCTGCACTGCGCAATGTAAAGGCGTCCTCCCATCTCGTCCGGCGTGATTGACATCCCTTGTCAACTTCATTAAACCTTCCGCCAAGTTCCGATGTCCACGGCAACAGGCATAATGTAACGGTGTCCAGCCGTTGAGGTCCTCATTCCTGGCAATTTGCACAAAGTCGTCGCGTTTGTAAGTTCCATGGAGCTGCAGTCGCCTTCCACTCGCAATGTGATGAAGTACACTCCAACCAAACATGTCCGTTATCGTCGTTTCGACCCTCCCATCGTACTCGGCCTGGTCAAAGATGAACCATTCGACAGGGTCAGTCCCTGAGACGTCTTTGATTGCTTTTACATCGGCCTTTCGGTCTGATATGCCATGTGGCCGATATTTGTCATCCAAATAATGACTGTTTTGAAGCTCTTTGCCCTCCTTCTCTAGGCACCACTTCATTCTGTGCCATGCTTTGGTAGCTTCCGCAAGAGCAAGAACTTTAGGAGGCGCCAAAGTCAACATCTCTTGTATTCGATTGCGAGCATCGACAAGATCTCTATAATCTGCGGATATGTTCATAGGTATCTCAGTGACTTGTTTTGATCTTTGCGGTGGCTCATAGTACTCGCATGCAGTTCCTTGAATTAGCATGGCACGCATATCGTCCGTCAACCTTCGGTGGTGCTCAATGGCAGCTGCCACGGCTTGCACACTCGCGGAGCCAGTCGGAGTAATCGTGGCCACGCTGCAAGAGTAAAAAAGCCACAAATGTAATATTGTCTCGTGAAAGGAATACTCTGGTTTGCTTGACAGCGTCCTGGCTACGGCCTCCATATGCTGCACCACCGGCACCACATCAGGAAGCTTTCCCAAGCAGCTTAGCGGCGATATCGTCAGGCAGTGTACTTGTTCCGGGGAAGCAAAGCCCCTTGCATGAATTTCTTCCATCATTTTCGATAAGCCCGAGTGCCGTACTTCGATATCAAACTCCAGGTCTCCAGTTTTGGACACGAGTCCTCTCCCAACCTGTTCACTCCACGCACCACTGCGATGAACTGTGACTTCCCCGGGGATACTGTCTTCAACTTTTTCAGCGACTGCCCAAATAAAAGCTGCAAGAAGCTCCCTGGCGTACATTCTATCCAAAGAATCGGTGGCATTCAAAGCAAGAAAGAGCTGAGGCTCCGTCTTCGAAGAAGGTTTGCCACGCTGCTTGATGATGGCGCTTTGAAAGAGCTGCTTGAATCGCCTTGGTTCCTTTGTTCCGCAATCGAAAATGTCACTTGTTCGATCAGATATTCGTCGAGTCATTATTCCATGCAATTGCTCGCCATCTGGGATAGAACCCCGTCTCGTATCCGTAAAAGATCCCGTCTGCCTTTGGCTGTCCACGTTCAACAATGAAAAGCAGCTAGGCTTGGTCGAACTGCGGCCAGTGACGCAATACTTCTTGTAACTGTCTTTCTCGATATATACATCTCTGCTACTTTGCGTACAAGATCTCTCTTCAATATATCCTTCGGCAATGGTACCGATGGGCCGCACTTCGACAAGCTGTGTTGTCGATACTGGTATCCACCAATCCATATCTTTGATGATAGATTCTGTGGCGCGTCCAATTATTTGTAAACCCCTTTTCTGTAAAGCCCCCTTTCTTCTGAGCCAGGAATCACCCGATTCCGTCTCTTGATCGGTCTCTAAGCCCATGTTCTTCTGTCGTGTAGGCCATTGATACACCATTATTACCGAAAAAATCCACAGCGAGAGCGCGGCGTCGATTTCATCAGACTGATTCCGCCATCGGCCATTCTCTCTGCGAATATGGAATCGCGCATATCTTGCGCCGTGATTCTTCTGGGGACTTAGAAGTATGTCCCATTGGGCGGTGTTGCGGACCTTTGAGTTAGGAAAACAGAGATCCATGACGGCATCCAAGGATTCAGCCAGCTTTATAGCAAGCGGCGATAGCGGGCCGTTCCAGTCGCTGGCTTGTGCCAAATCTCTCCTCAGTGGTAAAATGGCATCCAATCTGTCGTCATCCTCGCACGGTGACGAGCTCTTGACTTGCTCACCGTGCGAGCTTTCGACTTCCCAGTTTAAACATGTGCTCGAAGTTGACCCGTGCATGTGTTGCAAATCACTACCAGTAGCAACACCCCAAGCCAGCCCTGCCTTCTCCGAGTGTAGCTCTGTCTTGTCTTGACGCCATGGAAGTGTGTCGCTATGCTGAAGCGCCACTGCAAGCCAGTCTAGCTCATGTCCTGGAATAAGATTGTAGTGAACAGGCGGCTTTGAGAATCCACGTCGGACCCAAACTCTCAGAATGGCCAAAATACCGACGGCGCCTAATTGAGTCAGAGCAACAGACCAGTGCAGCGCTCTTATTCCGGTAAATTGGAAGAAGAAGCCAAGAAGTGCTAGTGTGACTCCTAAAAAAGTCTTTGCTTCTAACATTGTTAAGCTCTCAAGCTTGTTTGCTTTTTCTTGCTCAGACGCGGAATCACTCTCTTTCTCCTCAGCGGCATCGTCTTTTGCAGCATCTGGCGCATTTTCCTTGACCTTTCTGAGGAGCTTGGGGAGTAGTCTTTCAAGCGAGAGCATTAAGGGCTGGCTTATTTGATCTCGACCCGATGTAATGATTATCTCCTGCGCGTCAGGAGGGTAGAGCGCGCACGAGTCAAAGACTTGCTCTCCAACTTTTTGCCTTTGCTGTAACCAAATCATCCGCGCCATGCGATTTTTTAGGACTGTGTACCGAATTTCTTTAGTATAGCTTTCCACGACATGGGCGCAAACCATCATGCCGGCCACGAGCGTCATCGAACCGCCAGCAGCAAAGGGAAACCCATAGCTTCTCACAGGCTTGCCGTCCGGTTTCATTCTCCAATAATACACTGTGCCGCTGGAGTATATGATCAGAATGATTTGCAGTAATGTTGCAAACCCGGCTGCGAGTCGCAGAGAGCCTCGACGGAAAGACTTGTGGCAATTCATGCTAATATTTGGTATGGTATGGTGGCTGTTCCGGATAACAACGATATCGGAGACCTCGCTGATTGACGCTGTCACAGGCGGGATCGCCGGCTCCGGAGATTCGTACGAAGGCATATTTTCGCTACGGGCCGATGGACTTTCACTCATTGGCTCCTGCGCTGTTCTCCAGCTTTCCGCGCCAAAGCGACTTTTTTTAACCGCAGCTGGAACCTCATTATCACTCGACGTGGATGTAAAGATGCGGCCATAGCGGCGAGAGGGAAAATTCCTTCTAGCGGCCCTCCGTTCCAGAAGCTCCTCTCTTCTCCCACTCTCTATGGCAGCCAACAATTTCCATTCGTCATCTTTTTCTTGGCCGATCTCCGTTTCATTAGAGTAATCATTGCTTTTGCTGCTTTCCCTGCCACTCTTGTCAGCGTGAGGCGAGGACTTTTCCTCTTCGCTCAGCGCAGGGAGACTTCCGTGGCAAGACTCAAATGCTTCCGGTTCTTCCGCTCGCACTCCGGTAGCAGCACTGGTAATGCCGATTGGAGCAGTTGATGGCCCGTCGGGCAAGTTTGAACTCGCATCGTTTCCGATTTCGTCACATCTGCCGCGAATACTGGGGCCTCGGCCATCTGCTGAGCTGTCATCTCGTGCTGCTTCTTCGTCTACGGCACCATTCTCCCTTCTTAAGAATAGAAAGCGCCATAATTTCCCGAGACTCGTAGCCTTTGGCTCAAGCGGAGCTTTCTTCTGCACGTCGCTGAGCTCGCTATCTTTGCAATGCCTCTTGATGAGCCCCTGCTTGATTGCATCGTCCATTGTCATGAACTTGACGTTCATCCGCTTTCCCGGTCTCAAGCTCAAATATGGCTCATTTTTCCTCACAAGACAAATGAATTCAGCGATTGGTGGCTTTCCCATGATTCTCACAGTCTCGCGTCCGTTCCAGACCTCGCACACTTCATTCGACGTGGATGATAGAAGCTCTGATTCCACGACTGCAAAGTTTTCTCGCGCCCTACCGATGATTGCTTTGAGCCAAGGCGGGCCGCCGACCCTTATTGCGGCGACGATTGCCGTGACGATTCCAAGTGGTGCCATGGATAACAAGATGTGGTCGGCCCAGCCGGTAGATTGGCTCATGAATTGCTGGGTGACGCGTTCGCCAAAGAGAGCGAGAAGCCTATATATTCATGCCTTAGTCACAGTTCTAGAGATGATAACGGACAGTACTCACGGGGCGAGATCAGTAAACAAATTGTTTACGAAGTCGTTGCCGCTGTCAGCGGCGGCCTTGCCTAATAGGCAGCACAAGATGAAGAACGACTTCATAATTGCAGAATCAGCTTGATGTATAGCGAAGCAAGACTAAGCTCACGAAAGTTTCGGAAAACGAAACTCTTTAATGTGCTTCGAGAGTGAAAGTCTATAAAAAGGCAATCAGTTGTTTATATGTAGATGGCATCTTCGACGGCAGCTGGCCCGTCATGGCTCAGTTGGGCATCACTGCATTTGCATGAATTATTGGCCCAAACTTTGTTCCGCGTACGCGCCATCTACACGGAGCCAGCTGAGAGTCATGACGTCGTCTTGTTTCACTTTGCTTTGCTTTCTAGCCCTCAAGAGGCAGAATCATAGCAGTTATCAAGAAGCGATGGTCGTGTTATTTCGGCTGTGTGCTGTAGGTTGGCAGTGAAGGAGGGATACGGGAATACTGGCGCCTGGGTAGCTGCATACCCCGCACCAAGCAACTCATGCATGTAGGCAGGATCGACCGTCTGCCCGGCGACTTTCTCTCCCTGCAAATCTGACGAAGGTCGATCGATCCGTGAGAATCTTTTCGCCGAGTTCGGTTCTTAGGACGAGAATCAGGCTACTTCGCTATAAAAATATGAAATTACAATTACATCGTATTTTTTAGGGACGTGCTGGTACCAGCTTCAGCCTAGCAGGAAGCTACAGCGGGATTAGCCGTACTAGACCCACTGTAGCAGCTGCTGCGCGCCTGGCGTTGGCCATCCATGGACCGCCAACAAGGCAGACTCCAGTCACCCATCAAACAAGACCCTGAAAAAATGGCGCGCTCTGCGTTTCCGCATCCCGAGCGGCCCGTTGTAGGCAAAACTGGGCCATTGACTGTATGCTTAAAGAAGCTGGTCTTGGCGTTTTCTCTGATTGAGTACACCACCAAACACAACACCTGTTACTCTCGCCAGCATCGACCCCGCATTAGACTTTTTGCGGCATCGGCGTTGATACATCGCCATGGCTACGTATCAGGATAATCTTTCCCAAAATTTTGGGAACCTAGGCCTAGGTCCCAACAACGGCCAATATCCTCCCCGTTGGTAGACCCCTCCACACGGGCTTAACACGTCTACTGACCACATCCTCAGAGCAGCAAGGCTACGGATACCAAGGTCAGCAGCAGCCGCCTCCTTCGCAATACAGCTCTCCCCCTCCACAGGACCAGTACGGCTCGCCCCCGCCTGCACCTCCATACCAGCCTCCCCAAGACAAGCCTCCAATCCCGCGCGAATGGCGTCCCTTTTACGACCACCACCAGCAGCGCTGGTATTACGTCAACGAAACCAGCCGAGAGACCCAGTGGGAGGCACCCGGCTACTATGCGCCGTCCCCTATAGGTGGTGATACTCGTGACGCCTACCCACCGTCTGGTCCGCCTCCGGGACACTACGCTTACAGTCCACCACCGGGCCCGCCTTCTGGTACGACTAAGAGCAGCGGAGGCGGCATGGGCATGGCGGGCGGTATGGCCATGGGTGCTGTCGCGGGCCTCGCCGCCGGTGCGGCTGGCTCCTATCTCTTTGGCAAAGCCGAGGACGCAGTCGAGAACAAATTCGATAAAATCGAAGATCGGCTGGAGGGTATCGAGAATCGCGTCGAGGACAGGGCCGACCACGCCAAGGATGACGTGGAGGAGCGAGTCTACAGGGACGAAGAACGATGGGCGGCACCCATACCCGCAGTACTGCCCGCCCACGACATTGACGGCGACTCGGTGTCGTCGAGCGACCGCGAAGAGGTGGAAGAAGCTAGAGCGCGGTACGAAGAGGCACTACGCGACGCGGCTAGCTCGTCGGCGAGCAGTAGCGATCTAGAGGAGCTGGAGGAGGCTAGAGAGGAGTACGAGGAGGCATATGAGGAGACGTATGGCGGCGATGACTATGATGACGATTACTAGGGGTCTGACGATATGTATGCCGACGAAGATGAATGTGACTACTATTAGCGAAGAACATAGCTGCGAGCTCAGAAGGAAGATTGCTTATGGGGGGTTATTTGAAGTAGTAGCTGTCGCAAAGACACCCCGTGACGAGGCTCACGAGACGCTGGACAAGAAACGTGCGCGCAGTCTGTGATGTAGTCAAGTATTGGGCCAAGCATTGCTTTATAAACCATCTTAAACATCTTATTTCAAATGCGATACGAGCTGCCATAATGCTTGAGAGAGATTGGAGTGATTATCATAATTAAATGTTGAAACTAGTTGCTGCTGCTTGCCACCTGCCAAGGGGTATATCCTGTATAACATGCCAAAATAAATATACAAAACAAGAAACTGGGGTATCGTGCGTCATGTCGCATTGTTGAAAGCGCAGTGAAATGATGAGAAAAAAAAAGAAATATGCTCAAGATGTGGTGTAGCACCACCGGGTGCCATTTCTCGCGTCCACGCTGCAGAGACTCTGCTCTGTCAGAGCCGCGAGCAGCGAGCCACACAGAATGCCTACCGTCTCGCTAGTGCTAATGACACCGAGGCCAAATTCCGCATCGGCCGGCTTGTCCGTCGCCATCTGCTCGAGGGCCGAAGCGAAAATGTTTGCGTAGACGGCGCCGCCGAGGAGCCCGGCGGCAAAGAGCGCGGGCAGCACTAGATACGGAGAGACGACCAAGGCGGCGACGCCGTTGAGCAGGAGGGCGGCGACAACGACAGCGAGCAGCGAGGTGAGGCGTGCGAGGTGGCGAATGCGGACGAGTAGAATGGTGGAGCGCGAGACGAGGTTGCCGGCCTGAAAGGCGAGGTTGTAGACGGCAGTAAAGGTCTCAAAGGTGCCAAAGACGGCGGAGCGGCCGTAGGCGCGCGAGATGCCCGGGGCGACGAGCGCCTGCAGCGTAAATGCGAAGCAGAGGGTGCGAATGTACGGCTTGGCGAGCGGGTCGACGAGTCGCAGATTGTGCTCGAAGCGGCCGGCCCACGTCGTAGGCCCGTCGTCGTCGTCGTGCTGTGGCGGCGGCTCCTGAACGACAAACTCGCCGCTTCCTTCCTCGGCGGCGCGGGCGTCATACTTGATGCTGTCGACGGTCGTGCAGGTAAAGACGGGCGGCCGACGCAGGACCATGGAGTGGGCGACGAGCCCCGCGCCGACAAAGTAGTGGGCGTAGTCGAGCGCGGTGCGCAGCACAACGTGCGCAGAGACGGTCACGACGTAGGGCGCAACGGCCCAGAGCAGAGACGCGGCGCCGGTGCCAATGCCCCAGCCGGCGAGCCCGGCGCGGCCAAAGTGCCGCAGGTGGCCGAGGGACGAGACGTCGGTGACGGCGGCGGTGGCGGCGGCGAGCAGGACGACGAGGACGCGCCAGACGGCGGGCACGTTGGCGGGCGTGACGGAGGCGACGAAGACGGCGAGGGACCAGCAGCCGGCAAAGAGAAACGGGCGCAGCTTCCAGGGAAGGTAGGGCAGAAGCGCGTGCGGGGCGAGCAGCTTGGCGACGAGGGCGGGTAGGAGCTGGATGAGCAGGACAAGGGGGCGGGAGTAGGGGATGATGAGGTAGCTGGAGGAGAAGATGATGTTGGAGAGGATGACGTTGCAGAAGCCTGGAAAAACAAGATTGGTTTTGGTTAGAGGGATAGTTTTGGTTATAGGGATGCGCGGATCGTAAGGGCTGTTCTTGTTGGATGGGGAGAGGAGGAGGGTGGAAACGAACCGAGGATGGTGTAGCCGGTGATGATCTTGATGCTCTGGTTGCGGAGAGCTTTCATGGCTTGCCGCCGCTCATGGCTTTGAGAGCCGTACATGGCGTCGATTGAGTTGTCGACAGGTTGTTGTTTGCTCTTTTGGTGGTTTGTTGGTGTGAACAGCTCACGATGGGTGTCAACACTAACTAGAAGACAAAGGTAACAAACGGTTCACAGCCTGGTACATGGGGAGAGGGATGCAGTTGATTTTACAAAGAAGCATGGAAGAAATGTAGGTGAGATTCCAACCAAGTAAAAGAAAACCGCAAGAAAAAAAGAACGTGGCGCCAAGTGCCCATTGCTTGGTAGCGCATACATGTACGAAGCAGACAAACGTGCCCACGAGCTTGGAGAAATCGGGGGCGGAGCCCGTTCATTTGATTGTTGAAGCTCTGATAGCCAGGCGGCATAGGGCCCACGGGGAATGGGCCAATCTATGCAAGGTAGGTGGTAGGCTGGTGGGGTCATTTTGGAGGGCTTGCATTGGGGGGGCTGGCTGGCAGGGGTGCGTCTTTTAGCGGACAGCGGGCACTTGAGGTCACAGGTGTATTACTGTGTAAGGAAGGTACTTGGCTGTCTGAAGCCGGACCGGTCAAAAAGGTTGGGAAAAGAAAGTTGGGCACGAGACGGAAGCGTTTTTGCGGGTTTGATTTTTTTTTGTCTTTTCAAGTTACAGCTATTACATTTTTCAATGCTCGCTGAATTGCTTGAGCTGGCCGTAGAAGGAGTGTCATTGCCGTAGCTCAGCGTATCGTGCTCTATGGATAATCATTGTAACTAGTTGTAATGCGTGTGTCAATTGTAAGTGCAATTCCACGTCATATGCAAAGAAAAGGGAAAAACAAAAAAGCCCCCCTGAAACTTTGGAAAAACCTTTAGTTCAACAATTCCACGGCATTTTACAATTTGCACAGCTCCAGCATGTCTTCACCTCGGGTAAGCTACATCCCGGAGCTCCAGCACGGCATCTTCTTCAAATGGGCCCCCATAACCCCCGATGGAGCCCCATAAATAACGGCCCCATAGTACTCCGGACGACCGTCCAGTACGTTTGCCATTGCATGATTAATCATTGATGATTGATGGAAAGAAGGGCAAAAAAAGCCGCACAGATGGTAAAAAGATGTATCCACATTTCCCATGCCATTGTCATAGTGGCAGTGGGCGACGGACAACATTTGCAGGGTTCATGGACTTTGGGCAAACAGCAAAGGAGCCCCCCTCGCTAGCCCCAGTCCGGCCACCCGCTTAAAAAGGCTAGCTGGGGGGGCGGCCTCTGAGGGAGCCCCTCTGGTGCACGTGTAAGCGTTGAGCCTCGAGGCAGGTCATCTTGGCCATGTCCTTGCGGCGAGATAGCATAAACATGAAAAAAAAGGGGACAAAATGGCACACAACCTGCTCAACGTTAGTCTATGCAGCCAAGATGCTGCTGGTGGTGTACTGGCTGCATGGTGCTCAGATTTTGGATGCGTACTAGGCCTATCACTATGTTAAACTATTTCCGTACCCTCCCACCTTTTCAATCGTACCTGGTCTTTTTTTGGGTTTATTGTTTCTACAAGTTTCCTCTGTTGGTCTGTTTTTTTTTTGGTCATTTAATTTCAACTCTGGATGCCGAAAGAAATGAATGGAAAAATTCCTTGGGGCAAACTATTGTGTAAAAGAATGCGCGCAGCTGTCTTCTTTTTTTGCATGTGATCCTCAACAAACTTGAACGGGTGACAGAAAACAATGTCGCCCATTGCTACAAAGGGTAACCCGGCGCAGCCCGCTCTGCGCGGCCACAGCCTGGGCCAATTATGATGCAAGCAAAAAGATGACCAGGGTTCTTCTGAGGGGTTTTGATTGTTGCGCAAGAGCACAAGCCTTGTTTCGGGTGAATAGGGCAAATATGAGGATTGTCAAAGAATCGATTAAAAGGAAACGCATATTGATATCAATTCTCCGCCGGTATTTTAAAGCGAGTCAGTTTTTCCTGGGGAAAATAGAAACATCCAACAAGAGACACGGCACATGGCGGCCAAGGAATAAAAAAGTAACAAAGGGTGCGCCACCAAGAGATAAACCAAGAAGCAAAGCAAGCCACCCACACCACGCACGGAACCAGGAGATCAATGCCACCCAATGAGTAAAACTACCAGTAATATCCGTCTGGCGTATGCCTGCGGCTCAAGAAGCCCACGTCCTCAAGCCATTGGCTGCCGCCGCAAACTGACGCACGCACGCGTCCTAGAGGGCCTCCAAGACATACTTTTGTACATTGTGGTCACTGGCATTAACCCAAGCGACCCCAATTCCGTCCTAGCCCGGCCCCAAGGCTAATTCGAAATGCAAATAGCCCAACTGCCCTTGCCTATTTCTTTTGGTGGCGTGAAGCCTAAAAAATGCCGTGGGGTGCGCAGAAAGTGCCGTCGTCTCAGTGTTGCGGCAGCCTACCGCTCCGTTGTGTCAGTTTTTCCTGTACGGATTACGGAGCACGGGTTACGAATTACGGATTACGGATACTGCTAATACTGTTTTTATCACTTTTCTGTTTGCATTTACCCGTAGAACCCCTTGTTCATGTATCTCTCTCCCTTTCCACCCACCACCCCTTCACAACCCCCCCCCCCCCCCTCCTCATGTTCCACTCCAACCCACCACCGCCCACTCCAGTCGATCTCGTCTGCGTGCTTCCCTCTCTCCCCCGATCAGTGGCCAGCTGTTGGTAACTCAACTCATTCTCTGTTATTATTCCCATCTGCTTCTCTCATCATTTTAATTATTCTTCTCATTTCTCAGACCTCTACTTCTTTTCTTCCAGCTTCGCAAACTGCCCTTTATAACGGTCTACAACTACAACACTTTTTGCACCGCCGTGTAATTCACGGCCCCCTTCAACAAACCCATGTTTAAGCACTTTTGCCGTGGTGGTGGCCGCCTCAAGCTCCCCATTGACGAGCCCGCTCTGGCGCCTGCTTCGCGAAAGCAAAAGAAGCGTCTTCGCAATGTCAAGCGCCTGTCTGTGCTCGTCGTTGCCGTGACCATTATGGCCACTGGCTTCATGGTCCGTTCACTAACTAACCCCAAAGAACCCTTTTTTTTTTCTCCCGTTCATCATACTTACACGCATCTCAGGCCACCAAGAGCTCGTCACTTGCAGGCGCTCTGCGTCAGTCGTCCTGGGACGGCACCGTCACCCACGCTCAGCTCCAGAACCTCTCCCTCCCTCCGCCGCAAGAATCCCGCAACGTCGGCGGCACGCGTCGCTTCCGCGTCTTCATGGCCGCCGACGCCCCGAACCTGAGCCTCTGCAAGTCCGTCATGTCCTCGGTCGCCCTCGGCTACCCGCTGCCCATCCTGCTCAACTGGAAGGGCGAGTTCAACCGGCCCGAGTGGCACCTCGCCGGCAGCCACATTGCCAAGCTCGAGAGCCTGCACGCCGCCATCGAGGCCCTGCTCGCCGATCCCAACGACATTGCCCACGACGACGACCTCGCTGTCCTGGTCGACTCGTACGATGTTTGGTTCCAGCTGCCCCCGTCGGTGCTCATTCAGCGCTACCACCAGATCAACAAGGACGCCGACAGGCGCATACGCGACCAATGGCGAGAAACGTGGCGCGGTCGCGGCGACGACGACGACGACGACTTTCCCATACCGCCCCCCAAACAAAACATTGTCGTCACGTCGGCCAAGGACTGCCATCCGGGCCCCGAGTCGGGCTCGCATCCACACTACGACCACTGGCCGCAGTCGCCCATGCCGAAATTCATGTACGGCCCGGGCACCGACAAGGTATCGGGCCCCCTGTTTGACCCCGCGCGAAAGTACAAAAAGGTGCGTCCGCGCTGCGTCAACAGCGGCATGATTATGGGCACCATGGGCGCGCTGCGCGCTGCTCTCGCCCGCAGCAAGGACAAGATTGCCGAGGCGGAGCGCACCGGACGGCAGCTCTGGAGCGACCAGGCCCTGCTCGGCGAGGTCATTGGCGAGCAGGAGCTGTGGCGCGAGTGGGTGCGCCACCTCGGCGCGACCTGGGACGGCGACGACGACGACACCGCCGGGGCTCCGCTGTACGGTGGCCTGCACCGGGACGTGGTGCCCATTGCGCGCGCTGCGCTGCGCGAGGGCAAGAATTTCGAGTTTGGCATCGGTCTCGACTACGCGTTTAGCACGATCCCGCCGACGTGCTCTGCCGAGGAGGACGGCGACTTTGTCGCGCTCAGCGACCACGAGCAGGTCGAGGCCGCGTCGGAGCGCGCCGGCGTCGTCGACGGCGTCCGCGTCCGCGGCGTGCCGCCCGAGCTACTACTCCATACGACGCCCAACGCCGCCCGCGACGCCATCACGTACCGCGATCCGCTGCGCGACATTGCCTGGGGCGAGGTCCCCCTCTACACCGACTTCTTCTTCGGCACCACGCCCGTCGGCATCCACCACAACGCCTACGTCGACGGCCTCAAGGCCTGGCGCATCGACAACTGGTGGGAGCGCATGTGGTTCCACCGCCACCTGCGCAGGCTCGTCTCGTCGCACCTCATCCTCCCGCAGCAGACGGGCTCTGGCGGCGTCCGGCCCATTGTCCGCGTGGCCAATGTCTCGTCGGACGGCGTCGAGGTCGTCTACGTGCCCCCGGCGTCGGAGTCGCAGGAAAAAGTCGTCACGGTGTTTGAGCCGGCTAGGAGGGGTGCTGCTGGTGAAGAGGCCGTGTTTGAGCCCATTTCTTTTGATGGCATTTGTCAAAGGGGGAAAAAGCCGTGGTTTGAGGAGCTCTTTGGCGACAAGATTGGTCCCTTGGCGCTTTGAAAATTCACGAATCAACGACTTGGGAAATTCATCATTCAACTGCAAATCTACGCCGCTCGGAATCGCGGCAGCAAACACATGTACCACAAGCATAGATACCATTTTCCTTTTTTATCTTGGCGTTTCAACAGCCGGCATATCTTTTTTTTTTTTCAATTGGAGGAAGGCACAGGATACCCCAGGTTTAATACAATCCTACATGAGTGGCATTAGCCAACCCTCAGTCCTCATATTCACTCATATTTTGGTTCGTGACATGCAAAGTCGTAATTTAACCCGCCAAACTTTGACGCCAAACCTAACCCTTGAATGCCTGGATTCCATCATATGCCCAGCCTCGTCATCGCCACAACTCCAATGATACGGGTAAAGTCTCTATTCCAGAGGCCGCCATGTGAAGGACGTGTAACGGTAGAACCCTGCTTCAAGATGCCGTGTAACAATCTGGGTCATGTTGGCCGAGTCATGGCCTGTGACACAAAGTTTAGCACGAAACGGTGGCGCTGCCATTGCGTCTTGTCGCACACATGCCACCATTATTCAGACTCGGTAGCATGAAATGTTCTGATAAACGCCCGCTTGCTCTACACGGTGAAAAACGCAAGGCACCCCACCCTTGTCCCGCCGATTCTGGCAGTTGTTCGCCCAGTCTGTATCACGGCCAGACCTTTGTAGAATCGAATCGGACGTTACACTAAAGCATGTTGACAAATTGAAAGGTGTGCAAAGCAAGTCGGTTGCATTATGTTTGGTCTGCTGTAGTTCCTAAGAAGATGCCGGCTCTTCCTTGGCTGATTAAACACAAAGATACTGAGCAGGGCGCTCGTCAAGTAAATACAAGACATGTAGAAAGTCGTAGCAACAACGCTACGCAAGTTTCGTTGATAAAAAGAAAAGACAACCGGCTCCTCATGAGGGTATTCCTATCCTAAAACTCAAAACAAAAGAAAATATGTAACATGTTATGTATCCGCCCAGATTAGGAAAAATCAAGAGCAACAAGAACTTGTGGCTCGCCAGTGGCCCGCGAATGTACTTTGTTGAGTCGTTGAAGAAGAAGAGACTCGTCTCTACATGAGCTTACGGCGTCTCCTCGACAAGTCGCACAATCTCGCAGAGACTTCTCAGAAACAGGGCGTCCGCATCGGTGGCGTCGGCCTCGGTGATGGGCGCCTCTGTCCGTCCACTCGCAGACATGAGACGGGCCGTGGCGATGAGTCGCACAATGCACTTGTACAAGCCCTCGTGCACGGTGCGCACGGGGGCTTCGTGTACCGCACTCGGGGCCAGTTGGCAGGGCAGTAGCTCGTCGCGCGACCAGGGGCGCGAGTGCGACGACGCCGTCATGGTCATGTTGCTGGTGCGTCGGGCGAGGCGGGGGGTTTGGCGCGCTCCCGCACCGGCAGGCTCAATGCCGTGGCTGCCCAGGCCGAGAAGGGACGCAGCCTTTTTAGGAATGTCGTCCTGCTTCTGGTCGGCCGCCGATGGACCGCCCACGCGGCGGCAGCTTGGGTGGCGCCTGACGAGGCTCGACGAGGCTGACGTGGATGTGGCGGCGCTTCGAGCAAGCAGCGCCGACACGTAGTTGTATGCCATGATGTGGGCAAAGAGGGCATCGCAAATGTACTCGGAGCATGTGCCAAAGACATTTTGTATTGCGCTCCAGGCCTTTTGCGCGTCCGCGCCACCGATGCTGCCGGCGCGGCTTTCATTGGCCGAGTGCAGGGCGTTGTGTCGTAGATTCTTTGACGACGCTGCTCTCTTGAGGGGATTCACCTTGCTCCAGAGTGACTTTTTGGCGCTTTCTTCGGGAGATGAGAGTCTCATAAAGTCTGTCTCGGGGTGTCTCATCTTCTTCGAGTACGATCGAATCGTATCAATGGTTAGGCTAGACGAGAGAAGAATTGTCTCGGGGAAGCACGCCACCGAGACTCGCAGCGTCTCAATCACATCCGGCGGCAGCGGCACTACTCTTGCGAGCTCGTCGCCCCCAAAGTTGAGGACATACGGCGCCGCCGAGTGCGCCAATGTCACAAAATTGCGACGCGGCGACTCTGGAGGAGTTGTTCTAGAGTAGTCCGTCTCGTTGAGGCCCCTCTGAATTGGTCGTTTTGTGCTATACACATTGTCTTGCTCAGACTCTGTCTCGGAAGCACAGCTTTCGCTCATTGGAGGTGATTCCAGTCGAGGTGCCGGTGGGCAAGCGCTGGCAGCGGCAGCGGTGCGTGGTCGTCTTCTGAGGCCCTCTTCGGTCGATCGCGATTTTCTTTGGCGATGTTTTTGCTCAACAACTCGTGGTGTTGATTGAGGGACGGGTGAGGCGCGGCCTGGTTGCTCGGCGTTCAGGTGGCCCGGCAATGTGTCTCGCTGAAACTCTTGTGTAATCGTGTTTGTGCCATCAGCCGGCTTAGTGGGCAGTAAATCTCCTGCGGCATGTCTCAATCTCACTGCCCGTATGAATGCTTCACTGGTCGGGACTTCAGTAAGTGAATGCGACTTTCTGTGAAGAAATCGGCGGCGGGCCGCGGCAGCGGATTCTTCGCAATTGAGTAGAGGGCTTTCATTGTTCACCACTCTGAATGGCGTAGGCGGTCTTGGTGAAGGATTTTCCTGTCCTTCTTGCCCAAAGACCGATTCTTGGTCAATTTCAGAGTCCTCGTCCGAGTCGCCGTCGATCCAGTTGCAGCGGGAAGGTTCTAGAGGCCGCGGTGAAGGCTGCGGAGATGGTTTCCATACTGAATCGGTCAAGGACGTAGCCTCTGTAACTATGGACATGTTTCGGTGGTATCGAAACGATGGCGGGGGCATGCCGGATGAATTGTCCTCACTGGAGAAGCTTTCAACGTCGGATAGATCTGGATATTCGTTGTGGAGATAATGCTGCTGACTCTGCCGCTCGAGAAAAGTTGCAATTGAATCCCGTTCTTCAATAGATCCCAAGACTTGGACCCGAGAGGATGCTGGTTGATACTCCCAGGCCATTTCGAGTCGATTAGTCAATCGCCCAGACGCCTTGGCTCGCGCCATGTACTCGGCGGTGACCGAGTGTGAAGGCGCGCCGGCAGTCATGCTTTTGGCAGCGAATATGTCACTGCCAAGTTCTAAATCGCGGGCGAGCAGTTCGGGTAAGTAGTCGTCGATTCTCTGCTCCAAGCTGTCTTGAGGAAAAGTCGAGCTTGTGTAACTCGAGGCTGAGGCAGACAGTGTAAGTGGCATGAGACCTTTCATGCTCGACACGCTCCTGCGCCGAGACAGCGACGAGCCGCTGGAGCAAGTACAAGTTGACGTCTTGGCTGAGCTACCTGCACTGCAGTCAGATGTCGTTGGCGAGGCCGTTTGGTGTCGAAGAGGTTGGTTGAGAATATTCAAGCCAGCCAGTGGCACCGAGGCTGTGTCATGTCCGAAAGCCAGCATGGGAAACGACGAGGGCTGCCAGCGTAGGCCCGTGGCCGCGTGCTCGGGATGGGCCTCTATAAAAGGGCTCGAAATTGAAGGAGCAAGGGAGAAAGCCACGGGCGGTGGCATTGGCGAGATCAGGGACAAAGAAAAAGGGCCCTTTTTGGGTCAGTCTTGGTGTCAGAGAGCGAGCGAGTCTTGGTAAAAGGCTGGTCCAGAGCGGAGGCGTCGTGGTGGGCGGGCAACCTGCGGGCGAGACAAGGGAGGACGACAGCCAACACTTTGTTTGCCTGGGCCACACGGAGCGCTTGGGGGCCAAGTAGGCGAGACAGGTACGGCCAAAAGTTTCAAAGGATGCGGTTCTTGTAGTACAAATACCAAGGGTAGTGCGGGTGGGAAGGGAGTTCAAAACATCTTTCATCAAGATGAGAGCAGAGACACGACTTTTACAGTTAGAGCAGGCCACTAATGGGCGGGATTTTCACGGATGCTAGCTATCCGCTCGACAGAATGGAGATCTGATTTCTTTTTGTTTTGCTTCTTTTTTAAACGTCTCCAGAATGGTCCTTGTGTGGTTGTGTCGTGGTTAGACTTTCAGAAGAAGCAAGTCTCGAGGCTAGGCGTGGAGAAAAAGCAACTTGCAGGGAACTAGCGAGTTGGCCGCAAAGGGACTCCGACTTTGATGACAAGAAACAAGCTATCATATTGACAGGCCGGTCAAGCATTGCGCAATCAAGAGGAAACAGCCGACGGCCAGCGAGGCTGGTTAAAGGCCAAAGCTTGCTGCTACGGCTTGAAGAAAGCACTGGCGAGCAATCGCTGCTGACAGTTAGAAAGACGGGCGCCATGTGGCGCAAGCTCCCCCTCCTCCGGGAGTTTCGTGTAATTGACAAGCCCGCCCTCACTGTTGCGTTGTCGGTCAATGTAGCCGTTAATGGCTAGAGGCAACGGATCATTCGGGACAATACTGTTGAGTTGACGCGTTGCAGGCTGAGGATAGTGACTGAGGATAGTGAGGCTTTTGTTCCTGCTTCGAAGTAGATTGCGATTGATAATTGGATAGGAAGCGAGGGTTCAAAAGGTTGCAGATGAATGGAAGAAACAGAGTTTGATAGTATCCTGGGGGAGGCCGCTCCCGATGGACGAGGCCCCCTTGCGTTACATTGGTGGTACCACATGAAAAACACGAGTCGGTTCGAGATTGGAGCCAACGAGACGATTTTTTTCGGCGGTGATCCTTGCCAATCGTCTGTGAGTATTCTGGGCAAAGAGAATGCTATGTCTCTGGCTGGGTGGCTGAGACTTGGTGGTGGGGGATAATCATGTCAGCGCCCCCAACTGTCTGTTGATTCACTGGTGAGCAGGGCGAGGGTATCGCAACCTGCAGCAAGCTTTGGCCACGCGATGAAGCTGGCATATTCACGATTTTCCACAACAAGGCACGCCAATGGCAAGGCGGCACGCGAATAAGATGCGCTTGCAGCAAGAGCAGTTTTCGTGTTTGGTGGTTTAGGCTCTGCGTGTACGTGAGATGGGAGCGCAAGGTAGCCGTATCATCGAGATGCCCACAAAGTAACTTGGGTCGTCTCGACGAGGATGTGCAGTCGAGAAAATGCAAGGGAGACACTGGTAAAAAAGCAATTTCGGCTGCGCCTCGCTAACTAGAGGGTAGCTATGCAGTAATTAGTTATGTAAGGCGGCAAGAGAGGGTCTTGGCAGAGAGAGTGACATGCTGAAGGCCCCTAGTCTGGTCACTCTGGTGGAAGGAGCAAGGATAAGAAGCAAGAGAAGAAGAAAAGAAAGAGACGAAAAAAGAAAAAAAAATAAATGGCTTGGGATAAAGTTGTAGTTGATGAGCTTGGCGTGGCGTTGACGTTGTGACGGGCGCAAACCATTCAAATAGCCAATTGAGGACGAAGAGCAATGCACATTATTCTCGCCTAATTTGCAGCCCGGCCTCATCAAAACCGTTAGATCTGAGCAGTAATGCAGGGTTATTGTGTGGCAGTTTACGGACGCTGGAGAGAGAGTTACATGCATGAGATTCACCATGGGCAGTGGATCTGGTGTTTACCTACCTCCCATTGCTGGTGAGGCTGCAGGCTGCCCTGTAACTGCAACGGTAGATGCGCTAACCTGCAAGGTGGGTGTGTGGCTCGTGTAGTACCTAGGTAGGTATGTAGAAGCAGTCAAGCAGTCTACATACCTGTCCAGGCTGTCCTGACAGTGGCTGATTTCTTTCCCTCTTTGTTCGTTCTTTTCTTTACCCTTCACAAGACCTGGGTCAATTTTTCTCTCATTAATTTGCCAGTTGAACTAAGAAATGTACTAGAGCTGCTATAGATGCTGACCAAGAGTCCATGTTCAAAGCCAGCGCGCAGTCGCTCTAAAAGTAGGTAATACCACCTTCAGCTCCTATAAGTTGATCAGGGTCCCCTGAAACAACTAAATTACAGCGCTACAGTACCTACCTTATTTCTTGTCCCTCTTTTAGCAGCGTGGCAGGTCCCTTGTCCATCCCAGCACCTCCATCTCAACTCGTTACCCACACCTCCAAGTTCCAGCCCGGCCATCGTCTCCACGTCTGGCTCGCCCAAGAAAAAAAATTATGTTCACCATCACCAGAACATCAGATTTTTTTTTACTTTTCCCTTCCATTCGCGCCACACTTTTCGCATCATTGCCCATCCCTTCATTGACGCCTAGTCCACAATTTCCAACATCCGAGCGCAGTCAGCCAAGACCAATTGAGGCTAGGCACGCCTGAATTCGTCCCTTTCTGCTTGTCGAGCCAAGAGCCGTTGCACCACCATCTCGTCTGCATACCGTTGCCCTTGAAGCAAGAACAGCTCCAATCACCACATCAAGTCCAAACAACTCTTACCAATGCTCACCGAGGAGCTCGTGTCCGCCGTCTGCGGCCCTCCCATCGCTGCCAACACTGCCGTGCCCAAAGACGTTGGCATCTACATCCACACCGTCGCACCCGCGTGGCGTCTCAAAGCCTCCTTCAAAAAGAGCTCTGTTGGTCCCAACTGCCTCGCCGTCAGCGCCAACCACGTGTTTGCCGCCCAGGACCAAAAAGCCCATGTCCATGTCTACTCGCGCCAACGTGGCACCCAAGAAACCCTCGTCTCTTTTCAGGAGAGGATACGAAGTGTAGCCCTCACAGGAAACGTCTTGCTTCTTGGAACTGCCGAGGGCAGGTTACTTCTCTGGGAGGTAGGTTTACTTTTTTTATACCACAATAGGGCATCAGCACTTACATATGACCCATACATGCCCACCCCTATACTTAAGTTCAACTTGCATACTTGGTGTCGCTACTTGTGTTGCTACCTCTTTCGTGTTTCTCTCCCTCTTATTTTTATCCTTGTTTCTTTTACAATGCTGTTGTCGTATATCGATAATGACCCAAACTGACGCCGTGACCTGTAGACATCAACTGGCCGCCTCATTACCACGCCTCCTTGCCATGTGCAGGCAATCTCCTGTCTCGCCACTACAGACAGCCACGTGTTGACTGCTTCTGATGACTCCAATATTAACGTTTGGTCTCTGGCCAGGTTGCTCGAGTACGGTGCCGATCCCGGCTTCGAGCCCGATCTGACCCTCTCCAACCACCGTGGAGCCATCACGTCCCTCGTCGTAGCCCCTGGCGACAATGCCGAGACGAGCCTGTGTGTCTCTTCCAGCAAGGACAAGACCTGCATCATTTGGAACTACCAGACCGGTCAAGTATTGAGGACTCTGCTTTTCCCCTCGATACCCCTTTGCGCCACTCTGGACCCCTGTGCTCGCGCCCTCGTCGTCGCGGCCGAAGATGGTTCTATTTTCCTCGTCGAGTTTTTTGGTGATAAACCACTCCTCGGCTCGCGAAGCGCTGAGCTATCTTCCATTGTCGTTCAGGTCGACTCACCTTTGGGAGTTGCCGACGCCGACGCTGGTCCCGCCACCTGTTTGGCCTTGAACTACAACGGCACTACCCTCATCACTGGCCATACAAAGGGCAAGATCCTCAAGTGGAATTTGACTGATAACAGTCACCCCGCTGAGCTCGCCAATCTCAACGCGTCCGTCACAAATCTGGCCTTTGTTCCTCTCCTCGCATCTCAGCAGTCTCACCAAACGCCAACTGTTGTCAAGCCGAATCAGTCCCAGCGCCAGTATACCCTCTCTGCCCAAATTTCCGGAAAATCGGAAGCTACCCGCTTCAGCGAGATGATGAATACCCCTGGGTTCTCCGATGATACCATTACAAGAGCACTGCAAGCATTTGCAACGCCCGCTGCCGTCTCGGATACTGTATGAGGCTCAATTGCTCAGCTTTAAAGGTCACTCTCTAGCTTTGAAGACATATCTTTGCGTCTTTTCGCTTGAAAACACGTGGACAGCCCACTTTGGCTTACCCGGTGGGCGTCGCCGGCGGCTGGGCCACGCAAGCCCGAATAATCCGAATTTCCCGAAAACTCGCCGTTCGGCGTCGCGCACGTTTGCAACCATTGCAGGCGGTCCGCTTTGAGCCTGTTTTCAAGCGCGCAAGGCAATGATCAAGCTACGCAAACCGATGTGAATTGCTAATCAGGCACGTACTCTACTATGTGGCCCGTCATCGAGTAGTTTTCACATCCTAAATCGGCATAATTAAGCCGTCGATACCCACCATGATGCACTTGGGGAAATTCAAACTCCGTACATAACAATACTTCGACACTATCTCGCACAAAAACGCTGTCCACTCGAGTTGCATATGTGATACAATTTTATAATGTTACCATGTAAAATTTATATTCACAAGAGAATTGTCCACTCGGGTTACAACTATGATTATGCCCGATCTTACAGTGTCACCATCTCTCGCACCGTACGCTGTAATCTGAATTTCCCCGCATTACACAGTGCGGGCCGTAAACAAACCCGGCTCCCAATCGCTCAAGCACGGCCCGACTAAGACCGACATTGCAGCGAGGCGACATCATCAGCGCCTTGCCTTAGCGCTCCTCGGCCACTGAATTCCACATCGCACCTCTCTTTCTCTTTTTCCTCAACCATACATCCATCAGCACAATGTCTGCCGTCGCAACATTACGAGGCGAAACCCCGCAGCAGGTTCGCTCCCTGGTACGTAGTATGAACATCTTTGTTGTTGTTGCGCCGACTTGCGACCGTTGGCAAAGTCAGAAAAACTGTTACTTGGCCGATCGACGTGCGCCGCGATTGCATCAGCTCGCTCCCTTTCCCCCGCAACTTCAAAACTATTTCCTGAAGCGCCATCTCCAGTACGCTAACTTTGATGTTTTCCCCCGTTTGTAGTATCGCCAATTACTGCGACAGGGCGAGCAGTTCACGGCCTACAACTTCCGCGAGTATGCGAAGCGCCGGACAAGAGATGCGTTCCACGAGCACAAGGACGAAAAGGACTCGCGCAAGGTCCAGGAACTTATTCAGAAGGGTCTCAAGGAGCTTCAAGCAATGAAGGTATAAGCCGGACGCCCCGAGCCAGCTGGCAATTTTTTTGAGATTGCTAACGCATTGACAACAGCGCCAGACAGTCATCGGACAATTTTACCAGCTCGACCGATTAGTCGTCGAGGCGAGACTTTCCGTAAGACCTCTGATCTACTAATTTTGGAAAACTTTTACTTACTTAAAACTGCTACAGGACTCTGGCAAGTCTGGCCAAGTGGCGAAGCAGTAGATGCCGCATTACGGCCATCTCGAAGCCATCTGAGATCTGCCATCTTACCGCAAGGTGGCCTAGAACTGGAGGACTAACACGAACCAGGCCTCCCGCCAATAATTACGACTCAACGAGAAAAAAATCCTGGTTCAAATATCTGTACAATACGAGAGTGGTCATCAAAAACATGTTGCTTTATTGGAGGGCGTCTGGGTCGCCCTCGTTAGCACGGCGTTCTGAGAATGCACTTGGAGGAAAATAGACAATATACAAATCTCAGCCGTTTAATAGATACCCTACCGCACAGCAAAGAGATATGAACAAATTTGAATGATATTGAAACCCTACTGAGTTGGTCGGTTGAAAGAGCGTGCTTATGTAATGCGCCCCAGCCACCACTAACTGGCCGTTGGCGCTTCTCCCGTTGTCGCGCCACCACCAACCGTGTCATGAGATGCTGATAGGACGGCCATCAGCGCATCTCTGCTGTCGCATCAATTCGCCGGCACTGGGCTTTCATTCTATATTGGCGCGAGATACTTGTTGAATTTTTTCGATCGCAATCGTTGTAGTGCCAACAAAGCACCATGGCGCCTGGTGTGAGTTTCCTCGGCCAAGTACCTTTGCAATTCAGCTGACTTTCTCCAGACTCGTCGCGCTAATCGCGCTGGCTATGCCGAGCATGATGACTTTGAAGGTACTCTCTTACAGCACTGCCCTCGTCCGTGTGCGGACTAACAAGACGCAGGCCTACCCGTCAGGCAATGGCGCCAGGAATGGGTCAATGTCGCACCTCCCATCGAGCAGGAAACTCTACAAGTAAACGACATCTGGGCGACCGAACTGAATCACGGTATGCCAAAGGATTACGGACTCTTGACACCTCATAGCCAAGAACTCTTGCGCGCTGCTCGATCTGGCCGACTTTACAAGCGGCCCGCGCCCGCAGACGAAGACGAGGCAGAGGCAGAGACAAACACCAACGAGAAGCCCGAAAAGAAGGAGGAAGAGCCCTCGCCAAAGGGGTTCTCAGTCAAAGTCTGGAAACAGATACCGAGGAACGTGGAAGCGCCAGACATTCCGCGCCTTGCCAAGCGACGAAGGAACACCGTGACGATTGCGAGCAAGACTCCCGAAGACAAGGTGCACGGGGCGACTGTCACAAGAGCCACTGTGCGACGTGTCGACGCCGCGGGTAACCCGTACACTGAAGAGGTTACGCTCGGCGATGGGCAAGCCGTGAGCGGCGAGATCATTTCTACACGCGTCGAGACAGTGCAGGCTCCTGCGGCGCCTCTCGCCCAAGTTCAGAACAACCGCCGCCGACCTCCTCCGCCGAAGCGTAAGACCAAGGCTGGACCTGGTCGCGGCAAGAAGAAGAACAGAGGCGGCATCGCAGGTGGACCTTCACACGCCATTGTGCCCAACGGCAACGGTGTCGCGATGCCCAGTCAACCTACGACGGCAGAAAACGTGAGCCTTGGCGGTCAATCTAGTCTGGACCTTTTGCTGATTACGTTTTCCACAGGGTACTACGAATGGAAACAATGACGCTTCGAACCGCGACAGCGAAATGGCAGATGGCGACGAGGATGAAAGTGAGGATGGCGACGACGGTGATGATGATGACGACGAGCACGGCGATAGCGACCTCCCGGATACGAGCAATGTTGAAGAAATAAAGGACAACGACGAGACCATGACCGACGCCCCTCCTATTCCCGTAGAGGTGAAGGAGACGGCGGCAAATGACGCGGCAGACGACAAGCCACCCGCCAACCCACTGTCATTAGCACCACCGCTTGCCTCGGTTACCAGCGATTTGCCGTCTAGAGTAGAAGGAAGCCCCCTGAAGAATGTTGTTCTGCCATCGCCAACAGAGGCCAAAGTACCAGACGTGCTCAAAGATCTTGTCAAGCCAGTGGACGGCGAGACGGGCTCGACAGTAGCCGAGCCCCCTTCTACTATTGTCGGCGAAGAGCCCGAGGCGGCAGAGAACCGCGATCTCGAGCTCGCTCCAATTCCCAGCGAAGCGCTACTTCCTCCACCACCTGAACAGGTTGGTAACATTGCGACCCCGAAAGCTGACGATGCCTCGTCGAGGGTGTCGGACAATGAGGAAAAGAGCAAAGAATCCGAGCACACGCACACGGAAAAGTCGTTTCAGCATCAGGATTCCATTTTGACGGAAGATACCATCAAGCCCGAGGATTCGGCGTCTGTGCGGTTCCCGCTTACAGAGTCTGGCGCCCCCTCCGAAGTCGGCACCGCATCGGTAGACGAGACTAAGGATCTCGCTCCTCCACCGGCTTCTGGCCCGGACGAGAGCCAAGCTCAGCCGGAGCATGCGCCTGCACCGACCATTGTTGAGGAACCTGCCCTGGAGGCTGCCCTGGAGGCTCAGCCGGAGCAAGATGAGGCTCCTGCTGTCGAAGAGCCTGTAGAAGAGCCGGCATCGAAGCCGGAAGAGTATTCAGCGCCGCCGGCCACCACTGTCGAAGAGCCTGAGCCGCAAGTTACAACCGAAGCCGCTCCTCCAGCGCCGCCGTCGCTGTCGCCGTTGCCCGTCGCCTCGACGCCGCCCGCCGAGCGAGAGACGAAGCCGGAGCCCGACACCGCCGAAGAGCCCGTCAAGGCAGCGGACCTTGCGCCCATCGCAGAACCAGACGGCGAGGTGAGACCTGCAGAGGCACCGCCGCCGCTGCCGCCTGCAGAGCCCAGCGTAGACAGTGCACCAGAAGAGCCCAAGGTTGTTGAGCTGCCACCTGTCGTGGAGCCTGCTGCTACTGCTGTGGAGCCGGCACCAACAGACTCGGAAGTGAAGAAGGAAGATGATGCCGTCGCTTAGCGTAGAATACCTCTGTGTCGGGTTTTCTGCTTCTGTCGATATGGGTGCTGTTTGTATAGGTTTTTCTAATTCGGGACAAATGTCAAAAAGATGGGGCGTGTTTAGGGGGTATGTTTTTGTTTTCTTTTTCGTTTTAGAGACTGGACCTTGACTTGTACAACAGGCGCAATGGGGAGATTTTCTCTTTTTTCTGTTGCCTTGGTTTTTGTTCACTATAACTTGGCTGTATAGGGTCTTAACGTTGCTTGCGCAAAAAGCCCAAAGATGCAAATACAAGACGTGTATATGATTATACCATGCAGCCTCACACATGTACAAAAAGATGTGGAACCGTGAAAACTCGAACGCCTCGATACAAGCTCTCATTATACTCCTCGCATGCCGCTCTTTCCCTCATTCTGCATCAACTTTCACCTTTTCTCGCACATCCGGAAACTCATCTCATCTTCCCCTGCTCCAGATCATCCTCCTCCTCCTCTCCGCCCTTTGAGCTCGGCCGCTCCGGCCTCGCCACCCTCCCATGCACACGCAGCTCCCCGCCCCTCGCCTTTGCGTTGCTGAGCCCCAGCAGCCCCGCGCTCGCCAGCAGCAACCCCGCGAGCACCAGCGACCCCGCCTGCGTCATGTTGCCGCCAAACGCGGCCACGCCGTACACGAGCAACTTCCCCGCGGCCTCGCGGTAGCTGTCGGCCGAGCTGCGCTCGCGAAGCCACGCGCGCGTCGTCACCGCCTGCACGTCCGAGGCGAGGCCGCGCAGTAGCACGGCGCGTCGTGCGTTTACCTCGACGACGTACTCGGTCAGGTGGTTATCGGCGGACAGGGAGGAGGAGGAGAAGGGAGAGGGGGGGGATGAGCTGCGTTGGCGGATGCTGAAAATGTTGAGGAGTCGGGCGAGCATGAGCGCGAGGAGCGAGGAAAGACCCCAGAAGTCGCCGAGAAGCACCATGAAGACGGTCGCGGCGAGGGTGAGTAGGGGGGAGAGGACGTAGAGGAGGTGACTGAGCCAGACGAGCCGCCAGAGGTCGTCGTCGGCGGCGGCGGCGGCAGCGACCTGTGCCTTCTGGCGCCGCTGTCGACGGAGTATCGCCATCCCGCTCCGCAGCAGCATCTTTCCCGACTCGTCTGCATCCTTGCCTCCCTCTACTCGCACACCAACAACCACCGTCTTCTTTTCCGCCGCGGCCCCATCGCCGGCATCTTCACCCGCCCACAGCCGTCGCAGGTAATCCGCCATGGCAATGTTGCGGATGGCGTAGCTCCGGGGGGCACTACTACTACTACTACTACTACCCATGACAGCTGAAGTGGCCCGGCCCCCGGGCGGCCTCTCGACGGCCACGGCGGCAAGGCCCGGCTCAGAGGCGAGCGTCGCTGCCTGCTCGAGCAGCGCGTCGGCGGCCTGCTGGTAGTGTAGGCCCGGGGCGAGCACGAGCGCGTCGAGCCAGGACGCGCCGCCGACAACGGCGGTGCGGCGCGCAATGGTGCCGAGGTCCGCGAGGGCGAGGAGGCCGCCGGCGGAAAAGGATAGCGAGGGGATGGGCGTTGATGTCCATGAGGGGATGAGGGGCGCGTGGTGCTGGAGCAGGATCTGGTTGGCTTCGTCATCCATGGCCGTGGTTTTTTTTTTTTTCTTTCTCTGGGGTGGTCTTGTGCGAGCTTGCGTGTAAAGGTTGCGCTGGGAAAGCGGTAGTAGTACGTCGTCGATGGGCGCAAACGATAAAATTCAGAGGGTTTGAGGATCGATATATAAAGACATGGATCGTGGCAAGTTGACCATCTATTTAAAGAAAAAAAGGCAGAGTCGGACTATATCGTCCATCATGTTGCATTGCTAATAAGCCAGCGTCGCTGTTTCATCCGTCACGGACGACCAGTTGACCACAACCCAGTCACAGCAACCCTGGGCCTTGATTTTTTGCCTTGGACCACAGTATCTAAAGAAAACAGAATGCAGCACCGGCTTTTCCAACGCTAACGCTGAAATGGTCGCTTTCTTCCCGTGTCGTGGTAACGAGGTCTGGTTGACTTGGACGTCCGAGTCCGAAAAAGGTGTTCACGTGCACTGGGTGACATTGGAATGAGCCATCACGCGGGGAAGCATCCGGGCGGCTGCCCAACTCGATGTATGGGATAGATGCACATGCCGTAACTCGATATAAACTCTGTGGACTTTCTTGGTACATGACCATTGTCTTGATTATCGAGTATTTTCAGGGCTGACCATACAGGAGCCGTTCTGTATCAGGTTCCAAAGGCCATGAATCCGACGCTCCTTGCATCATGCGTCTGGTAACATGTTAGCTTTGCATCTCTGCGAATCGCGGCTGGCATGATGATGATGGGCAGAGAATAAGGTATGGGCCTTCTCCTAGGAAAGGGGGCGAGAGGGTAGATTTGGCAGATCTGTTATTGACGAGTTCACTAAAAGGCATGGTATCTTTGCACCCGAGTAACTGCGATGACAAAAGCATACCACACACTGAGTCCTTCTCCGATAAAATGTTCAGAGGGAATTTAGACGGGTCATGGTGTTTAGCACAAGCATTGTCAATATGGCACGGTGCTGCTGTTCAGGCATATTGTTCTGCTAATGAGACGCGGAGGGTTCATTCATGTCAGGAAGATTACCTCGTTTTCATGGCTGCCTCGTTTTCATGGCTGCCTCGTTTTCATGGCTACCTCATTTTCATGGCTACCTCGCTGTTGCCTGTGTGACTCTTGTACTCGCGCGTATGGTGGCAGCCTTGTCTTCCCTACCAGCCAGTTCTGCTATAAAAACCGTGGCACTGGTAGATGCTTTGGCTTCTTTGGATTATGTCCAATACTTTACTTTCTGGATATCTCACCATGGCTTCATCACCGCCGAAAGCAGAAGTCTGCAACACGACCCGATTCGAAGAGCTGTATAAAGGATCGCTGAATCCTGCTACGGAGAACCTGGCGCTTGCCTCGCTATTCCTTCTCCGCCTTTTCCGACAGCACGAAATACCTTTGGACTATCTTGAGGGATGGGCTGTGCATCTGAGAGGGGGCCAGAGAATGACACGAAATGTTGGTATTGCTGTTGCAACGAGTATGAGCCGTCTCAAAACGGTTCTTCTCGGAGAGAGAAGGTGCGTTTCTACTGCTTTCAGGTCCAACGCCACTAATTGTCGTCAGGGTCTGTTTTCCGGAGAATCCTAGACAAACTTGCATCCACATCTTTGTCCACACCGGCATGCCTTGGGACCAGGGGAGCGCAACCCCTTCCACAGTCGGCGTAGATGTCATAATCCAGGGTAGGCTACTTATGGGCCATATTCAAACTAAAAGGTGACGGCTGATAACCCATGAAATAGGCAACCTAGGAACACCAGCAAACCTCACGGACGGCATCACCAAGATCGTTCCAGTTCCGGCAGGAACACATAGTCAGCAGGCGGCAGTACTCAAAATTTTGTACCAGTTCAAAGCAAAATTACAGGCCTATGCTGACAGACGGAGCAACACGGATCGCGACTTTGAAGATCTCCAGTTCCTACTATTTACCAACATTGGAACTATCGCCTTGACAAGTTTCCAATTCGACTTGGAGCAACGAAGGACATTTTTTCAAGATTTGTTAGTCTATTATCCCAATTATAAAGACACATTGCTGGTAGCACTGTACTTGACCTGAGGGTTGCCTTGGGGATGGGCACTTACAGATCGAATTGCTCCACGACTTTTAGAGTCGTTTCAGGTATTAGGGCAGTTGTGGAGCTGACTTGAACAAGATGTGCATTCATCAAAGATACCATATTTATTCTTTGGTGACATGTTGTGATTTTCGCGCAGACTAGCAGCATTCACGATGTCCTAGCCACGGATCGCTAGAATTACGTAGTCGGAAGCGCGTGACGAACAGCGTCTCGGGCGTTTTCCAGCCTAATCTTCCCTTTTTCGTCCTGACAGCAGACTCCCAGAGGTCCTTTCTCTTGAACGGGACTTCAGGTACTAAACCAAAAAAAAAATTGGCCGTCCATCCGGCTGCCCCATGCTGATAGCTGCATTCCTCTCATGCGCCCAATCCGTGTCAGTGTAACCATGCAGGTCAAGATTACTAACGCCCCATTCTTCCGTGACATTACTTCCGTCGACAGCATCTTGCAGAGATACACGGTCATTCCTGTCAAGAAAACTTTGGATCAACACAGGAAGTGTAGGGTAAGGTATGCCGTTGGAACTCCGCTCGAAATTGGATGGCTGGCACTCTATGTGAACGAGGTGAGACGGGATCAAGATGAAAGAAACGTTGATACCAATGCATTTCAGATGGGGGCAGGGACGAAGATGGGGGTCGGGTTGATGAGCCATCGAGTTCCGAGTGTATCTGCTCGAGTGTCGGTCCAACCAACAGCGTCTCGGCCAGCTCCAGCATGTTGGGCGGCACGCAAATTTCCCAGTGCTTGCTTGCCTTGTTCAGCATGGGCATGGGTACAAACAAAGGCAAGTCGTGGCTTACCGTCCTCACGCGTGCAGCTCCGTAGTACATTAGAGCAGAAACTCCACAGGCGCAACACGGGATTTCTTCTGCTTCCAGCGTGCGGATAACTAGACGCATTTCATTTGTCCCGTGTCCACCGCAAGATGCTTGTTTGTCGACTGTGTCGACTGTGTCGACTGTGTCGACTGGGAGATGTGCGACAGAAGAAGTGGGAGACGTGTTCCTAGGGGATGTTGACATTGGGTAAATGTGTCGAATCGAGAAGAACAACTGAGAGATGGTGTCAAGGTCATGTTTGAGGATTTGTGGCGGAGGCGTGAGATTTGGGGGGGAACAGATACATAGGTAGTAGGTAATGAGTAGTGAGTGCTACGTAGACGAGCCGTTTGTACGACCCTAGCACTTGTAATTTGCAGGCGCGCCTACACGATAAGATAGGTACCTTTTTTTTTTTTCGTCTGCTTTCTACTTGATTTATATCCAAGGTTCAAGATAACTCTATTCTGTATTTCTAGTATGAATCTATTATGTTAGCCAAGTAACTTCCTAAAATTACCCTGATCAGAGAGTCTTTGTTTTGCCTGCTTTATTTAAGCTCGCACACCTGAAATTTGTGGATACCTTATTAACGCTTCTCACCTCTTCCATAACTAGCCTGCACACAATCATGCCGCCGCCACTACACAGCCGTCGACCACGACCTCAAGATTTCGACAGACAAAGATGGGATCGACTGCACAAGCTACCAAGAACAGCGAAAACTGCCTTCTTGTTTGCCGTCTACGACGATGACGGGCCTAAACTGAGAGAGCTTGTCGCCGCCGGGACCCCCACATCAACTTCTGCGACGCCCTATTCGGCTCTGCGCTCAGGTTGGCCGTAGATTGCGACGATGTGACGGCGTTGGATATCCTTCTGAAAGCTGGTACTAACCCGTAGGAAACGAGCGGCTTCTCCCACCCCGAGATCTCACCCTTGAATGCGGCCATTCAAGCAGGCAACAGCTTCCTATTCCAAAGATTGCGTCAATACGCCAGGCTCGGAGACGACGAAAACTACCGCAAGCGATATCGCTCTCTGCTTCTAAAAGCTGCCTCGGCAGGCTAAGCAGGTATCGTCGAGGACATTTTGTAATGTCATGCTTCCCCGTCGACTGCCTAGGCTGGCCTCCTGATTTCAGATTTTCTATCCTGCGCGACGCAGCCTCCTATTGGCGTGTTGACGTCGTTCGCCTTGCATTGGCGAGGTTTACCTTTTCGACCTTGGACTTGAACAGGGCTCTGAGCACAGCTGTTACCTTTCCGCCCGACAACCTTGATACTCTTTATGAAGGGCTCCGTGCTCTTGACTACATACACCAGTAACAAATCGGACACCTGCTTATCGACGCCGGCGCTGCCCCGAGCTGTTTCGACAGCATTGCCACGCACCTGGCGACTCATATCGATTTGGTAGGCGCTCTAAAGGCGCTCCTGGAACGCGTTGCCGACTCTAACGGGTGTGGACTCGATAAGAAAGCCACAGCGCTGCATCATCCTGGTGGCCCCGTCTACGTCAACAATGGTCCAGAGCGCCACTTCCACGAGACGGGCATTCGCATGTTGCTAGATCACGGCGCCAGCGTGCTGGAGAGAGACACGGAAAGTAACACGCCACTACACTACGCTGCCTTTGGCTCCAACGTGCGGTGCTTTCGCCTATTGGCTAGCAAGCTGCCTCGAGATGCAGACGCCTCCATTGTCAACTTGAAGAGGCTGTGATTGTGGTCAAGTACGGATAAGTATACGTCCTATCCGTAATCCGTAGGTACTATTTGTATTTGTAGACTGGTGCTGTAGCGGGGTTCTGGGGGGGTTCTTTCCATTGCGTAGCTAGCGTGCGGGTGACTAAATTTAGGTAGTGGCCCGCAAGCAACCTTGATTAACCACCCCCAGCAAGAGCCCAAAGACATTTGGTGCAAGAGATCCTCGAGCCCCAACTCTACCAAGTTTAGCTCTAGCACAAAGGGGAAAATTCATCGTGATGGCGTGCATATGTACCAATTTTGCACAAACAGAGAATTTTCCTAATTTCCGAACGGCCGAAACAAGGCTGTAAGGTAGTGTGGTTATCAACTTTGTCCTACCCCGCATTTCGTCGCGCTGCCCCATTGCGGGGAAGCCCCAACGCATCTCCGATCCGAGCCGTCCCTGAACCATCTTCTCAGTCCGGCCATCTAACTAATTTATCGTAAAGCGCCATTTTGTTTTCTTCAATTCTTCCTATTCATTATTGCGCAAAATTTTTGTTCAAAGCCAGGGTCCACTGCACCGTCGAAACTAGTCCACTCTCTACAGCCACCACCACCACCAGTCCAGCTTCGAGGCTAAAAAATTCACCATGTCGTCTGACGCATTTGTTGGTGGTCGGAAAGGCGACAAGTACCGCTTCACTCTCCTCGCTGATGGTCTTTTTCGGTACGAATGGGCCCCAGACGGCGAATATGAGGATCGGCCCTCGGCCTTTGCCGCCAATCGCCACCAGTGCGAGGTTCCACGTCATCGTCTAGAGGAATCAAAACATTGCATCGAGATTTTCACAGAGCGCTTCCATCTTACTTACAACAAAGCCGAATTTACCCCCGAAGGCCTCTTTGTATCTGTATATGGTCATCTTGGTACAACGTGGCGATATGGCGACGTGCATGAGACACTCGGTGGCACTTGTAGAACTCTTGATGGCGTCAACGGTCGGGCTCGGTTGGAGCCTGGTGTCGTCTCGCGCAAGGGCTTTGCAAATATTGACGATGCCAGCATGCTTCTGACCAAAGATGGATTTGTGGCGCCCAGAAAGCCTGGCTCGGGCAGAGTAGACTCCTATTTGTTTTGCTACGGCCATGACTATCGCGACGCTGTCAAGGCCCTCTATCGACTGTCGGGCCCGCAACCGCTGCTTCCGCGGTGGGCGCTCGGCAACTGGTGGTCTCGCTACTATGAGTACACGGCTGACTCGTATCTGGAGCTCATGGACATGTTTAGGGAGAAGCGCATCCCGCTGTCAGTCGCCGTCATTGATATGGACTGGCATTGGGTCAAGGATCCTCGCGTGGCAGAGGCAAGGGCGTCTGGGTGGTCGGGGTATTCATGGAACACGAACCTCTTCCCAGAACCGAGGAAGTTTATAGATGCGCTTCATAAGCGAGGGCTCAAGGTTACTTTGAATGAGCATCCCGCTGAAGGTGTCGCAAAATACGAAGACATGTACCGAGAAATGGCCAAGATCCTCGGGCACGACACGTCGCATGGCGATCCGATTCCTTTCAACATTACTGATCCGGATTTTCTCAGAGCATACTTTAGCGTTCTTCTCAAACACATTGATGATGACGGTCTTGATTTTTGGTGGACTGATTGGCAACAGGGCACGCATTCTTCCCTGCCTGGCATTGATCCTCTTTGGGTACTGAACCACTTTCACTTCCTCCACAATGAGCGCCTGCAGAAAAGTCGTCCCAAATCCAAACGCAGTCATCCGATGGTGTTTTCTCGTTATGCCGGTCCTGGAAGTCATCGATATCCGGTCGGCTTCTCGGGCGACACCATCATCAGCTGGGAGTCTCTCGGATATCAGCCCGAATTCACAGCCACGGCCAGCAACATTGGTTACGGATGGTGGTCGAATGACATTGGAGGGCACATGCGCGGTACTCGCGACGATGAGCTTACCTCTCGTTGGGTCCAGCTAGGAGTTTTGTCGCCGGTCATGAGATTGCATTCTACCAAGAATAGATGGGTGACAAAGGAGCCTTGGAAGCTCCCAACTGGCTCTGGCAAAGGTCCGCAGGATGTCGTCATCCATTTCATGCGTCTTCGTCACAGACTTCTTCCATATCTGCACACGATGAACCGCCGGGCTGCAGAACTTGGCGAACCACTGATACAGCCCATGTACTGGGAATACCCGGAGCGCGATGAAGCGTACGGCGTGCCCAATCAGTATTACTTTGGCTCGCAGATGCTCGCAGCGCCCATCACGTCACCTCAGAACCGCAGCACCCAAACCGGCAAGGTCAAAGCGTGGCTGCCTCCTGGCACCTGGGTCGACTTCTTTACCGGCGTGGTGTATGATGGCAATCGCAGCATCTGGCTGAGCAGAACGCTAGATAAAACGCCTCTGCTCATGCGCCAGGGTGCCATTGTTCCGCTAGACGCTGATCCGGAAGGCTCCAACGGTGCAGCTAATCCCCAGGGCTTCGAGATTGTCGTCGTCGTTGGGGCCGATGGGGAGTTTGTCATCCAGGAAGAGGATGAAAGCGCCGAGGGCAGCGCCGACAGAGCTCCATGGGTCGGGACGCCCATATCCTTCAACCAGCGCAAGGGCATCCTCACCATTGGACCCATTCGCGGCGGAGCGCTCGCGTACTCTAGGACATGGAGTGTTCGACTGCTAGGTGTGCGAAATTCTGACAGTATTACTGCTTCCATTGGCGGCACGTCTACGAATGCCGCTCGCACAGAGTCTGTCGAAAATGGCACCGTCGTGAACCTTGGCCGCATTGCTCCAGGAGACACTGGCATTGTGTATCTAGGGCCATGTCCACAGCTTTCGGTTAATGATCCCGAGTCTCTCATCAATCCTATCCTATACGACGCTCAAGTGAGCTTTCCGCTCAAGGAACAGATTGATGCTATCATGAGCCCGAGGGACGTTCCAGCTTCTATTCGAGTGACGCAGGTGGCGGCGCTAGACATGGATCAAGACCTACGTCACATTTTGAACGAGTTCTTGTTAGCCGATAGTCGTTCGTAGTCGCACAGTCACCGTGAGTTAAGCAAATGAATTCTGAAGCGGATAAACAGGAACAAAATTTGAATTTATAATACCGAAGAAATTAAAGAAGATTTGATGAAACTAATTAAACAAGAATTCGCGCTCGCAGATTCTGTGAATCAAGTGCAGCACCTGTCATTTTTATGACTTATTTCTGGCAGTAGCTTGAGCATCTGCTGGTATCAACCTTCTTGTTCGCCAACACACAGGCAGCGTACTGCTTCTTGCAAATGAGATTCTTGACAAGACCCAGAGTACGCTTGTCATGCGTCTTGTCAGAGGCAGCGGACTGCTCCGAGCCGCGTCCAAGAAGGCCACCCACTTTGTTGAAGATACACGTGAGGTCGTTGGCCGCAAGACACTTGTCGAGCTGGTACTTGCAAGCAGCCTGGCAAGCGTTGCTGACACCAGGCTTGGGGAAGATGGAGCACTTGGAGCTGTCGGAGTGGTCGTACAGCTTGAAGGCACCGCTGCCAAAGGTCTTGGAGTCATCGTTGCAAGAAACAATGGGCAGAGGAACACCGCAGACTGGGTGGCCAGGTCCGAACTTGTGCAGCCAGCTAGAACCCTCGGCGCAGATGTTCTCAGGGCTAGGAGGGCAGATGGTGGGCGTAGGCGTAGGAGGGGCAGAGGTGCAAGGTCCAAGCGTAGTAGTAACGGTAGGAGGCTCCTCGTGAGTTGCACCGCAAGACTTCTTGCTGCAGCCGCCCTTGACACAGCCGAGACAGCACAGCTTGATGGCTTTGCAGCGAGCAGCGAAGTCGAAGCAGCCGGCAGTGTTCTGAAGACCGGCGTGCAAGAAGCAGATAGGGACCTGGACGGCGCAAGCAGCGGCGGCAGAAAAGCAGCCGAGACCCTCGTTCCAATCAGGCTCAGGCTTGGGGCACCAGTCACCAACAGGGTTAGCGCAACCCGAGGGCGTAGGCGTAACCACGACAGGGCACAGAGTGGAAGTGGTGAAGGTCGAAGAAGGCTTGGTAGTTGTTGGGGGGATAGTGGTTGAAGGGGTAGGGGTCGACGTAGGAGGCTTCACAGAGGTCGAAGTAGGAGGGACGTT